GAAAATTTGTTTTAAAGATTTATCCTAATCTAAATAAAGAAACTATCGAATATTAAATGTTGTGAAATTTAAACTTTAAATTAAAAATGAAAAAGGTTTACACATATCACTTCATAGCTAAGTTGGAAATAATTTATTAAAAATAATGTTTGTTAGGTGAGATATCCACCTTAATCCCCGAGATTTGATATTGTCTTTATTTTTAAAAAAAAAAATCCCAAAACACAACATTTATTATGGCTGCTTGAGGTAATTCTCAACAAACAATCACTCACACACTAATCCACCCGATATAATTATCATGTCTATATTCATTCCCAATTTTCTCGCACAGTTTTGTATTTTTTAAAATTATCTTATTAATTCATTAAAAAAGAAAAAGATAATAAACTAATTATGATTGTGATTCCAGCTAACTAGGGCTGCTAAGTTATCTCAAAATTCTAATTTGCAACACAAATACTGGCTATAAATACAATCGAACGGCCAAGACATTGACCAAATACAATAGCGCATCCGATATTTTGTGTTCGAACGCTGGGAACAAATTATTTGCAAATCACTAAATCTTCTAGCTTTTTAATTTATTTATTATTTTTTTAGTAGTTTAATCGATTCCGTCTTCATAATCAATCGATGTTCATCTGCCTTCATAATCAATCGTTGTTCATCTCCTTAAAATCGGTTCGGATCTCTCATGGTAGACTTCGGATCATCTTCATCAAATCTGGTCAGGCCTACATTTGGATTTTTTTTTCCGTCAAATCCGTTTCTAATTTTTGCTTTTGTTTTAATTTAATTTTTTTATATGGTTTGCTAATCATCTTTTTCTGTTTTGATCATTTAATTAGTAGAATGCCGTGCAGAAATTTATGAAGGGAGGCAATCGCAAGCTAATACAGATGGTGAAAGGCGTTGTAGCTTTACGGTTGATTTCCGATGATCCGTTGTATTGTCGACGTCCATGAGAACTCTCTTTCAGTGTTTTACAAGCAAGTTCATTTATGTTGTTTAGTTTAATAATCATAAGGGAATTTCTAGGTGTATTCTATCGGACTGGCTTTATTCTAACTAGATTTGTTTAGTGATGGTAAGATTTATATATCAAATTATGTTTATCTTTGTGTACTACACCCTTAAAAATAGAGATTTCATGTTCAAGTAAGAAAACCTAAAATTGGTTCATTGTTTAGTTTTATTTTTTCACAGAGGAAATCATGGTGTGTGTCCTTTTCTCCTTCTGAACATGAACTCTTTGGGTTTTGGCTGCCTTTAAATCTTTCTATGATGCAATACTCTGATTGAAATGTAACTATTATTTTTTCTTTTTTTTTTAGCAAACAGAACGGATAATATATATTCTGAATTGCTAATAAGCCATGATGTCTCCTTGGGTTGGGGGCTCACGAGCTTAGGTGAGAAAGAAATCCCTAATTTTTCAGGAGGTATATAGTTTCTTCATATGCGGAAAAAGGTGAGAAACCAATCCTTAATTTCAAATTGGCCGTGTTTTTTTTTTTTTTGACTTTTGAATTTGTGATACTTTTCACTGCAATTGGAATTTGGTATCATGGCATCTACAATGGCCTCCACCCGCAAAATGACAAAGAAAATTCATGAAAATAATAAATACTAATAGCATGCTAGCTTTGGAAAAGTTAGGGAGTGTTCTCTTAGTTACAATTAATTCCCTTAAAAAACGAGTATAACTAATATATTTCATCTATCCATAGAAAAGAAAATGTTAATGTCTCCGGAAATTGAATACTTTTAGACGATCTCCACTTTAGAAGGAATTATGTCAAAGATAATTTTTCTAAGCATAGTGATCTCTTGGGTCTATATTGCGTTGATTTTATACTTGAGTACTATTGATCAATGTGATTGGCTTATATTAGGACTCTAGACGTGCTATTTTACCATTTTATAAAAGCCAATATAATTTTGAAAGAAAAATAAATTAATTTCTTAGTGCACTTTTTTTTTTCATTGACACCACCATTCTTCCACAGTACCTTCATCTCATGGTCTTGGCTTTTCTAAATCGCGTTTTCCCCCCTGAATGATTGTAGGTGGAACCAAGAAGAAATGAGTTTGTTAATTGATGGTGTATCAAATCAGTATTTAATGATGTTTTGATCAGAAATGAGAAGGCTCGGTCAGCGGGGAGGAAAGAATGACTTACGTCAATGTAAAATATTTTTGAATTTTTTATGTTTTCCAATTAAGAGACTGACATTACAAATGAAATCATTGAAGCAAAATGATTCCAAATTAGGTTATATTGGTCTATATTTTCAAGGAAGAAGTTCCTTTAGAAAAAAAATATAAAAACAAATCTCTGGAACTAGCAAGATCAATTTACAATGAATAGTTTTCAAAAGAATTACACTAAGCTTGTGGTAGTTTTTTATTGTTAGTTTTGAAAAAAAAAATCAAATCCGAAATATTGTAACTTCATAACAAATCTATAAATTTAGAATGTAAATAATTGTTCTATTTGAAAAATATGTGAATAATCATTTTAGAAAATTAATATATCTAAATAAAAGATAATAAGTAAAGTGACAAACTGTTAAAGATAAAAATAAAAATGGAATGACGAGTTAGTTCTTTTTTTCTTCTTTTTCATTTTTAATGTGTTGTCACAAATACTAAAATAACAACCAAAATCTTTACAGATTTTTAACCTACCAAAGACTTGAAAAATTTTAAGCAGGACGGTACAGAGTGATATGCTATTAAAGATATGAATATGGAATAAGACTCGCTGGTTTTTCTTTTTTATTTATTTAGTTCAACGAGCTATTAAAAATACAAAAATAGTAGTCGTAGTCATTGCAAAATAACACGCTGTTAAAGATGTAAATAAATATAAAATGAGATTTTTTTTTTTGGTTCAACAGACTGCCAAAAGTATTAAAATAGCAAAAATCATTGTAGGTTTTTAACCTACCAAAAGTATTAAAATAGCGACGACAACCAATTAAAGCATCGGGCAATCGGTCTCACAGGCAATATTGTCGGATCCAGACCGGAAGACGAATCGATGAAGTTAAAGGGTCAACTTGTTAGCCTGGGACGAAAAACCAGATTAGAGCGGTATGACATCATATATAATTTTAAAATTTAAAATAATTAAAATATGTGAAATCTAAAGTTATTAGTATTAAATTATTAATTTTTTTGTTATAATTTAAATATATTTTAACAATTTAAAAGTAAGATAAAATAAAAAAATTAATTTAAAGTTCTCGGTTTCTTCGACGAGAGGGCAATTTTGGTACCAACCAATGACGAAGTTGATGCAATCAATGAGCATATGCTGGCACAACTTAGTGGGAAAGCAAAGATGTATTACAGTTCTGATTGTATAGAAGAGACACCAAAGTTAATAAATCCTGAGGACGATGAGGTTTACACAGAAGAATTTCTCAATGCCATCAAGTGTTTAGGATTGCCAAATCACAAGATATCACTTAAGGTCAGAGTCCCGATCATGCTTCTTCAGAATCTTGATCAGCCAGGCGGCTTGTGTAATAGTACTAGGTTACAAGTCAAATTTGGGGGGAACGAGTTAATCAGGCTACTATTATATCTAGTGCTAATATCGGTCACAAATGTTTCATTCCGCGTATGGATATTAGTCCGACTGACGAGAGGATGCCGGTTAAAGTAAGACGGAGACAATTCCCGGTTGTAGCATATTTTGCTATGACGATCAATAAGAATCAATGACAGTCGTTATCTCATGTTGGCTTATTTCTCCGTCGTCCAATTTTCACCCATGGACAACTTTACATTGTTTTCTCCAGTGTAAAGTCCAGAAAAGGTTTGAAGATAATTAGTTGCAATACGAAGGAAGAATTTTGCAGCGCAACAACAAATGTTTACAAAAAAACTCTTGAGAATGTATGATGCGGTCATCATTTTTTTTTTTTCAGTTCTTTCTCTGTTATTGATATCACAATTTTTTTCAATTTAATATATTTGTTCATTGAAATACTTTCAAAGAATCAAATCTGTCTCAACCGTGCAACGCACAAACACAATACTAGTTAGATATAAAAGTTCTTGTTTTCAAAAAGAAAAAAAAATTCTAAATTGATACTAGTATGCAGTCGTATTAATCATTGCCTTTCTTCAGTGATATGAACAAATGAAACTTCTATTTCTAAATCAAAAGTAGTACTAAACATACAATAGAGTCTTATTACACTTTGGAAAAGGGAATTTTTTTTACTCAAGTCATCCACAAAGTAAATTATAATCAGGACAATTTACTCTTCTCTCTCTCTCTCTCTTGGAAAAATCTTGATTACCCTCGTAGTTGAAATGAACGTGACTTATGAAAAGTGAATAATTAGCTACATCTTGGACATGAGAATTTAACTTTAACTACATAATCTCTATCATTACAACAAAAAAAAAAGTTTTTTCAACAATAAAAGAGGTTGTTGCTTAAATAATACATTTTTGGGATATATTATCCCTGATTCATCATGTTCCAATTCTGACTTGACTCCCAATGTCAACATCTCAAGTCACGTAATCTTCCAAGACTCGGAATAGTTAAAAATGCCAAGTATTCTATAATAAAATTAATTTCTCGATACACATGTTCAATTTCAACAATCTTGTCACGCTTCAAAACCCCTCGAATTCCATATACTCTCCTAGCTATGCCTCCAAACATTTCATCAAACGCATCTTTGTCATTACTTCCCTACCACCGATTTCCCATGGTAAATTGGTAATAAAGCCCGAAAAGACCTACAACTCACAATACCAAGGCGGCGATGAATATGGCTAGTTCCTACTCGCTAATTGCGGTTAAGCGTACTCTCTGGGGAAATGCTCATAGGCCCATAATCACTTATACTTACTTTTGTCTCAGCCCAGGTTAGTAAACCACGATCATGGGCCCCAAATACAGATGCATAATTTCTGTAGTAATGTAATAAACGTAAAACTTAATCCATGCACAGTAATTGGGGCGGCGATTTTGATCAAATGAGAAAAAGAGTGAGTGATCTCCCATGGCTAAAGCAAGGAAGAAAGGGCCAGATCTTCCACAGGAAATCATCGCTGAGATACTCTCCAGGTTACCCATCAAATTGCTTTTCCGATGTAAGATTGTCAGCAAATCGTGGAAAGCTATAATTGAAAACCCAAACTTCATTATCTCCGGCGGTACCAGAAGAGGAGGAGGAATTGTGGGCTACCTCATAATCCCAGTAATAATTTTACAGATGTTGGAAGTAAGCGAATGTACTTCTACTCCATAAACGATAAACTCTCTATCGAAAGGCTTCCAGATCCGTTTGGTGAAGTCCCATCTCGTTATGGAGATTTCCGAATCTTCCGGCATCTGTGAGGGTTTGATTCTGTTTTGGGCTGCTGTATCAATGTATTTATGGAATGGAATCCGTCGATGGTTTGGTGCCGGAAAATGACCCAAATTGAACGATTTGGCAGGAAGATTCCGGCGGGCTGAATTCAGGGGAGTTTATGGATTTTGCTTTGACAAATCCTCTGACGATTACAAAGCTGCTTTGGTAACTAATTCTAGCCCACCTGTTTATGTTACTAGCTTAAGGAGTGGAGAAACACGCACGGACATTGGATTTCCTTTTAAATTACCATCACCAGAAAGAAATGTTGCCCTGTTGCCAACTTCAGGAGGAGTTTTGATGAATGGTCATTTGCATTGGCTGGTAAAAAGGGGTCAGTCACAGGTGATTGTGTATTTTGACGAGGAGATGAATGTTTTCGAGGAATTGCCAATGCCGGAGAAACAACAAGAATGTAATGATGGCAAGAGAACGTTCTGTTTCGGTCTTGCTGTTTTGTATGGATGCTTATGCATATCTCAAGTTCCAGTTGGGACCGTAGACAAGGTGAATGATGTTTTGATTATGAGAGAATACGGCGTGCAACGCTCTTGGACCAAACTGTTTCAGCCTTCGAGGACAATTTGTGCCCCTCCATACCAGACTTTCTGAAAAAGAAAACAATGTGTTGGTTTTCAGGACGGGTTTTATGTTTTTATAAATTCGACTTGGGAAAGAAGTGCCATAAGGGCATTCAGTGCCCACCTTCAAACCTGCTACCGGAGATTAGGCGCAATTAGGAGAATGATAGTGGTCCACTGTCCCAACAAGGTGGTCAAGATGGCCGGAAAATGAAGCTTGTCATGAGCATGGCATGCTGGTCCTTTAATGTACACGGAAAAAGTTTGGCATCGCCGGATTCGATTTAGAAGTTACAAGAAAGCTGGATGATTTGGTGGTAGTTAAAGGAAGATGTTTTTGTCCTTGGTCGAACAACATTTTTGTCTTGTTATCCTTGTTTTTGTTCCTTTTCCATTCATGAGCATTCAGTAACACAATGCATACTCTTTTGTGTTCTGATGGGATAACTCTAAACTAACTGTTGATTAAAGGATTGTTAGGATAGTTATTTGGTTATTATTTGCTCATATATCCCAGACTTACGCATGTTTCAATATTTGTACTTCGCAACACCATTACAATTTATAGCCAGCTGACATTAGAGACTTGCATTCTTTTAGGCTCCAAAAAAAAAAATTGTTTTCTTATCTCAAGCAATAGTGGTTGCAGACTTTGCACTAGAGACATACATTAATCATTAGTATCGATTTAGAATATAATTATTAGGATTTATACATTCTTGATTGAATGATTGTTGCCGTGTGGTTGGTATAGATGGCATTTCATTTAGGAGAGACGATGAACTCAAACAATGTTCATTTGATTTAGATGAGTACTTTGACTTTGAAACACTGAAACAGAAAATAATTGATTACTTGTGTTTGTTGACTCCACTAGTTTATATTTAAGAAGGGGGGAAAAAAAATACCACTAGACAAAGAGTAGAGAAAACAATAAACCAGATTGGCTAATCCTAAATGGACTTGCAAATGCAGATGCAAAAGATTATTCAAAGAATAGGAACATAGCTTATTAGCTGCATCTCATTTATTAAATTGGATCCACAATTGATCCAATTTATGGTGACACCTATTGACTAGCCCCTGAAGACTTGGCTTGCACATATTGCCCGTATTCTTTAGCCTTCTCTGTCACATCCCTGGCTGTGCTAGCAATCTTCATCCTGGCATAATCCAGTTGGTCGGCACCGGGAGGGTTTTTTCCGGCTACATAGTTGTATATCCATGTCAGGGCTGCTATTGCGGCCACAGCACAGCCGCTAGAAAACAACAATCCTACGGTGGTTAGGAAGAACAGTATAGCTGCTGGAACAATAGCAGGGCTAAATATGACCAGGAGTGGGGTGGAAAGGATCAGAGCCACCACCGTTCCGGTTAAGGTCAAGGAAGATAGTCCTAGCAATGCAGCACCAATGGCTGTGGCAATCATTATCTTAGCCACTTGCTTTGAACGTGGGGTTAATTCAGGGATTTTTGTGGACATGGTTTTTGCTTGATCAGACATGCTTGGGAGGGGAAGCTAGAATGTAGAAGTTGCTGTCTTGAGTGTATAGAGATTTGAGAGATAAGGGTCATTCTGCATTTTATATACTGAACATGATCAAAAGGGGTGGATCAATTGAAGGCAAAGTTTCAGGACATCATCACCTAGAGTTGCGTGACGAGTCAAGTTATCTAGGTAAGTGTGCATGTAATGCATGCTTTGTGGAGGGTGATATACATGAGTAAAGTTCAAAAGTTTGAGACTTGTGCGACAAAACTGGAGATAAATAAGTAACGCTCATCCTTCAGCAGCTTCACATGCACTAGCTAATTGTGGAAAGCAATAATAACGCAAAGAATTTCAAAATGATAACAAATTGAAGTTTTATAAATGCAAAATTGCAAATCATTACCTGTTTCCTCAAAACTAAGGCTTACACTCATTGAGAAGTTAACACTAACCTACTTCGTCATCTATCTCTCTAATTCAAAAATGATTGTGCAAGAGTAAGGCAGAAATGGCCATCATGAATCTTTGGAAACAACTTGCTGGGCTTCATGTGAGTTCTTGTCTCCTGGTAGAAGATACGGTGGAAGAAAAGACGGGACCACAAATGCAAATCCCAGACAAAGCAAGACGAACATCACCACGAACCACGCTTTGTGAGGGATACCGATGAATAATTCATCACAAGCTGTCATGACAGGATTGATAATATCAAAGATTTGACAAAGGGAAAGAAAATGCAATTATAAAAAGGCTAATCGAAAGTAAAGACCAGACTGGACAACCAAAAATCAGTACATACAGCTTCCAAGGAAGGCAATAAGGGGAAATTAATGAAGGTCACTAAATAGTACGGAGTAGTAGCCAACAAAGGGAACTTGGTCATATCAAAATCCAACTTTATGTCTGTATTGACAAAATCGAATATCAAAGCAAAGGGACAAGGACCATAAGATTCAGATAAGTGTTAAATGCAAAATAGTTAGGATAGGTCTATGAAAGATTACAGCTCCAATAATATATATGATTGGGAACGGACAATGACGGTATAAGAAGAAAGTAAGCACCCAACTTAAATAAAAACTTCACCGCATGATGGATGATATTCTTTAAGGTTGATCGGGGCTGTCACTTAAAACTTAACCCAAGAAGAAATGCAGGATGGATCGTCATGAAAGTAGACAAGACAAATACATCAGCAAACTATTTACTAACAGCAAATTCTATCTGAAAGCACTTTCTATACTTAGTTACCTATATTAAATATGATGTACTTCCTCTCTTTTGCTCCTGGTATAGCGACAATTCCCTCGGGCACCACATTCACCAAGACATATAATTTCTTCTGAGAAAAGCTAGATATTAAAATCCGATTTTGATGCCAAGGAACAAAATTTAAGGGTAGAGTCATGGATACCTGAACATCGAGCGGATCCACTGATTCGGTTTTGAAAATTAACTTCTCAGTGTTTAGCAACTTTCTTCCCTTGTGTCTCCCAGGATCGGAGCTCCCTGTTTCTAGATGAAGGGAGAAACTAGCAGGTATCTGTAATTTATCCAATCACATTATTAGAGAAGTTTTTACCAAGGACATTTGCAAGTCATGGCATTTACTTATCATTACAAAGCAAAGATACAATGAACATACAGAAGCAGGATACGATATCTTCACTTCGTACCACGTGTTTGATTTAAGCCCCTTCAGTTGATACAGGCAGGAGCCTCCTTGTAGTGCAAGAGTTTCCTTCTGCAGCTCTCTTCCGGCAGGTAAAACTCTAGTGTCAATCCTACAACAATGTAAATCGTAAACTTTGTGAAAACAGAATACTTGTTTGAATCGATAGACTGCCAAGACTCAAGTAAAATATTCTAAAGGGAAAAGAAAAACTGCTACAACAAAACTTAATTATTCCAGTGGTTCAAGGATTTATTGCAAGCGAGTAAATCAGAAAAGAAACATTCAAATTACAAATATTTCCCTGGTCTTTCAAATCTCAAATGCACAAACCCTCGTATCTCAACCTCAAATATTTTAACTTCAAGTTCAAACTTTTCAAGTTCAAAACATGGGGGTTTAAGAAAGGAGCAGCGCTCACCATTTATCTTGCCAAGCTAATACTGATTAGCCACCCATGAATTGGAAGAGTTTGGTGTATAATTTGAGGGCTTTTTCATGGACTAGGTGTATCTACCACAACAACAATCATTCAATCAAGAGCGTGTATCCAGTTAGCAACCAAATTTGTCTAGCTAACAAGAACATCCAAGTAAACATGTGACACATGGTATCAATATTTAGTGGGTACCAAATGCCAATGAAATGCAAAATTATCCAGTAAAGGGGGAGAAATGAGCTGCTGGCTTTCCAAAAACACGGAGAAACCCATATGATAAGCAAGGACAGTAATGAACAAAAAGTTACAGCAGTAAACAACAGTAAGCCAATAGCATCAGCCACCTACATAATTCAATGCTAGCTGACATGAGATGGAAAGTACATTTCTTGAAACATGAACTGAACGAAAATGTACATAATAGTCAATTTTTTCCTGAACAGATAAGCAGCAAAGACATAAAGATAAGGTCTCAACTAATCTGTGTCCCAGATCATGTGTAATCTATTTCTTTTTTTTTTTTTTTTTGGGGGTGTGTAAAATCAGCACAAGGCTAAGTATCCATACAATTGAGGAAGAGCAGCCCATGGTAACATGAAGGAGACGAATCAATTAATTTCGGCCGAGAAAAAAGCTATAATGCATGTCGTCAATCGGAAAATTCTATCTCATAAATTCTTATCAATTACTACTTTTCTGCTATGACCACAAAACTGCTGCTGGACTAGTTTGCAAATACTATGCAAAACAATTCACTCGTTTTCAATCAAAAACCAATCTTTTTAAATTTGGACACATTATGTCAGATAAGGGATATGTAGGAATGAAAGAACAAATCAATGCAAAGCGTTTTAAATCTCTCTGTCAGCCCACACAAACCAAACAGAACTAATCCAAGATCGCGCCAATTTCAAAGAAAAAGAACTTAAACACTTACATACTGCTTTGACTGAAAGCTGCGGCAGCCAGAACGAACAGCATAACAGAAAAATGTAGGAATTCCGACCGGAAACTCATTTTTTAAGCCGATGAACTAAAAGAAAATCTCTGGACCTGAAGAAAGAAACAAAAAAAAACTTTCAGTGACACAAACCAAGGACAAAAACTGCTTAAAACTTCTGAATCATTAATCAATATGGTTTTCCTTGAATACCTACCTGATCGATAGATTAACTCTTGAGAAAGGAACATCAATCCTGAACCAAATTCATTAACCAACGAATGCTGAAGAGGCAGCTGATTCGCAGCGACTTCACACAAGCATTTTGTCAAACAGAAAGTGCCGTAAGCGACTCAATAAAGATGCTTCTCATAATTTGGAGCGTGCGCATGGCGCACCAAAAAATTGGCTTTTTTTTTTGTTTTCCTTTTTTTTCCTTTGCCGAATAATGTCTTATATTAAGGGCCGGAAGAATATTACTAAATGTTAAACCAGCCTCATGTGCGAAATTTATTTAAATATATTACTAATATTAAAAATGTAAAAGGTATAGGATATATTTGAGGTTTACATTAGTATATTATATGACTGAAATTAAATAAAGATGTAAATCAAAAGATAAATAGCGTATCATATAAAATTTCAGTTGATTAAAGGGGAAAATGGATAATAAGACTATAACCACAAGCGTTACATGACTAAAAGTGAATAAGATCATATTAATAATACGTTGAATGAAAGAAATAAAATAATTGCATGCGTCAAATATGCAATGTACTAATATAATTGATTAAAGTAATAAGACTTTTTCTAATAATTATAGGAAGTCAAAATCTACTTGAATTATAATTGGTTAAAGTAATGAGAACTTTTTGTTTTTTTTTTTAATGTTGCAGGGTGTCCATCATCGATTAGTCAATCAAAGGATTTAAAATTACTTCATGATAAGTTTTGAAATTCTCGACTTATGATCAATAGTGGAGTTCTTACCATTCCACCACAATCATTTTGGTTAATAAAGGGTTTTTTTTTTAATAATTACACAACGATTCTCTTTTATTGAATTCATGAGAAAATGCCACATAAGATAAAATTATATATTACATACTAAGATTATTATTATTTTTTTGTTTCTCACTCTGGTTCCTATCTTAATATATACTATAGATTATCATAAATGTCTTTTTAAAAATTTTAATTCGAATATGATTTGGTTGCTCTGATTGTTCAAGCAGTGCCTATGACATCAGTTTGAGTGATGTGAATAACCTGACAATATTTACGACATTAGCAATGACCTCAATATGCTTAGAGTTACTTTCACACATGGTAATAATTGTATAGTAGATGGATTAGACACGGTTCACATGTACATATAATGAAATAATATAAATTATATATAAAATTTTAAATAAATTTTAATAATTAAAAAAATATAAATCACATTACGTTACTGTCCATTACACTATTTACAAAATATTTTGATAAATTTATCCACATAAAAAATTTATTACAAAATACAAAATGATATCACAAAAATATGTCACTTCTGATTGAAAAAGTGACAACCGACACATAACATTCTGATTAAAAAAAAAAATGCAAAGTGAGCAATAAAATAAAATAGAAATTTTGTATCTCCTAACAGAAAAAGAAAGAAGAAAAAATTATCAAAGACAAAAAATTGTAGAAAAAAAATATGAAGATGAACAAAGAAATATGAATATCTCCAATAAACTTGAGATGGAGAGATAAAAGCAAAGATTCGAAAAAATAAAATAAAATAAAAGAAAGAAGTGACGACATTCTTACACAATTTAGAATTATACATTGATGATTCATGACTTTTAATATTTTTTTGAGTTATGGAAAGTCTAAACTATCATGGATGGACCTATTAAATTCAAAGAAGAGAGAATAGAAGAAAAAAAGACATTAAAAATTTCAGAGAGATTATAATCACCGAAACCGTTTTTTAACTAATCAAATTCACATAATTATAAGAAATGATTTGTTTCTGATGATGTCAAAGGGCTGTGATTTTATTTGGGGGCATCGCATAGCTTTGCAGGAAATTTGGTCTCATCTTCAAAAGCCAAACTATAGTTTGGTTCATATATACGGAGAGACCAACACAACTGCAAACTTGTTGGCAAAAATGGACTCTTTTGAAATTTCATTAATATTCGCAACATTCAGTAGTTTACCAACCAGAGTGAAAGGGAGCATTAAGTTTGATCAATTGCCTTACTCATATTTGAGAATTAGATAGTTTTCTATTTCATCTTTAAAAAAATGTTAAATGATACGTTGTGTAATATTATCCAGGGATTATATAACTGTTATGTATTCTGGTAAGTCTTACGCACTGTCACGTTTTTTGTTACATGAAATCGGGTGTCATCTCCGCCAGTACTGCCCTGGTTTCAACCAAAAAAAAAATTAATGGAAGGAAGATCAAAAGTTTATAATATTGTTTGATGATAAATAATAATTTATTATCATAAAATTAGATAAAAGGGAGTACGTAATTCATTATCATAAAATTAGAGATGCGCAATAAGTGAGATAATAATGAAATAAATGGGAGAAACTGTTTATCAATTTTTTTAACAAAATTAAATGTGGGACTACTAAAGTGAATTAAAGCACAAAAAATATTAAAACCAAAGTTAAGGAACCAAAAAAAATAAAATAAAATAAAAAATGTTAAAGCATGGGAAAGGATTACCAAATTCAACCTACATTCCCTGATTATAATATATGTTGATTACTATTGGTTGACAGACTCACTAAATAAAGAAAATATTGTATGCAACTATTGTACCACATAGGATTATGCAGCCAGACACAATAAACGGGGTAAAATAATAATTTTTTTTGAAGAAAGTGTTAACTTCTACGAGAGTTTTAATAACAAAATGGGTTGCTATTACTTGCTGCACTAAAATGAAGATACACCAGTTGTACCTAATAATTTTTTTCCACTAAATATACTTATTTCACTCCTTTTTCCTATCCTTACACAAATTGCAATCATCTTTTTCAAAGAAAATTTTTAACTTTTCTTAGAATACTCGATATCGAATTTTTACTAGTCACTTCTAAAAGATATTATTTCAAACTATGGGAAAAAAACTGTACACGAGCATATCATACTATCTCTAGAGTGATGGACAAACAGAGAGAATCAACCAGTATATAAATAGATATCTCATGTGCTTTTACAGTAATACTCCTCCCTATAAATGTTGCTAAGTGAAAGATGATATGATAAATCATTCTATTTCATTGCAAATCTACATATATATAAGGGCGAGTTGACCGGATATCTGCCTATTTAGGTACGGCGGTCGGTTGAAATCCTTCCATGTGTCATTAAGTTATTGGAGACAGGATTGTCTCTGGGCCCTTCAACCACTCCTCCCGGTTTGTCTTCTCCTTCTTTCGCTACTCTTGCAGTCTTCTATTCTGCTCCTACTCCTCCCGGTATTTTTCCCTCAACGGCTGCCAGATCTGACTGTCTGTGTTCATCTGCGCAAATGGATTAACGAATTGATCAATCAAAAGACAGAAGAATCACCATTAAAATTGACCATCTTGCTCCTTTCCCAGTTCCTATCGCCATACTGGTTCTTTCATCTTCCTTCCATCTTTCTTCCAAATTATTGAGAAATAGTTTTAATCGGTGGAAGGAAAGATATTAGCCAATTCGAAAGTCAGGTTAGATTTTATTTCTCTGATTCTTTGCTAATAAAAGAATTTTTTTTTTTTTGCCAATTTGATGCGATTGAAGGTCATGGGCAGACTGGGTAGTTTAGGTTCAGTGTGTGAGCTATAATAGAAAGAATTTTGTTACACAGCCCTGCTGTTTGTGGAGTTTCATGATTTTCTTTCACATTCTTGGTCCGCCAACTGCTCTTGGAGTTGCTTTCATGAAATTTTGTATGTATTGTCGTGATTTTATGGAACAGAGTCAGGTGGGTTTACTCAAATTAGTTTTGGGATAAATTTTAAGTCTAAAATTTGAACTGTTTTTTTTTTCCAGAATTTGTCAATTACATGTAGGATCATGCCTTGCTTTTGATATGTTATATATTTGTGATTTGTTAGAGTGTGCGTTGAAAGCTCTATCTCCTATATATTGCTGATATCCGTCTTTTGAATCAAGAGACAATTTGGATTTCTCAAAATTTATTACCCTTCAAATCTACTGTCTTTGGTTGATTCATACTAAGCAAAATGTTGTTAAATTAGTGGGTCGATGACCAAACCATTGAATTGATCAGAGCTTATAAACTTTAAGAAGAGGAGTAGTATGGATTTCTTAGTGGTTGGCCATTTTCGGAATTTTAATTGAATTTGAAATTTGGTTTGTGGTGTGCACAATTACTGTTCAATAAACCAATCTTTTTCTTAAAGAATGTAGCTCACTCATTCAATAAACCAATCTAGAAACAACAATTTGTCTGAATTTCAGTTTATGGATTCTGTTTTGGAAGTTAAAGAAAAGAATCATAAACAATAATTGGTAGGTTTTCATCTGCTAGAGATCCTTATATGTGCAATGCCTAGAACCTTATAGATGCTAATTAAATGAAATTAAAGATGTATGTATAAAATATGCATGGGCTTTTGTAGTAGCTTTAGAGAGAGATGATTCTGGATATTTGATTCTTTTTCAGGTTATGTTCTTTTGAAAACTTATAGTATAACTTGGCATCAGTTTCCAACCACTAATTTTAAGATTAGTCGTACTCCTATGAATACCTATGTTGTTTCGATGTCTACGGCTTTTGTGCTTCTGTGCTTGCATCTCAGTTGAGAGGGCCTTCTGTGCTTGCATAATGTATTTGTACAACTGTCATCTTTACATTATTACCCTGTAAGCCCCTTTTTAATGTCTTGCATACCCATTTACTCGGTTATGGTTTAAACTATCTCAGTTTTGTCTTGCAAGAAAAAGTCACTGAGAAAATAGAAGTGATGCAATTTTCTCGAGAAGGATAATGATTGAGAGGAGCTTCTTGAGTTTGAGACAGATGGACCTCTTTCTTCATTGAGCAAAACAAGCCATATACGGACTGAACAAAGCTGCCACGGTGGTGACGACTTAGAATGAGAGCGTGATAGCATTATTAAGCAGAATGGATGATTTAGGATGACAAAATTGTCTCACCTCACAGTTTTCCTAAGGTAATTCTAAGTGGTTAGGGAGTTTACATGATTAAGAGATATGCACAAATTATTACTTTTTCATTTGTTGCTGCTACTTAAACTTACATCCTAGGTGTACATAGTTTCATTTCACATTCCCATTTTGTGTAGGATTTGGGTCATGACAGTAAGGTATTAGTTTCACAAACTAATCAAAATAGGATTAAGAAAATTAATAGAGGATTAATATAAAATATGTATCTACTAAAGCAACGCCAGAAACAAAAATAAATTTACCAAGTAATACTAGCAAAACTTTGAAATATATTTCAGAAATTATTGTTCTCAAATCAAAACAATTAAACTGATAATGATATGTGCGATCAAAATCTGGGCTATCATTCCCCCATCTGCCGCAGAAGGTGTGGCCACCCAGCCTAGTATGTCTTCATATGAGACTTTTCTTGGAGTTAAACCTAACAAACTCCTCCATGTGTTGCTATTCATCGTTATGGCAAAACTCCGGAAGAAACTTAATACCTTGTGATTGGCTGTAGGAGGTTGTAGATGATTTCTTTGACCGACTTAACTAATTTGTTCTTTTTTCTCGCTCCTTGCTTTGTATGCTAGATATATATTCAAACAACAATGTGCACATTCCTATGATTGAAAGAACAAATTTATAGTATCACAGAATAAAGACTTATGTAGTTTTTTTCTTGAAAACTGCTCCACCTTCCTTTCTGCGTGCAGAAGATATCTCTTGCTCTCCTGCTGCCCCTACGCAAGAACCTCCATCCTTGTGGCTACTGGAAAATTATTACATGCCCTAGACCAAAAGAATTTAACATGATGAGATGTTATAGTTGGACTTAGAAACGACTACTATGATCTGTAAAATTATTGGATCATTAACTCAAAAACATGTCTCCAATCACAAAAAGCTCCTCCTTGCTGTCATTAAGAACTATTTTAAATTGATCTTTCCACAATTTAACATATCACCATTTCCCATTGTTAGATTACTTCTGAAATCTGTTTTGCATTGTTATCCCCTTATCCCAAAAATTAGCCATCTTACTCAAAACTTCCAAATTTGTCTGATAATCCTACTCAAAACTTCAAAAACTACCAATGTTTCCCAAAAGTATTGTAAGTGACCAAATTTATCTAGCTTGTATGATTGTTTTGCTAATTTAGTACATATTGACGCAAAAAGTCTGTCAAAATTAACGAATTCTCCTATTTTATATAGATAAAACTACAAATTTAAACCCATGAACTCTCCAAAATTTTTTGGAGTCATATTCTTTTTTTCCTATTTCATTCCTTTTTTCTTTTACTGTTTTTTAAAATAATCATAATTTTTAAACTTTAATGTACAAATTAATATGTACATATTAGTAAACCACGGTTGCATTTATATATATATATATATATAGATATATTCGTATTTTTTCTCATAATACTCCCTCCATCCAGTTCGATTTTTTTTTTTGGTGTATACACTGAACTAAAATGCAAATTCAACCTGGACAATTATTTTGGGATGGAAAGAGTACATGTTAGTAGTAAGGATAACATTTTTTTTGCTCCATTTTTTATTCTTATCAAAAAAAATAACAACATTTTATTAAAAGTACAATTATATATAATAAATATTTAGTTTGAATTACAAAATAATCTGTTAATATGTTTTAGTGTATTATAAGTTAATTCAAGAGACATTGATGTTATGGTAGTCTTTTACCCAAAAGAATCAATATAGAATCTTCAAAACCTATTTTTTTCTCCAAACGTAATTTTTTTCCTAATCCAACACACATCCTGTATCACAACAACTTATAACCCTATCGTTACCTTCGTTCGTTTACTCAAAATGAAATTATACACAACAAAGAAGACTTCTTACTCAAGTGAAATATTAATATCTCAAACTATCGTCATGAGTTGTTAAACACGAATTATGGTAGATACACAAATTTTCTATGACATGTTTTGGCCCATCTTTAAATATGCCGGAGCTCTATATCATCTCGTGTTGAATCAATATAAAAATAAACTATGATTTATTATCCTGTATTTGTGTGCTCGATATTGGGTTTTATTTGTATTAAAGAAACAACTCTCATAATCTTTTTTTTTTTTAAAAAAAAAGAGCTAATCATACCAACATGAAAGAATTAAAAAAAATCTTTAATATATATCTATATATGTTGTTTATTCTAGTGAGAAACTCTTTAATGTATTATTAATTTCTTGAGCAAGATCAATTTGAAAATTTTTGTGGCGCTATATCATATATTCGCAAAATGACTACGTTTATATTAACAAACATCCTTAAACTGGCAATGGTATTTGGAACAATGTGCATATTCATACGCTTGAGAGAGAGCACATAAACATACCTTTAGACTCACAAAATCAAGACATATGTAACAATAAATGTATGGTGCATGAAATATTACCATATGCTTTGGTTTTTCAAGAGAGTCCAAGTACTGAGTAATTCGACTATCCTTGTTCTAAGATGAGGATTTTTAACTAAACCAGGACTTGCCATGAATTATGATGATAAAGTTCATGAATCCATCATGTTAGAAAATGTGAAATATTAGAAATGTAATTAGAAAACGAAGCAAAGAAAAGGAAGAAAAACCATTGCATCTTCTGCGAAATGCTCAGGGATGCATGCTAACTGCATAGGGCAAGGTGAATGAGGAGGCACATTAAATCCCCCTCCAAGATCAACCAACCATATCACCATTCTCCTGTTAAAGGTTATTGCATTCTTTGTAAGATCCCTCTAATTGAACAGACACAATCACAGAACATCGGATAAAAGAATCAAAATAACTCAAATAGAGCAGTTAAGTTTTCAAACAACAAAGTGCATATTCAACTGAAAAAAAAAACTCATAAATATACCCTCAGGATCAGAAAGTCGAGACATAACTATTCTCTAGAAATGCGCTCCATGTATCACTCAAAGAAAAGATATCTCTTGCTCCCATTGCTCCATACATAATAACTTCCTCGTGTCTATTTGAAAAGTACATGATCTCATGGTCTAAAAGAATTTAAAAAGATGCAACATCTATGTCATAGTTGGACAGATAATCGACTAGTATGAGATCTGTGCAACTAATGGATCGTTACCTCAATAAAATGTGTTCGATCACTAGATGCTTCAAACCCAGGTGAAGTATCCTTGCTGCCATTATTAACCAATCCAAATTGAATATTTCACAACTGAAAACATCTTCCATGGTCAGAGCACTTTTAGCGTATGTAGTTTTTCTATCTTGATTCATTCAGTCATTCATGTGATGAAGTAGCCAATAAGCTTAATTTCCTAGTACAAACCAAGAATATAAGAATCATATTAAATATCTAGGGAACATCACATTGAAAGTAATTATGTGCATACCTAAGTTCCAAATTCCAAATGCATGTCAGTTATTCCTTGAGGATCAATATAGAGCTTCTGTGGCAATAGATTACATAACCGCAACATGACTACACTAAGATTGACAAAGGTCTCTAAACTTGCAGCTGTACTTCGATCAACGTGAAACAGAGAATTGAAATTCAAAGTAAACATGAAGAGAAAAAAGCGATTAAAAATTAAATAAGGGGCCAAAAGCTTACCTCATTATGAACCAACTTCGCATTTTTTGTTTATAATTTGAGCTGGATAATTTCTGAGATTGTTATGAGTCCCTCCCTCTCGGAGACACAAGAACACCCTCCTTGTGGAATCCTTCATCGTGGAGGGATTTAGAAAGCACGTCAACCTGAAAATTTAACCAACAACATTATTAATCACTATAAACAAAATAGATTTTTTAAAAAATACATACAAGATTATGGGGATGGATAAGATTATGCTCACGGATAATGGGATTTTGGTGATAAGGTTTAAGACTCTGCAGGCTAAAGAGGAATGTGAGTGGGTTAGCTAGTCAGAGCCCCGGTTCAGCCAAATTCCTCAATAGACCCATCTCAACCGTCCAGGCAAAGCTCCATAAGAAACTTAATCAATAGTACCGGTGGATTCCCTTTGGGACTTGGGAGTTGGGATGTTTCTTACGGTGCATTTTGTAAAATTGATTGTTTGTCACAATTGTTTGATAAAATTTTTATTATGATAAATAATTTCGTTATGTTATTATCTATTTTCTATAATTAAGCAATTATATTTATAGATAAAGATTAAATCTCCCAAATTACATCACAAAAACTAATCCCTTCAAGAGTTTTATGACAAAAAAAAAACTCCCTTCATCGCCAATGGTTCATGGGCATTAAAAAAAAAAAAAACTAAATAACCAAAGTATTTATAGTAATATTTTAATTGAGTAAATCTAAAATTTAAAATTTCTTATTATTATACTCATGATTCATGAACCTTCTTATCACCTCCTTTTCACAATGTAAATTCAGTTTTTATATTGGATTATGTCAAAAATATAAGTTCATTTTGTAAAAACATTTAATTTGCTACTTTAATGGTCAATGCACGAGGCTCTCTCAGAAAGCAAAAACCTCAGCCAGAAACCACCCCCTCCCTCGATCACCATTAATGGTGGTCGGGGGAGCCGCTCCTCTTTTTTCCTTTCATTTTTTTTTTCCTTTCTTCTTCGAAGAAACGGCAGCCTCCCGCTTTTAAAAAACGACCGGAGCCACCCTATCCGCTTCGGAACTCGCCACTTTTCAGACACCGGCACCAGATCTCGAGCCTTTGACTGCTTGGCATGCCACCAGTGGTGATGACCACTGCAGATCTGGACTTTTAGCCCAGATCTGATACTCCAAGCTTGGTCGACTGCCGGGAGCACATCAGCTGCCGCTACTCCAAGGCCAACCGCTCGGGAGCACATCAGCGCCGCTAAGCTCCCGTCGCTGTGGAGAAGTCTCTGGAGGAGCAATCAACTCTGTTGAGAGTTGCAGATCTCAGATCTGTTAAGCCGCCACCGCCGACTTTTGCTCCGCCGAGACGCCGTCGACATCGCCACCGCAGATCCAACCAACGCACAGATTGGTGCTACTTCTCCGATGTGCTCACCACCGATGCCATAGCCGCCGACACCCTAGCCGTCATTCAGAACTGCTGGGGTCCTGACTCACAAAACCGGTTTTAATTTCCCGGTCCGGTCCGATTTCAGATAACCAAATTAGGATTACAAACAACCCAATTGGTCTAAACGATTATTTTACATGTTTGGTTCCGTTCAGATTCAGATTATTATATTTAATTGACTCTTTTTGGAATTAAATTTTCCTGTATATCACTCACAGATTTGGATTCTTCATATGCCCACTAAACTCGGCAGTTCAGATCTGTGATCCGAAAGAAGCGAATCACAATGACATGAGTTTATTCTTTTTGGGTTATTAGATAAATATTTCTGATGAGTCCGGAACCCGACATTAGATGTAATTTAGTTTAGGTTCAATTAGGTCTCTTCTGAAAGTATCAGTAAGATATTTAATTACTGTCTTTATGACAATCTCTTGTACATGGTAAGTTTTAAGCACTGCCTTGAGAATTTTTCTGGTATCTATAAAAATCCTAAGTCCGTGCATGGTTTTGATTAAAAAAAAAAAAGAAAAGTTCATTTTGTATCTCAATACAGAATTTTATTTATTTTGTCTAAATTATTCTCGCCTTTATAATGGCTTTTGAGTTAAGTAATAATTGGCCTTATTAATCAAGATTAAAGTTAACCTTCTTTTCTAACCATTAATTAACTCTTAATACTTGCATCATTCAAAGTACACTAGAATGAAAAAAGAACATTGTGCTAGAATTTTTTAATCGGTACAAAATATCAAATTGAAAAAAACAAAAAAAAGATACACAATGTTTTATCACAATTAGAAATATGTTGAGCTTTAACAAGTAATATAATGGATGGAAATTGAATTTCTTTATTAAGAAGAAAAACAAGCGTGGAAGATTAATCTTAAAATAGTAATAATTCTCATAATTTATTTTAAAAGGGCATTTTTTTATTCATTTCTTTTCCACTTAAATAACCAAAATGGACAACTATTTAATAGCATGAGGGCCTAAGGGTGAAATTGTTCATTTGGACATAATTCAGGGCGTCCATTTGGACATAATCCAGAAGGCTTTCTGACTTTTTAAAAAACGTTAAGAGAGATTAATCTTTATGATGTAGTTATCCCTTATATTTATATATAAAAAAAGATTTGAGCAGTGGTGTTCTTTTTTTAATTTTTATTTTAAACTTACCCAATTCACATAAATGTGGATAAAAGTTCTGTGCATTCATATTTGAGCCAAAACCTAAAAACGCCGAACACAATTTAAATGGCCAGTAATGTGTATAAGACACTCTTAGAAACCAACTAAGAATTGTTATCTGATTCAAGTCTATCGCAGAAAATTCTTAGCAAATTAGACACTATAGTCTTCAGTAATTTGATGTTAAATCATTCTCCTACCACGGAAAAGAGTTGGGCGACAAAAAATCACAACGTAGTTATAACTTATAAGCACGGAGATATATAAACTAAATACACTGACTGCAAAACTTTAGAAGATTGTCATTGAAGCAACACTTTCCAATTTCCATACTACCCTCACAAACTGATACATCTTAGAAAAGCCAATTTAGACTGATGTTCCCAAGCCAAATGAGAAGTGGGAACTGCGCCAATGCAATGAAGAGCAAGAGGTAATGATGCCTGCTTGAGTCGTAAGTCCTAACCTCTGCAAACAGAACTCTCTTCATTGTCTTCACCAGAAAGATTCCTGTGCATAAGCATATCCATGGCATCACAAAGTAGTATGAGTAACTCCACACTAACTTCCCAAAGACAGCCAACGACAGGCCTGTGAATGTATATCCAGCGTAAGCCACGATGTCAAGTAAAGGTGCCTCCCCGCTTCCCAACGAAAACAATGACATCTTCAGTAGAGCAACTTCCATAAACCATCCCAACAATCCTTTAATGAACAGCCAGTTTAGAGCTTCTGGCCTAAACCTGACAACGTTAATCAATTCATGTTAGACACTGAACTGCACATGATTACAATTATCAGCCATAAAAAATTTCGATGTGGATTGGAGAACTACGAGGACATAAACTAGAAGAAATGTCCAATGAAATCAAACATGATTTGCAACAAGAGTGACGCAACTTATAGCATAAACTATAATTTTACACTGCCCTAACATTCTTCGAATCCCAATAACAAGCCAAAACTCACAACAAAGAACACAATTGAAGATGCTACTAAGCCACACACTAAAGGGCAAAGATCAGAAGCTTACTTTCCATGAATTCCCAATGATAATCCAGCTAGAACAACATAAGTACCAAAGGCCATGAACGGAATGTACAAATCGGGAGCATTTATATCATAGATTGGGGGCTTGTAAGATAGCCTACCACCTACTGGTTCGGTAATTCTTGTCCAATGGCCCTGAAAGAGATAAGAAACATTGCCTAAATTAGGGGACAGGGAGGCCAACGAAAATGGTAGCTAAACCATCACAAATTGCTTACCCTGTGCAGAAATGGGAAAAGAACAACCTTCAATTTGTTTCGTACATACTGATCATTGACTTGGAAATAGTATTGTGGATCAGAGAAATATTTACTTATCTGTCAATGAAAAAATGGGTCAGTTTCCTTGGATAAACAAATGAGCGCAAAATGATACGAAACAACAAAAATGTAGGTACACATGGACTAACAGATATTTGAAGGACCCACAATTCCAATGTAAAACATAAAACTCATGAAGGCACATTTGAGGAGAGCATAATTCAAAGATCTCAGAGTAAGGCCAGAAGCGATGTGTTTCTTTTGAGCTTACACTCTAAAAACATCCGATGTGTTTCTTTTGAGCTTACTCCAGTAAAGAAAAATAGGCTCAAACAGACAGCACAGTATAAACATATATGGTTTTATTCCAAATTTTCCCTTGGGTTGTGAATGACTACTGGTGTTTATCGAAATATTATCCCCAATCACAATGTCCAAGCCCCAACATCATTCATGTTTTAATCAAAACATTTAAGGGTTGGATTTCACACGGTCTCCATGCAAAGCAGAGTAATAAACAGGGAGCTAATAATTCTAATTTCTAAGTTATTATTTACAATCAACATTGATGCAAGAACATTATCACAGAACCATATTGGCATAGGAAAAGCTTGAAAATAGTTAAAAACCTCAATATCAACTACTGATATTAAACAAGTGCACCATAAAAGTCACTCTAATAAATAGAGACTGGCTGACTAACTACAAACAGGTGATTCAATCATATGGTGAACACATGCCAATCCATGCCCTTTCCAACACAGCAGTAACATGTCAGACAGATGCAGCAAATATTCAAATTATTCTTACTTACATTGCTTTGGACATACTCAGAGCTTGAATCTAAAAATCTCTCTCCATAAGCACCCAATCCACCTCTGATAAGTCCTGATCCAGCACCGTAGAAGGCATTCCCAAATGGATTTGGTTGTGTGCTGACAGCCGGTCTTGGTACTCCTGGCTGTGTTCCGAGATTATCATACATTTCTCTGGCAGGATAACATGAAGATTATGTTATGACGGGTTACAACTCAAGGAACTACATGAGTATGAGAATTGATCATCTCCTAACACCTGAGGCACCAAAAGACTGCCAGCTATGTGTGTAAAAAAAAACTTCTATATATGTAGTGCACCTGAACTACCAGCTATTCAGTTATCAACTTAGACAATCCCTTTCCTAATTCCACTGTACTCCCGCCAGATACCCCCATTCCAACTTGTTAACACCACCCATAATCTTTCATATCAACACTTCAGAAACAAAACTAGCAACAATTTAGTTTAAGCGCCTAAACCTTCTAAACTCTTCCTTTTCCAATTGATCAGAACAGCATCAAAGAGGGAATAAAAGTATCCAAAGATTCACTCCTAGATTATAAAGAAGGTGGGGTGCACCAAGCTGTTTATAACAAATTAACAAGTACATCCCTGTTTAAATCAGTTACAAAACCTAAAAATCATCTTCTCCATCAAGTAGTATACACAAACTACATTATCACTTCAAATAATCACCAAAACAAAAAAGATGTTCACGAGAATATGAGACACCACGAATTCTTACTTCCCAAGCCACCAGACATCAGCAACCTAGATCATTTTCCAATACAGACTAAGCTATCTAATCACAAAAAAGAAATCCAAACTTCGACGTCTCCACATTGATGAAACCAAATTATAAATCAAGAAACGCGTAGCTTTTCCTACTTTTGGACCTAAAACTGATAATCCAATAGATACAAATCAAATGCTTAATAAAAGCAATGGACAAAAACTAAATCAAAACAGTACGTATTCCTGAACATCAGTAACAGTAAAACAAATACTGCAAACAAACCCTAGCAAGTAATCGTATATGGAAGCGCTCGATTGAGCAGAACAAATAATTATCCCAACAATACTGCAAGCGGCGAACGCGAGGATATGACAGGTAGAGAAAGAGGTTACCTGTGTAGAATTTAGATCTGGGAAGAGAAGTCGCACGGAGAGCGTCCCGATTGGGGGATCCCGATGTTTCTTTCCTTCCAAACAAAAAGGAGATCACTGTGTGACTGCGTGAGAGAGAGAGAGAGGCTTTGGAGACACCGACACTGCGCGACTAGGTGACGGAGAGAAACGGAGAGGAAGGAACTGGCCGGACGTCGATCAAGTTCGGGATCCGAGTCCAGCGCTTTCCCGGCTGAAATTTGTCCTCTCTTTTTACTTAGTGGCTGAGTAAACTAAAATGCAAAAAAATCACTTCTCCGGGAAGGTTGAGGTTGTGCGCTATTTTTTATTTGCAATTTTTATAGATTTATTTAATTCACGCACATAAATAGTACTGTAAGTGAATCCGAAACTGCGAAACATTTTTTCCAGATTATAATTTGAATAGTTTTTATTTTTTAGTTACATCATTGTTATTGTGGATTTTTATGCAAATTTGTCTAATTCTAACTGTAATTGTAGGCAAGGATTAAAAAAAAATGAACAAAAAAATGTGATAAATAGTCTCTTATCTTACAATTTAAAATAATATGGAAAAAACGTAACGAAAAAGAATAATAATTATAATAATAATTAAATTTACATCTAACCATGATGAATCCTATCATTGCAAAATAATGAAAAAACATAACTTAATCAATTTGATTTGTCAACAAATTAATAGTTTGTTTTTAGGAGGGAGAAATTACATTTACATCTAACCATAATGAATCCTGTCATTGCAATATCATGAAATAACATAAATTAATCAATTTGTCTTGTCAACAAATTAGTTTGTTTTCAGGAGGGAAAAAGTGAAAGAAAAAAAAAGTATATACAGTTTTTTTTAAAAAAAATGTTCGACTTGATTTACGATTTTGATAAATCTAGTTTATTGATAAATCTAGTTTATGCATTATTTTGATAAATCTAGTTATTTTATTTTTATGTTTAAAATTCTAAATAAACCAACCTGTAGGTCTTTGATTTAGTTTTGGGGCTTTTGGCCTCCAACATCTTCCTCAATTAATGCTAGTTTGTGCAATTGATACTGTAGACTTAACTCTAATGATATGATTAAAAAATTATCATTTTGTTAATATGTCAGTTGATTATAAATTAACTTCAACTAATCCTTCAAAAAATAATGTATTAATATATATATTATGATAGGTAATAAATGAGAAAATTGGCATTAAGAATGTATAATATTTAGCTAACAACAAGATAGAAGTGTTTTAATCATACTAAAATCAAGTTGGTATTTGCAAATATTAAATATGTAGTTACAAATTAGGTTGGACAAAAAAAGAAAAATGAAATTTTGGTGTTATATTATTCAAAGTATATAGTATGAGAATAGTAAATAGTAATAAAAATATATATATTTTGAAAAGGTTATGTTGATGTAATAAAAAATAAACCATAAAAAAGAGCATTACTGTATTTTCTTATTGTAAAATTAAATTTATTTCCCAAATAAATTAAGGAGCAAAAAAATCGGGGAAATTTAAGCAAAATAAAAATGGCCAAAAGGGGAAAACTCGAAACAGTTAAAACTGAACAGAGCAACCAACAAGTTGGAAGGACAAAGCCCCGCCTAAATCCCGAAGCTCACGAAGAAGACCACCTCGACGCTAATTCGAATGAATTTTCACCTCTGAACGCTCGGGGAAAGCGATGGTAACCTTCGATTCCCTGCTGTAACTTTACTGCCCAGAAGTTTTTGCTTCATGATGCATTCTGGGTTCGCTAAAATTGATCTTTCGTCCCACCCCCTTTAATGATTTTGTGTTGTTTTTTTCTCCTGGGGTTTCAGTTTTCGATCGCAGCGATCAATGATACAGACTCGAAAGGGGAATGGGAACCTCTTGCCCCAACTAAGGAAGCCCAGGTAAGAATTTCAGCTACTGATTATGCACACTCTCACTCTTATTTACAATGTCGCTATGTTCTAACCATTGCGGAAATTTTAAGGAATTAATATTTGATAGTATAAGAGGTTATAGAATTTTGTGTGAATTCTTCAGTATGGATGTTGCTGTCGTTATGCTTTGGTAGCTTGTTGTGGCAATTGAAGATTGAATTTGTGGAAAGAAGGGGAAAGAGATGGGTGGGGTTTACTAGGGCACATAGCCAAAAGTTAAGTTGGCTAGTTCTTATATTCTAATCGCGGATTACCACGAAGAGAGAATGTCACATAATCATATAGAATGATGTAGTGGAGAATATGACTAGTTGTTGATGGAGTTACTATTGTAGTGCCTTCCAAGTATATTAAGGACTCCACAGCTCCAATGGTTTTAGATTAATAAAGCATTGGCTAGTCCAGTTGTATAGATTTCGCTGGCTACTACTTCCATGAAGCATATTTCATAGATCAAAAGTAAAGAAAAATTTCTTTAACGCTTGGCTTGCGCTGTCATGTCGACTCAACTTTCTGTTTGTCGTTTGATGTTGTATACAGGAGTTCCATCTATCACAGCTTTATCATGAAGGACTGGCAAAGCTTCAAGCTAAAGAATATGAAAAGGCTCGTGAACTCTTAGAGTCGGTTATAAAAGATCCTTTGGTATCAACTGCGCAGGTAATTTCTGTTCTAGGTTAATTTTTTTGACTACCTCCAAAGTTGCATTCTAAGCCTGATGTTTCTCGGACCCTGATGTCTATTTCTTTTAAGGTTGAAAATAATGGTAGCGATGGCCATCTTTTACAGCTCAGGTACATGTTGCAACTTATAACATCAAATGCCATACATAAAATTTATAATGTCTCATTTCACATAGTTGTTGTTTAGAATTTAAACCCTTCTATTCTGTTACTGCATTGACTGACATCATCGCCCTTTGCTTGTTAACAAGATCGCGTGGGTTGATGGGCTGACTAATAAAACTCTGGTGCTATTATTACATTGAATGTGTTGATCTCAAATGAGCACATTATTTTTTTGGAAATAGATATTGTGAGGAATAATATCAATAATTATGGTAATATAGCATAGGAGCAAACCTTATGAAACTCTACGTATTTATCTTCATGCAGATTTTTGGTGCTGAAAAACCTTGCCACAGTTTTTTTCCAACAAGGTTCTGCATTTCACGAGAATGCTTTACAGTGCTACCTTCAGGCAGTGGAGATTGATAACAAAGATTCAGTTGTCTGGAACCAGTTAGGAACCTTATCCTGCTCAATGGGGCTTCTCAGTATTTCACGGTGGGCATTTGAACAAGGATTGCTTTGCAGCCCCAACAACTGTAAGCAGTTTGTGTTTTATCTTAGGGAGAAGCAATTGAATATTATGGAATTCCAAGTACTGTTTGCAAATGGCACCATTCATGACATAACCGAGACTGTAAACTATCTGGGCTTTGATGCTATATACTGATTTTCCACCCTTGCCACTGTATATTGTAGGGAATTGCATGGAAAAACTTTTGGAAGTTCTTATTGCTATTGGTGACGAGGTTGCCTGTCTCTCTGTGGCTGAATTGATATTGATGCACTGGCCATCACATTCACGTGCTTTACAAGTTAAAACTACAATTGAAGACTCTGAACCAGTCCCATTTTCTCCGAGGGGTATAGACAAACTGGAGCCTAAACATATTCGGCTTAAATTTTCTAAGAGAAAGGCCAAATGTGATGACACGGGTGATGAAGGTGTTCCATCGAAGAAGTTGAAGAAAACTGTGGAAATGCAGCTTGCTGAAGCTTCCTGGACTACTCTTGCTGGTAATCTCCTGGAGATTTTGAATGATTTGGGTTCAGATAATGCTGAAATGAGATCAAATCAATATAAATCTGGGAGGTCTAGTATTAGTATTCAATTGCCTAACACTTCAAGAATTGTTACGGGGACTGTGGAAAGCAAAGGGTCTATGTTAACTTCAACTGGCATAGATGCGTCCGTTGCTAATAGAAATATTGAGAAACATTGTCCCACCAAATCAAAGGAAGCCAATGTTTATGAGGATCAGCCTCAAGAAAGACGAAGTAGTCGTCTTAGGAGCCGTAAACCCGAAAAAGATGATTCAGGTTTGGTGATCACAAAGGATCTAGGTAAAGTTGTTATGCAATTTTTAAGACCTTTTATTTTGGATGAAGGAGGAAACTATGGTTTGGAGACTGATGCTACTTCCTCATTTGATTGTTCTGGAGCTGTTACAAGAGCCCAGGATTCCGAAGGTATGGATGTGATTAGATTCGTTCAGAAAACTTTGAACAATTATGGTGCCTACCACTTGGGTCACTTGCTTCTAGAAGAGGTTGCAAGCAGAGACATACTCTATCAAGAATCGAATGCTAAACTTCTGGAGTTGGAGAAGTTAACAAGGCAATGGGGGAAGGAAAGGTCTCCGCAATGTAGTCTTTTTCTTGCAGAGTTATATTATGACTTTGGCCTGCGTTCTTCAGAGTCATCTGTGTCTGAGTACATGTCAGAGGCTACGTACCACCTTTGTAAAGTTATTGAGTCTGTAGCTCTGGAGTGTCCACTCCAAACTTCGGGTATCCCTTGGAATAATAATCTTTCTGGAAAAGAAAGTTTGTCAGACAATAGTAAATTTTCAGTTCGTGATAGTTATCCATTGAGCAACAACTATCCCTTCTGGGTGCGCTTTTTCTGGTTGAGTGGGCGACTCTCAGTAGTAGATGGAAACAAAGCAAAGGCCCGGGAAGAGTTTTCTATTTCTTTATCGCTATTGGAAAAGAATCAAAGTGTGAGTGACTCCACTCCTATTTGCTTGTCACATTGCAAAGCTTGTCAAAATTTGACTGCTGATAGAATTGTCAATGAAATGAGCTTGTTAGAGGTGGACTTCTTGATGAAGAGGACTGTGCCTGATATGATTGAAAAGCATATGTATTCAGAGTGTGTAGATTTGCTTGTTCCACTTTTGTTCTGTGCCAAAGAAGTCCATCTTGATGTAGGGGATGTTACTGGGATCGATAAAGGATTCACACATGTTGAGCTATCTGCAATAAATGCTTTGATCAAAGCTTGTGAGCGAGCAGAGGAAATGGACTTTGAGGTTTGTCTGAAGTGTCACAAGAGGAAACTTCAGGTACTCATGTCTGCAGCTGGTCTAGGTGACTTTGCTACTGCTAATAGAATGCTAGGTATGAAAGATTTCTGTGCTACTGAATCGGAAACAGAAGAGAGCATGCGCTGGGACCGCTTGGTTGCTGAAGAAGTTAAGGCAATTTCTGATTGTATTTCACGCATTAAGAGCATCACTGCAGGTGAACGTGTGGTAAGTAAATCAATCTATCTTTCTAGGTCACCCATCAGCTTTCAACTGAATATTTGATATCCTATTAGTATGGCTGTGATATCTCTTCTGCATATGTAGAAGAATTTTCGCCCCTCGCGCTGTATGAATTACTAAAAGCTTGAAAAGGATTGTTTATGTATCCTTATTATGTCATGACCTATATTTGGAAACATGTTGAAAGTTGACTGAACTTTTAACCTTTCTACTTGCATGAATATCATCTTCTTGTTCACCACCTGAGATTTATGTGTTAATCTGTGTCAAATACTTGTTCGTCTACTCTTCCCCCCCCCCCTCTTTTGGTGGGAGACCTCCATGGTGCATTGCTAATTTGTTTCTTTGGTTTTAGAATGGTGTTGTTGGTCCAATAACAGTCATCAGTGACATTCAATCATTGCTTCTGGATCTAATGTGCAATGTTGCCAACAAGTACCTCTCTAAGAAAGCTGGTACTGACCAAAATGATCTTGGAGAAAGATGTTACTTTTTAGATGCAGCTATTACATTTTGTAAGCTTCAACACTTGATCCCTGATGTGCTTATAAAGACTCAGGTAAGGCTTACCTAATATTTAAAAATTTTGACGGCTTACTCATAGCCTGTGTGACATGCATTACTTATATCTCCCTTTAATTTGCCTTTTCAGACTGAATTAATTGTTGCAATCCATGACATGCTTGCTGAATTTGGTCTCTGCTGTGGTCGTGGAAGTGATGACGAAGAGGAAGGGACGTTTCTAAAATTTGCTATTAAGCACTTATTAGCTTTGGATATGAAGCTTAAATTGAATTTGCACACTATCAATACCACAGATGATACAAAATGTTCTGAGCAGTCCACCCAGTGCCCTGAAGCTTCCACTAAAGAAAAAATAATGATTGATCTTAATGCAGAGGTGGATCTGACTGATAGAGATGAAAACTGCAGGAGTGAAAAGGATGACCCAGAAATGAGGATTTCAGAAGGCATTTCCAAACATGAAAATTTCCAGAATGACAAAACAGGAATGGACTGCGATAAAGATGCTGATGTTAGGCCCAATGAAATGTTTCATGAGAAAGAAAAAGAAAACAAGCAATCTACAGAATGTGAGGCTGAATTAACGGAGGATGAAAGAGAAGAACTTGAGTCGGGGATTGATAATTCTTTAGATCAATGCTTTTACTGTTTGTATGGTTTGAATCTCAGATCTGACTCATCTTACGAGGATGATTTAGCAGTGCACAAAAACACAAGCCGTGGGGATTACCAGACAAAGGAACAGTGTGCTGATGTTTTCCAGTACATCCTTCCGTATTCTAAAGCTTCAACTGTGAGTAAATTTGGAAGATACTTTTCTTCTTTCTAGTTTATCCCCTTTCTTACTTCTGGTCTACTATATTTCACATTACATTTGCTGATAAGATGTGTATGTCCTTCAGCGAACTGGGCTTATAAAAATTCGGAGAGTTCTAAGAGCTATACGCAAGCACTTTCCGCAGCCACCTACTGATGTTTTGGAAGGAAATGCTATAGATAAGTTCTTAGATGATCCTAATTTATGTGAAGATGAACTATCAGAAGAGGCTGGATCTGACGGCTTTCTGGACTCTGTTATAAAAAGAGTATTTTCTGATCCTGGAAGTCTCAAAGAACAGCAAACCTCTCTAGTAACTAGGTACTTTCTATACCACAAGTTTATTTTCTAGTAATCAAGTTTGAAATTATCTGGTATATTATTTCCTGAATTGAGTTCTTCTTGTAAGTTTGGGCCGTGATATTATTTTGGCTGTCAATGCTTTTTACTTCAAAAGTTAAGTCTAACCCTAGTGATTTGCCAACTAATGCAGTTCTGAACCATATTATGATGTATACTGCAACCTTTATCATGTTCTTGCGTTGTCCGAGGAGATGAGTGCAACCGACAAATGGCCTGGCTTTGTTTTGACAAAGGAAGGGGAAGACTTTGTCGAGCAAAGTGCAAAGCTCTTCAAATATGATTTACTTTACAATCCATTGCGCTTTGAGAGTTGGCAACGGCTGGCAAATTTATATGATGAGGTTACTTGAGTTATTTGCACGTACTTTAATTTAAATACATGCAGAGAGAGCTTCACTATTTTGATCCCTTTTTTTAAAAAAAAAAAAAAAAAAAAAACCCTTCCAGAGAGAGCTTATGTTTAAGTTTATTATAGATTTTCCCTTAAAAGCTCTTTGTGTATGCAGGAGGTAGACTTGCTATTGAATGATGGAAGTAAGCAAATAAATGTTTCAAGCTGGAGAAAGAATGCTGATTTACCTCAGAGAGTTGAAAGAAGTAGAAGAAGGAGCAGGCGATGCTTATTAATGACATTGGCTCTGGCGAAAACAGCGGTTCAACAGGTTTTATAACATGTTGCCATTTCTGTTTGGTCTTGCATACATTTTTTCTTTGTAATTACCCTGTGGTTTCAATTGGTATTGCCGTATTCGTTCTTGCTTTCTGGTTGATTATCTTAGTGAAATTTGCGTTTGTAAATTGCACTATAATTGTTGAATGTTTTACAATATGTGGTGTTTCCGCGGTGCTATTTGTGATGATTAACTTCTTGAGATGGTAATAGTGAAATGTTCTTATTCTCGAGCATGTATGATTATCTAGGAGAGCTTCAGATTTCCTCTAAAGCTTAGCTTTGTTTTCCCAAATACTCATGCTATTTTTATGTAAGAATAAACTTGGAAGAAATGTCAATTTTTATCACTCAGAGATGTATGATGAGTTATTGATTGAGATGTGTGCTTGTGCTGCTAGCTGGGGATTTTGACTTCAACTTTATCACACTTCTTAAGATATTCGTGTATTCTGCTTTGTTCCAGGGTGAGATACACGAATTGTTGGCGTTAGTGTACTATGATGGCATTCAGAACGTTGTACCCTTCTATGACCAGAGATATATATCACCATCAAAGGACAGAGACTGGACAATGTTCTGTCAAAACTCAATGAAACATTTCAAGAAGGCGTTTGAACATAAGTACACATTTTCTCATCCATGTTATTGAGATATTTTAGCCTTAAATTGTTGAATCTCACAAAATTTATGTCTACAGGGAAGACTGGTCTCATGCATTTTATTTGGGTAAACTCTGTGAGAAGCTTAGCTACTCGAAGGACTTGTCTTTTTCATACTACGCAAAGGCTATTGCTTTGAATTCGTCGGCTGTGGATCCTTTCTACAGAATGCATGCTTCTCGTCTGAAGCTTCTCTCGAAATGTGGGAAACATGATCCCAAAGCCATGAAGGTAGCATCAACAAAACATATTGTTTACTCGGTGTTTTCCAATTCATTTATACTGCCTATAATTTAAGCATGCAATACTTTTTGGATCCACTTATTGCTGCATATCATCTTGTAGTTGTCTCAGATTCAGTTCCTGTATTCTATCTATGCACAAGTTTGTATGAGTTTGCGTATTACAATTGACAATGGCTATGGGATTATTTTAGATGGTTGCATCATACTCATATATGGAGTCCACAAAGCTGACTGTCATGAGAATTCTTGATGAAATTGACCATGAAATTTCACAATCAAGAACGAGTGCTGATGAAAGAAGTGCAGATGGCAACTCCACTTGTTCCTTGGTGAATATGTCTAAGTTGGAAGAGGTGTGGCATTTGCTTTACAATGATTGCCTTGCTGCGCTTGAAATTTGTGTGGAAGGAGAACTCAAACATTTTCATAAAGCTAGATATATGCTTGCTCAAGGGTTTTATCAAAGAGGGGAGAGCGGAGATCTGGAGAAGGCGAAGGAGGAGTTGTCCTTCTGCTTTAAGTCATCTCGTTCTTCCTTTACAATTAACATGTGGGAAATTGACAGTACTGTCAAGAAAGGAAGGTAAGAGATTGCGTATAGTTTGGCTTCTCTGTCGTATTTTGTATTTAAATTACTGTTTGAATATGCATTCCGATTCTCATTTCACGTGTCCAATTGAGGGAGTTCATAAGGGAGTGAACTTAAGTAATCAATTCTTGATGTAAGCACAAATCTGTATCCTACTCATAGTGATTGAATATGACAATGAGAAATTTAAACTCAGAGGAGGTCTCTTTTATCATAGGATTTGAATACTGTGAGATTCGCTTAAGACAGAGGAGGTCTCCTTTATCATAGGATTTGAATACTGTGAGATTCCCTTAAGACTTATCTCGTATATATGATGAAGCAATCTGCAGAGAAACTGCAAAATGTCATTTTCTCTTCCAAGCCTTTACATATTTGTTCGTGTCTTTTTCTATCTGCAGGCGCAAAGCACCGAGTCTGTCCAGCAATAAAAAAACACTGGAAGTTAACCTAGCGGAAAGTTCACGAAAATTTATTACTTGCATCAGGAAGTACATATTATTCTATTTGCAATTGTTGGAGGAAACTGGTGACTTGCCAACTTTGGATCGGGCATATAGTTCGCTTCGAACGGACAAGAGGGTATACATATATGTGGCTTTCCCTGTTGAGTTTTTTTGTTTGCTTCTTTTCTTCCTTGTTCATCCTAATTGGGGAAATATATGAATATGACATATATTACCCTCAACTGTCATTGCAGTTCTCTCTGTGTCTAGAAGATATTGTTCCTGTTGCCCTGGGGAGATATGTCAGGACTTTAATAAAGTCTATCAATCAATCTCGCTCTAGCTCTGATACTGCTGTTAATAGTGCCGATGAGCATCTTCTGGAGAAAATTTTCTCTTTGTTCCTGGAACAGGTGAACTTGTGGTCGGATATTTGCAGCTTGCCTGATATTAAGACCCCAGAACTGACAGAAGCCTACTTATATGGGTAACTTCATTGTTGGTTTATTTGGCTACCTTTACCCTACTTTTAAGAGTGTAGAAACCTTTTGAAATGTCCTTCTGCAGCCTGCTGATTGCTTTCTTCAGATGAACATAAAGTCAACATGCTTCATTGATACTTGTCTTAATCAGCAAGAGACATGTATTTATGTTTTGTTTAAAATTTGCTGCAGATATCTCTATCAATACATCCAGTCCTTAGAGAGAGATGTCAAGGTTGAGGCACTTGAGGGTATAAATGAGAAAATCAGGAAGCGGTTGAAGAACCCAAAGTTGTCCAATAGCAACTGTGCTAAAGTTTATAAGAATGTTTGCGTTGCTTGGTGTAGATCTCTAGTAATCAGCATGGCTTTGATAACACCGTTGCATTCTAGACTTTCCAGTGAGCTCCATGTTCCAGGTTTATTAGGTGTTGGATCAGAAAACATACAGTTACTCTGTGTAGATCTTCAATCAGATGAATTATGGAGTTCATCAGCCGAGGACCTAGAACATCTGAATAGTCTTGAAATGAAATGGAACCCTTCATTGTCTAAGATCAAGAATGTGATTGTCAAGAGAGCTTCAGATGAAGACCTGGAAACTGCTGCCATTTTGCTTAGATCTTCTTATAACTTCTACAAGGACACATCTTGTGCTTTGTTACCATCTGGTATAAACCTTTATACGGTGCCATCTCAATTAGCAACAGAAACATATGTCCAGCCTGGTATAGATGGGGTAGACATTCTTGACATGAATACATCAAGGAAGCTTCTCTTGTGGGCCTTCACACTTCTGCATGGATATTGCCCAAGTCTTTCTGTTGTGATTAAATACTGTGAGGAAAATGTTAAGGTAAGCATAACATCTTTTTAATATTGTAACTTTCGTAACTATTATATGAATTGCAATTGAAATCTGGCAAAAGAATGAGATACCCGCTCAAAACTTTCTTGCTTTAACATAGAGATATTTGTGTGATATTGCTGCTTCAGATCGTTTTTAGGTTCACCGTTTATCATCCACTCGTCATAGCTTCTAGTTGAGCACTATGATATCATATTTGGAAAAAAACAATGGTGGAAGGAAAAATTATCCACTGCATAAAATGTTCTGCTTGCAGATGGATTATTACTATTTTTTTCTTCTGAACCTCAGTTTCTGTTTTGAATTGCAGTTGAAGATGAAAAAGGGAACTGGAAGCCCATTTATAGGTTCAAATGCAAGCACACCTTCTGCACCAAGCTCCAACACAGGTGTGTACAATTGATTTGTAAAATCTTTTCATAACCTAGATTTCTGTCATGGCACATACTTAATTCCGTGACCACATTGTAGGTGGCGGGAAAGATGGAACTGGGAAAACTAATGAGCCAGATGGTTGCTCCATTTCACCTGTTGTGGCTACTGCTTCCATGCCCGAAACAGATTGTTCACCTACAGTGGTATGTCTCTCCTCACCTGAAAAAGAAGCAAATAATGCTTCGCCAGCTTGCTTGCTCCAAAAAGAGGGCACCCAGAATTTGGCACTAATAACGCATCCAGAGACAGAGATCCTTTCCAGCACATTGCCATCATCGTTGCCTGAAAGTGCTAGCGAAAACTTGGCTAACATATCCTCCATTGAGAATCAAGAGATACCTTCGTCAACTTCACCGGCATTGCATAGCAGGAGCAGTGCTGAAGAAGACGGTGTTATAGATCTCAACAAAGATTAATATATCACCATTCTGATGACTTGGTTGCTCTACCATCATCAAATAACCCCTCGTCTTTAAAGAGCTCTCGGCTCCTTCCCACGAGGAAACAGCTCAGCCTGTAAATGTTTATTCGAAGTTTAGGTTTGTTTCCCTTGGTAGGCATTTTGTAAATATGAATTTCAATTTGCTAACTCAGTGAAGATCTAGTTTAGGATAGTTTAGTCAATTTGTGATAGATGCTACTCTCTACCAGGGATTTTCTGATAATTTGCACTTTTTCTATATAAAAGTTCAAAATTTATTTTTATTTGATTATAATAATACTCCAGTTTACGATAAGTGTGATGGTATAAACGCCCTTATAACCCGAAAACAGAAAACCGATTAAAACTTCAGACTTGGGAGAGATGAGTTAAGCAGAGAGGAAGATGAGAAAGAAAGAATTCTGGGGAAGAAAATGGAGTAGAAAGGAAACTGAAACAAGAAGAAATTCATTTCATAATCCCCTTCATCAAACTCTCGGTACATATATAAAACAGAGGAGATTCCTCTTAATCCTTTAATTTAGCTAACCGCTCAGCAATTGTAAGGTGAAGAAAAAGACAAAGCAACGGCATTGGACAGCTGCTACTTCGTACGTTTTGGACGTTTGCGTTGGAAGCAATTTCCAGGAAACTGCCTCAGAAGCTTGGTCCCCAATTAAAGCTGAACGATGCCGTTTGATCACCCTAATTGATAACTTGAAAAATTACCCGAAGTCGTCTAACCCGTTTTCCTAACCCGATCTGCATGACATTGCCACCGTCTGAAATCAGACTTGTCCTCAAGTCTGAAATGCTGGAAACTGATTCTTGATGAATGAGCAATCTTCCCAAGAAGAATCTTCCTCTCCCATGTGCTTCCACTTGATCAACCACTGGACAATTTCTTTGTTTCCTCTAATCACCATTCTTCTCTGCAAAATTGCTTCTGGAACCAGAGAGGTATATTCAGGATCATCCAAGTCAGGTAATTCTGTTGGAGTGACTGGTTTAGTTCCCACAAATTTTTTGAGAAGGGATACATGGAAGACCAGGTGGACTCTTGAATGAGCAGGCAACTGTAATTTATAAGCAACATTTCCAATCTTTTCCAATATCTCAAAAGGGCCGAAGTACTTGATGCTCAGTTTCAGAGACAACCTGAATCCAACGGTATTCTGCCTATATGGCTGGAGTTTCACGTATACCCAGTCCCCAACATTGAGAGTTCTTTTTGTCCTATGGTTGTCTGCGTAAAACTTCATACGGAATTGAGCTCTTTCCAGATTATCTTTCAAGGTTCTCAGAACTTCACCCCTTTTTTCCAGCATGTTCTCCACAGCTGGAATCAAAACTGAGGTATAAGGTCCCATGGGTATGCTAGTTGGTTTGGTTCCATATAAAGCCTCAAATGGAGTCATCTTGGCACTGGACTGGAACGAGGTGTTGTACCACCATTCCGCTAAGCTCACCCAGGAAGTCCAGGAACTAGGATTTTGGCTGCAAAAGCATCTTAAGTATGATTCAAGACACTGGTTAAGTCTTTCTGTTTGTCCATCGCTTTGAGGGTGGTAAGCACTGCTCATGCTCAATGTAATGCCCATAGTTTTGAATAACGTTTGCCAGAAATGGCTAGTGAACACAGGATCTCTATCGCTGACAATTGAGTTGGGAGCTCCATGAAGTCTGAATATTTCTTTGAAGAAGATCTCGGCAACCGTTTTGGCAGTGAAAGGGTGTTTGAGAGGAATAAAATGACCATATTTTGTTAACCGGTCCACCACTACTAAGATGGAAGTGTAACCTTCTCTTGACGGGGGCAATTTCTCAACAAAATCCATCGAAATCTCCTTCCAAGCTTCCTGTGGTATTTTTAGTGGTTGCAACAACCCGGGATAGGGCACATGTTCAGACTTGTGCATTTGGCAAACCTGACACTGTCTCACGAACTCTTCCACTTCCTTCCTCATTTCCTTCCAAGTGAAAGTAGAGTTCAGCCTCTGGTAAGTTGCCTTCTGTCCTGAATGTCCTCCAAGTGGAGTGGAATGAAAGGTTTCCATCAACATTTTTCTGATGTCAGCACTCTTCCCGACATAAATCTTCCCATTGCATTTGAGAATACCATTAACCAATTGTACTTCTGGATGGTTTTATGGACTCATTGCTACTGATGCTATGAGTTTCTGCGTGGAATCATCTCCTATATAACTGCTCTCTATTTGCTGCACCCAAACAGGTTGAACACTAGAAATAGCAATGAGTTCTTCTTCCCGGCTAGCTTCATTTGGAAGTCTGGATAGTGAATCAGTTGCAACGTTCTCCTTCCCTTTCTTATATTGGATCTCATAATCCAATCCTAGCAGTTTGGTTAACCATTTATGCTGCATCGGAGTTGTGAGTTTTTGCTCAAGGAGATACTTCAATGCTTGATGGTCAGTTTTTATAATAAAGTGATGCCCTTGGAGATAGTGTTTCCATTTGCTGATAGACATCACTACTGCTAGAAGCTCCTTCTCATAGATAGACAATCCTTGATTTCTAAGAGAGAAAGCTCTACTGAGGTAAGTAATAGGTCTCCCTTGCTGCATCAACACGGCTCCCATACCTGTATCACAGGCATCAGTCTCCACTGTGAAGGGCAAACTGAAATCAGGTAACTGTAGAACAGGAGCATTCATCAAGGCTTTCTTTAAGATTTGGAAGGCCCCTTCTGCTTCTTGGTTCCACTAGAAGGCATCTTTTTTGAGTAAATTAGTAAGTGGTTTACTCAAAACACCAAAGTCTTTTACAAAACGCCTGTAATATCCAGCAAGCCCCAGAAACCCCCTGAGTTGCTTAATGTTGGTAGGGCTAGCCCAGGCTTGGATACTCTCCACCTTGCTTGTATCCATATCTACCCCGGCTTCTGAGATTACATGGCCTAGGTATTCAATGGCATTCTGAGCAAAGGAGCATTTGCTCCTCTTAGCAAACAATTCATGCTCTTTCTACACTTCCATTACCACAGTGAGGTGAATAACATGGTCTTGCAAAGTGAGGCTGTAAATGAGTATATCATCAAAGAAAACCAATACGAACTTACGGATGTAAGGTTTAAAGACTTGATTCATTAAAGCTTGGAAAGTGGCAGGAGCATTAGTAAGACCAAAGGACATAACCAGGTATTCAAAATGTCCATGGTGTGTCTGAAATGCAGTTTTTGGCACATCTTCTGTCTTAACTCTGATTTGATGATATCCTGCTCGCAAATCAATCTTAGAAAAGTATTTAGCGCCTTTCAGTTCGTCAAGTAATTCTTCTATTACTGGAATAGGGTACCTACTCTTAATAGTTAAGGCATTCAGACGCCGGTAATCAATGCAAAGCCTCCATTCCTTCTCCTTTTTGGGAACTAGTAAAACAGGTGAAGCATAGGGACTGTTGCTTTCCTGTACTATTCCCTTACTTAGCATATCCTCCACTTGAGCTTCTATCTCATCTTTGTGTGCATGAGGGTACCGGTAGGGCTTCAGCTTAAAGGGTACAGCATCCGGTTTCAAGCAGATTTGATGATCAATACCCCTAACAGGAGGTAAAGAAGTTGGTTCTTTGAAAATTTCTGGAAAGGCATCTATGATTTCCAGGATTTCCACTGGTATGGCTGCAATATTAACGGCACTTAAGATTCCGACATTTTCAAATTCACTCCTATTGTAGTGCTGCTCTCTTTGTCGCTTTAACTGGTTAACGATTCTCCTCCTTTCCTCCATTTGGACTTCTTTCAAAATTTCATATTCTGCTCTCCTTTTATGATACAAACTCCTTTTGTATTCAGCTTCCTGCTTGTCAAATTCATCTATAGATTGGCCTTTAAGAATGAATACCTCCCCCCTTCTGTGCAGCTGTATGGAGAAAGCCCCATACTCAAACAATATAGGGCTGAAATGGGTCATCCAATCAGTTCCTAGGACTAAATCCCAGTTCCCAAGTTCTAGCAACCTCAAGTCAAACTTAAAGTGATACTGTTGAATGTTCCACTGAGCGTCGGGACATATTTGATCATTTGTAATTCTGTATCCATCAGCCACTGATACCATAAAAGGTTTAACTCTCTTTCGTGCTAAGCCCAGTTTAAGAGCCAACTTGCTACTCAGGAAACTTTTGGCTGCTCCTGTATCTATCAAGATCTTTAGAGCTACCTTGCCAATGTAACCAACAAGAACAATAATCCTGCTGTCTTCATCATTCTTAGAGAAACAGTCTTCACACTGGGGAATTGCAAGTAGGGGATCGGTCTTGGTGAGTTACGTGATAGCATCATTTTCGGTTCTATTTGTAACCAATCAAGATCCCCTAAATCATCATTCTCTTCTGCGGCAATAAAATTAATCTGTTGAAGCTTACATATGTGACCCGGTCCCCATTTCTCACCACATTTCCAGCATAAGTTATTATTGCGCCTATACTGAATTTCTTGGGGTGCAATTCTCTTAAAGTGGTCATTTCCAGCCCTTCTAGCCCCAGAATTACTCAAGTGACTTCTGTTGATGGTCTTTCCATTAGGATGGTAGGGTTTAAAAGAAGTACTTTGATTACGGTTTTTGGCCAACATCTCTTTAACAGTAAATTCCAAAGTCTTCTCTTGCACTTGAGCAATTTCAAAAGCTCTTAAAAGCGTGGGAGGTTCTAACAATCTAACCATTGGTTTCAACTCTTCTCTTAACCCACTGATAAAACTGGAAATGAAGTAAGCTTCAGTTAAACGAGGATCCCCACACAAGACTAAAGATTTTAACTCTTCAAATTTCTCATGATATTCTATCACAGTTCCTGTTTGTTGTAACTTATTGAACTCCTCTATTTCATTCATTCCTCCTTTTTCACCGAACCTTTTCACCAATTCTCTCTCAAATTCAAGCCAAGTAAGCCCCCCTTTAACTCTTTTCAGACTTTGGTACCACAAATCAGCTTTCCTTCCAAATATAGTTCAATAACATCCATTCTATCAGTACCAGGAACCTTATAAATGCTAAAGTATTTATCACATTTTCTCAGCCAATCACGAGGGGTATCACCACAAAAATTAATAAGTTCCAGTCTTGGTTGATTAAGCCATGAATTCTTACCATTCTTGTCTCTCCAAGGGCTAGGAGACTCACCCTCTAAGTCGGTTCTGGATACTCCTGTAGGATTTGGCAGCAGAGGCGATTTCTCATTGTGTAGAGCTCCCTTGTTTCCATCCTTCTGCCAGATCTGCAAAAGGCTCGACAACTGGTTGCTAAGATTCACGAACTGTTGTGCCTGATGATCAATTTTTGTTTCCAACTGTGTTCCCCAGTTGCTGATTTTTTCCTCCATACTCGTTTGACCATCACTAACTTGCTTTTCCATCAATCTTCTCCATTCGTTTATCTCAACCATTTGAAGATCCTGTTTTTTTGCATGTTCCTCCAACTGTTGAGTTTTAGATCTAGTTTCAGCCATTTTCACACTGTCCGGAAGATCAACCTGCTCGGATACCAAGTGTGATGGTATAAACGCCCTTATAACCCGAAAACAGAAAACCGATTAAGACTTCAGACTTGGGAGAGATGAGTTAAGCAGAGAGGAAGATGAGAAAGAAAGAATTCTGGGGAAGAAAATGGAGTAGAAAGGAAACTGAAACAAGAAGAAATTCATTTCATAATCCCCTTCATCAAACTCTCGGTACATATATAAAACAGATGAGATTCCTCTTAATCCTTTAATTTAGCTAACCGCTCAGCAATTGTAAGGTGAAGAAAAAGACAAAGCAACGGCATTGGACAGCTGCTACTTCGTACGTTTTGGACGTTTGCGTTGGAAGCAATTTCCAGGAAACTACCTCAGAAGCTTGGTCCCCAATTAAAGCTGAACGATGCCGTTTGATCACCCTAATTGATAACTTGAAAAATTACCCGAAGTCGTCTAACCCGTTTTCCTAACCCGATCTGCATGACAATAAGGATGTTAAATGGGCCAAACTACATATATGGATTAAAATTTAGCCCAGTAAGGCTTCTAGTTTGTCTGAGTCTTCAGCCATTTCTTAAACAAATTTGTGCGGATTTTTGCTGCGAGTAAAAGAGATCAGAGCAATGGCGAACAGAGCATTGCTTTTGCTAACTCATCGTGCACCCCTAGCTTCTCATACTTCATCATGCTTCTTGTTCGGTTTCATAGGAACCCCTCTTCCTGCAGTGAAGAGATCGTTTGTGCAATACAAGAATCCAAAAACCCGGAATTACTCCACCACAAAATCCAGTCTTGAGCCACCTAATCTTCCAAAGTTGGCTGAAACTGCCCGTATATCTCTCACCCCAGATGAGGTACCATTTATCTTCATGAAACTTTGTTATTGTTTCTGTGACCAATTTTTAACGTGCCTGTCTTTTGAAGCATTTTTTTTTTTTTTTTTGACGAGGAACCATTTTTGTGGGCTTTTTTTTTTGGGTGTCTGTAGGTGGAAGAATTCGCTCCCAAAATCAGACAAGTGGTAGATTGGTATGCACACCTTCTCTTGTCCTCTGTGTAATTGTTTCTGCTTGAATTTGAAATGTACTTAGGATTTTTGGTTTAGAGTCCGAATTGTAGAATGGGTTACTGACATTCTCTTTGGGACTTTATGACAAACAGGTTTGGGCAATTACAAGCAGTTGATCTTGAAAGTTTTGAACCCGCAATAAGGGCAGGTAGCTTACTTTGCTTAGATAAATACTCTCTTTTTCCCTTTTTTTTCTATTTTTTCCCCTGCCATTTTAACTTGTAAAATAGGTGCAATAATGTTTATCCAGTTTAAGACATTTTTTATTATGTTCGCACTTAATGGGGAACCAGAGATTTGGAAAGTTAAAGTCATTGCACCATCTGTTTTAGTTGCAGCATTCTTGTACTTTATTCTTGTCGAGATGATTGATCAAGAAAGTAACTACAGAATTAGTAATCTCTATCTGAATGCAGTTTGGTGTTTGCATCAAACTGAATGCAGATATGATGATGCATAAATAAGATTGCATTGGGAAAATTTTGGTTCTTTGAGATTCATTTGTCCTGAGACGCAAGAACTAAGCTAATTAGTAATTGCTTGTTTACTTTATTCCACTTGCAATAGGAGTGATTTCTACATAGGCATAAAAGACTAGCATGCTTGTGTCTGTTCCTGAAATATCAATAGCTACTCTTCCTTTTCAACTAGGTTTTGAAATGCATTGTGTTTGATTAAATTGTTGTAAAATTTTGCGTAATCTGCAGATACTGAGGGAGACAATTTACGTAACGATCTGCCTGAAATTTTTGAGAACCGGTTAGTATTAAGATTATGGGTTTGATATGTACTGAATCATCAATAATCAACTGAGCAAATCAAATTTTATCTACAGGGAAGGAATAATAACAGCTATCCCAAGCTATGAAGACCCTTATATCAAAGTCCCCAAGGTCTTAAATAAGGATTAAAATTGCAAGGTAACCTTCTCCTTGTTGCTTCTTTAGTTTTCTGTCACCAATGAGGTCTCGACTAGGGATCTGAGGTGTCTTGGATGCAATTCCCTCACTTGTTGCATCCCACCCGCTCTTCCGTTTTAAGTGTCAACTATAAGGCTAGTTTTTGAGGAGTTGCTTTTATGTACTTTTTCTCCAACTGCATCTGCACTTTGTTACACTTCTTTAATCTTAACGATGATGTTTTTCATTCTTGTCAAATTTCAAATGTTACTCCTTTGTATCTTTTCTGGTTACTACATTTATAGATATCTTCATCATCGGGCCAACTAATTTACTTAATGATTACTCTTCTTTGCAATTTCGACTGTACATTACTTTGACACTGTTAAAGGGGCAAAGATAGGGGATGCTATTCAATCTTTATGTATATTTTTGTATTATGCACTCTTAGCAGCATTTTTCTTCGATGCAATTCTCTTATTCCCCTCTCACTTGTCAGGTATGCAAGGGTAGTTTCAGCTTCACCAATGTACCAGCTAACAAAATAGGGCTCAAGTCGTATAGCATTTCGAATCATTTGTGAGCAAGCCAGAGGTTCGCAACGAGTGAGTGGATTCGGGGATTCGCTGTTCCCATGTCAGGGCTACAACACTCCCTTGCTTCAAAGTGCAAGAGCCTAGAAGTTCATGAAATGCCCCATGCCGTGCCAAGTATAGATTTACCTGTGAAGTATCAACTGTCAAGTGATAAGCTGTGTGGATTTTTTCTTTATCTCTTGTTTTCTTAATGAAATACTTGATTCTTTTCTTTCCCTTGTCACAATTCTCAAGGCATAGAATATATCTTTCTTTCTTTTTATTTGAAAAGTTTTTGGACATGGCAATGCAATTTTCTTAGAGTGACTCAAAATTATACTCCCTCCGTCCCATAATTATTGTTCAGTTTTACTAAAATGAAAGATTTTATTTTTGGTCAAACTTAACTATATTTTACCTTAAACAACTGAATATACCCCTACATAAATAATTTTTTAACCACTAAGATTTTATGAATAATGTTTTTTACTAAGGATAAATGTGTAATTTGATCTATAAAAAGTCAAATTGGACAATAATTTTAGGACAAAATTTTTTGGCCAAAGTGGACAATAATTATGAGACGGAGGGAGTAACCTATTTGGGTTTCCTATTTCTCATTCCAAAATGAGACTAATAATAATAAATAAAAAAAAAGTAAAGCACCCAGTTAAAAGTATTTTTTATTTCCTTCCAATTATTCTCTAATTGTTCACATTATCCTTGCAATAATGTACAAACGATACATATAAAAACTTGCCTAATTTCATGTAAAAGGATCTCTCTTTTTTCCCTTTTGGTGAATAGGGTTTCTTTTTCTCTTGATGATGATGAAATGTTAGAATTTTGCTTAAAAGAATCTTCTTCTATGTTAGGAGATCAATTTGTTTGACAAAACGTTAAGATCACAAGTTGTTGTTATTACATACATATATGGCTTTAGTTGTGATTAAAAATATATATATATATATAAATATTATGGTTTTTGAGATGAATCTATCGAATGGATAAAAAGTCTGAATTTCAAAATACTATATTTAGAGTATCCGATGTTTTAATTTATTCTTATTTCTACATCCCAAAAAATTCGAACAAAACCCCGCAAAAATGTTAAGACAAAAACAGGAGTTTGCCAATATGCATCAATGTAATTATTTTATTTATTTAATTTTTATTTCTGAAAAAAAAAAAAAAAACTATACCAACTTCCACGTTCTCCACTTCCCCATCCTTTTCTTCTGCTTTCTTCTTTCACATTATCGTCAAAGTTAAACAAGTTAGAAGAACACCAAAATCCCAACAAGTGTACTCCGTTATTGACATCTGTTCTTCCCTAAGCTTTTACCATCATCAATCATCATTAATCTAATCTTAATACTAATACTAATAATAATAATAATAATAATAATAATCTCACTGTAATAACATTAATCAATACTAAAATAATAATCCCCCCAATTAAACATCAACCAAACACTGCCTTAATACTACTACTCTTCCTCCCTCTCTTCCCCATTCCTATTTCTCCTTCTTCCCAGAACCCTTCTAGGGCTTTCCATCTCCCAAAACCCCTCTCTTTCTCTCTCTCACACAGCCACACACACAATATTGGAGCTACTGATTCTGATACTTACGTGTTTAACTTGCTCTGAGTTTCTTCACAATCATGTCGCCGATGCAATCCATTTTCTTCAATCCGAAGTTGAGCCGTACTGTGTGATGAGTATTCATATCCCCAGTCCATGGCTTCGCATTTGTTCTTCATTTCTAGGCTTTCTTTAGTTTTACTCTTAGGTTTAAGTTTAATCTCAAATCCTTCCAACTGTTTTGGTGCTATAGTTGAGGGAGGTGGGGGAGATGCTTCTGATTTTGACTTCGGTGATGACTCCGATTTGATGCTCTACCATCAGGATTACTCACCTCCGGCGCCGCCTCCGCCTCCGCCCCACCCGCCGTCGGTGAGCTGCGAAACGGACCTCGGAGGTGTTGGTTCCTTGGATACTACTTGCAAGATAGTTTCCAATTTGAATATTAGTAAGAATGTGTATATACAAGGGAAGGGAAATTTTTATATCCTCCCCAATGTTACAGTTAATTGCTCGTTTTCCGGTTGTGAGCTGACTATAAATATGACTGGCAACTTCTATTTGGGTGAAAATTCCACCATCTTTGCTGGAGGATTTATATTGACTGCGAATAATGTTACTTTTAGTAATGGCTCTGTGGTGAATACGACTGGGTTGGCCGGTGATCCACCTGCTCAGACCACTGGGACACCACAGGGGGTTGAGGGTGCTGGTGGGGGTTATGGGGGCAGAGGAGCCGGTTGTTTAATGGATGAGAAGAAGCTTCCTGAGGACGTGTGGGGTGGGGATCCTTATGGCTGGGCATCCTTGGAGATGCCCTGCAGCTATGGGAGCAAAGGTGGGACTACTAGCAAGGAGGTTGATTATGGAGGGGGTGGAGGTGGAAAGATATTGTTCACAGCCGGCAATGTTCTAGAAGTAAACGGCAGCTTGCTGGCTGATGGTGGTGACGGTGGAAGCAAAGGTGGTGGTGGTTCTGGTGGCAGCATTTATATTAAGGGTCCCAAAATGTGAGTTGCATCTGCTGTTGATTTTATTACTTTTCATTAAAGCAAAAAATTGAATTGTTTTTACTAATTTGGCTAGCAACTATAATTCCTTTTAATTCCTCTGGTTTGTTTAATGTGTGTATGCAAAGGGAAGTTTGTTTGCTTTAACTTTCTGTTTTACATTTGAATCTATACACGCCTGCACTTTCATAAATGGCCTGGTGTAAGTTTTTGTTTTTATTGAATCAAAGAGTATCTGAATGGTATCTGCTGATATCAAGTGATCGAAGCTGGTCGAGAAGTGTTATCTTTCTTTGAATTTTTCTAATGAGTTATGGACTTGATACCTTTGGTTGCAGTCCTCTTCAATAAAATCTTCTGTCATCTTCATTTTCTTTCGCTGTTGCATTCATCCTCTCTTTTTCATAAATAAATAAATGAATAAAATTTTGGGGCATTTTTTCGAAATTGATGGCTTGGTACTTTAAATTTATTGATAGTTTTGATAGCTAAGAATTGGTAAAGGCTTGGTTAAGGAGCTTGTTTTAGTTATTCTATGTTTGGGATTTGTTTTGTGGTTTGGAGTTGTGTATAGCGGATTTTATGCGCCTCTGCTTTGCATTCACCAGTGCAGATACATATATGTCTTTCAGCCTGCTCTTTAGGTTCCCTGATCCTAGATTTATGTTCTCTTTAAACTTTTGTTGGAGTTATCTCTTTTTTTAGATAATTTTCAGTCAATGTTTCTCTGGTGACATTCTTTATGTATTGTAGTACATTACAATTATCTGGCGCTATTCTCAGTAATAAGTTCAAAAGGCATACTTCAGTCCTGTGGATTTGATTAGGGTTACGTGACTGTGATTACCTAGGCGGTGTATGTTTATATTTTATGGTGTGTGTGAAAAATAAAAAATGATAGTTTCTTGCCTGCTAATGCATCTTATATAATGCTTTGTTGACCTAGAGCATTTAAGAACCCTGTGACCATATGCTTGCAATTTAAATTGTGGCTTTTGGTTAAGTACAGGATTGGAAGTGGTTACATAAGTGCCTGTGGAGGTGCTGGATTTGCCGGTGGAGGTGGCGGAAGAATTTCTCTTGAAGTTTTTAGCCGCCATGAGGATCCCCAAATTTATGCCCATGGTAAGGATTTGTTATGAAAACAATGACTATTCAGTTATAATTTGATATTCTGCTTTTGATAATTTGTTTTGTCTATCCTTTGCAAAGTAGTTGATGTGACTGTTATTAGCAGCATCGTGAGAGATTGCATCTTCGGAAAATAGCGTACTAATAGGTTAACAGCTCGAATGTTTGTTGTTCTTGATTGTTGTTGACTCACTGAATTTTAGAATTGAGGGTCTTTCATGTGTTATTCAGTTCCAGGATGTAGCATATCGTTTAGTGTTTGCTTCCCTTTCTTGTTTTTTTTTTTTTAATGTTTGATACTACTTGTGTAAATTTTTGGACCCCAGACTATTGGTGGGTGGCTAGAACGTCCAGTAGTGGCGCGTTATGTGGTTGAACCACTGATGGGTTTTTATTGATTCAGTTTGAAATCGGGGTGTTATATAAAAAAAAAGGTAATAGGAGAAGCTTTTACATTATCCTTTTGATTTTTTATTCTACAATCATTTAGATTGCAAGGCTAGGAAAAATATTGTGCAGCTTGATGGATTGACACTAAGTAATCTCCATTTCAGAACTCTTTATTGGAAGTTTATAGTCCTCTAGTTTGGTGACAGTCTTGGTCTTTTGTGGTTTCTTCACATGTGCTCTAGCCAAATTTTTTGTTCTTCTAGTATTTAATTCATGGTTTTATGCACAAATGACCCTGATCGGGATATCATCCGAATGGGAGACTAGTAGATAAAGTTTTCTCTAGTTCCAGAGGCTGCACACTAAACAAGAACTATTGCTGGTTGTTCTCTTCAAACTGTGATGTGTAATACTGTAATTATGTACTAATATATATTGATATATACTTTTTTCCTCTGAAGGTGGAAGCAGTCGTGGCTGTCAAGAAAATGCTGGTGCTGCTGGAACTGTTTATGATGCTGTTCCTCGCAGTCTTACTATTAGCAATCACAACAAAACCACCGTTACTGACACGCTTTTGTTAGATTTTCCCCAACCTTTTCTGACAAATGTTTACATAAAGAATCGGGCCAAGGCTTCTGTACCCTTGTTGTGGAGTCGTGTTCAGGTCAATATTCTTCTTACCTAACTTTGCATGCAGTTGAAACTTATTATCCATATTGAGGCATGTTGGCTAGCTTTTGTGGCAGTCCTTCATAATGAGTTTGATAAATTTGAGATCACGTTAGGCCCTAAATGTTTGCCACCTGTTACAACGATTTTAATTTCTTAGAGAGGCTAATTGGGCTCATATCCCCTTGGCCCAGAATTGTCTATTGATCTGTTATTTATTTACTATTGAACTTGCAGAGGAGATGTTGTTTCTTGAGTACCTCCGGAATCGATAGTTAGATTAAATTGTCATTTGAAACTTCAACATGTAGACCTTTCAATAAGAATGATGTCAACTTCCCTAATACTCGTTTAGTCCCGCTCCTAAGTAAATTAATTATTTGGCTGTGTGGCATCCCTGTCTTTAGCTTCTGGCTAGGCAACTGATAGGAGTAACTTCATCAGTATTCTGCCCCTCTTGAATATGAGTTTTAATTATCGTTCTCTCCATTCTCGGAGATTTTGTCCCATTCGATTGTTCTAACTGGATTTTGGGATTTGCAGCCATGCCTCACTTCCATGTTTAAATGGTGACTCGCTCCTTAGGATTTGTTATGCCAAATACTGATTAAACGGATTTGGATGTGCTAATGTTTGCATTGTTATACATGGGATGTGCTTACGTTTGCTCTACTATGTGTATTTAGTATTGCCACTTCATTTATTTTGCGACAATTCATGCAAGGAGCAGTTCCATTTTCACCTGCTTTATGTGTGTTGGAACTTCCAATTTTTCAAATTTTCTTATGTGCTTTTTGTGTTCGATTATCAGGTCCAAGGGCAAATTAGCCTCCTGTCTGGCAGTATTTTAAGCTTTGGATTGGCACGCTTCTCTATGTCAGAGTTTGAATTGTTGGCAGAAGAACTGTTAATGAGTGACTCTGTTATTCAGGTGCGGGATATTTGGGGATTTTCCTGTGAATGTTTTACCTTTACGAATTTGTCAGCTTCAGATTTGTTTGTTTTATCCTCTGTTTTTAGTCATGATATTTTGACGTAACCAGATTTGTGCTTTCCTAGGAATTTGTACATAGCCTATATCTACACCTGTATTTAGCTGCATATATTTGGTGTGAATGGTTCTTGTTTGTTATTTTACACTATTAAGTGCGGAGATCTTCAAATACTTTGGTATCCATGCAGCAGCATCAATAATGGTTAGTCTTTCAGACTCTGCCGTCTTTGTTATTTGTAGGTCATCTAGTTTTTTGCTGGGAGTCTTAGAATTACATTTAGGACTCTACCTTGTGAGGAAGTTTCCTTATCCTGTAATTCTTACCTAATTCAGCCAATGGAATTATGTATTCATGATGGAACAAAACATATTATGTTATATTTGTAACCATAGCTTTCGCAGGAAACTTGGGTTTCTACTTGATTGGGTACCTCTACTGTGTTTAGTGGGAACTTGGAATAAGTCTTCCTTTGCTGTTTCCTATGGATTTGCCCTTCTGTTCATCGCTGTAGTTGTTTGGTTTATTTATTTATTTTTTGAATATATATGTTTTTTGGAGATGACAATACTATCTATGTGGCCCTTTTCAGGTTTTTGGGGCCCTTCGTATGTCAGTTAAAATGTTTCTAATGTGGAACTCCAAGATGCTAATTGATGGTGAAGGAGATGAAAACGTTGAAACATCAATGCTTGAAGCAAGTAATCTTATTGTTCTTAAGGTACTTCTATGATGAACTTTCTACTTCCTACGAAAGGATGTTTGTTTGTGTGAGCCATCTGACATGTTCATCTTTATGCTTGCTTCACAGGAGTCGTCTGTTATTCACTCCAATGCTAATCTGGGAGTTCACGGGCAAGGCTTATTGAATTTGTCTGGACCAGGAGATGTTATTGAAGCACAACGGCTGGTTTTGTCTTTGTTTTACAGTATACATGTAAGTACTCGATGGTTAAGTATTTGTTTTGTTTGTTCTTATTACTTAAATGAGGGATAATTTGTGAGTATAACTCCTGGGGGACACAGATGCTATCTGTCAGAGTGACTAATGGTGGAATTGTGTTGCTCGTATCCACTTGATAGTGTCGATCTAAAGCTTCATAAATTTGCTTCTTGATTTTGCTAAACCCCTCCCCCGCGGGTTGTCTTGCACATCCACATTATATTTATAGTTGTTTGTGTCTGTACGAATTTGAAAGTTTATCGGTACGGTCTCTGAGATCTTTCTGGGTTATGAAGTTGTATTTCCACAAATTTGATTTTGGAGATTTAGTCTCTTCAAATTGGCTGCACAATAGGATTATCTGTTGGCCTCCTTTATCTAAACTATTTCTGGGTGTAGGTCGGCCCTGGATCTATGTTACGTGGCCCTTTAGAGAATGCTTCAGCTGAAGCAGTGTAAGTTTCAACAATTCTTTTCTTTTTTTTTTTTTGGTTATCTTTTATTGTTTAAACTCCTGTGATTTAGAATTATTATGGTGCTTGGTAGGGCTCCGAAGTTGAACTGTGACACGCAGGAATGTCCTGTCGAACTACTTCACCCACCTGAAGATTGCAACGTGAACTCTTCACTATCCTTTACTCTTCAGGTGGGAATTTTCTAGTCTTTTGTTTCATGATAATCAATAGTGATTATTACATCCTTCAGTATTGTTTATACTTTGTCTCTTTTGCAGATATGCAGGGTCGAAGATATCCTTGTTGAAGGCCTTATAAAAGGGTCTGTTGTTCATTTTCATAGAGCAAGAACTGTTTCTGTCCTTTCGTCTGGAACAATTAGCTCATCCGGAATGGGTAAGTTGCATTCGATTCTTTTTTTTGGTTGCATTGCTGAGGAGAGTTCTATCACCCAGCTCTGTTGTGAAGTAGGTTTTTGAACTTTGGGTTATCAGAACAGTATCTTTTCATTTATATATCTGTGGAACAGAAGTTGCCAAAGTCTTAGCATTTAAGATGACTGTGTTTGTGATTATTTAAGTGACACACCGGCTATTTATTCCTCTTCAGGTTGTACCGGGGGTGTGGGACAAGGGGAAGTTTCAGATTTGGGGATCGGTGGTGGCGGGGGGCACGGTGGTAAAGGTGGTATTGGTTGCTACAACAATAGCTGCAGTCAAGGGGGTATTCCCTATGGGGATGCTGATTTGCCTTGTGAGCTGGGTAGCGGAAGTGGGAACGATAGCATAGCTGGTGCAATTGCTGGTGGTGGCATTTTAGGTGAGGCTTTGCTGGTTTGCAAATCTGATTACGGCTTTATTTTTTTATTTTATTTTTTTTGGAGGAAAGTTGAATTTTCATTCCATTTGGATGAGAAAATACGTACATCCTCTGTTTGTCTGCAAAATGTCCTTATGAAAAGGATGTTACCGCTTTATTTTATTATTGCACATGGTAATATTTTGGGTGAACAAATGAGTGATTTGGGAATAGCTGGCCCCTCACTATTTCTTGGAAAACTAATTTGTTTAGTTTAATGATCAAATCTGTTAGAATTATGAATTTTTTGTTTCACGGGTGGAGATCACACTGCTCTCCCACATTTTCAGCTTATTTCATTTCGTGATAAGACTTTCAATTTCACTGATGCTTAGCTTGTCAACTTCGGTCTTGAAATTACTATTTCTTAGGCTTCACCTCTTAATGAATCATTTTGCTAAGTACTTTGGAAGGTTTGCTTTAGTGATTAGGAAGTAGGATTTTCTTAGGGAGCTTGAATGGGACTACTATTTTGGAGGACCTGCTCAGTATATATTTGCTATCCAGATTTTTACTTATGTACTACCTGTGCGTAATTTTCGTTAGGGAATGATGATTTTCTTAGTGTGAGTTTAGGGCTACATTCTAAAGATAGGTATGTTTGGTTAATATTTTCTTCTTTTGGGCAGATATTTTTTTGGATTAAACTTTTGGGCTGATATTAATATATCTTAAAACAGATATTGAATAAAGTCTCCTCAAGGAAATCTTTTTTGGGTACCATTAGTAAAAATATATGGTGAAGCTTAGACTTGAATTGGTTCTTTAAAATATATCGAGTGTTGTTGTTACTGGAATGGCAAAAAAAAAAAAAATGTAACTCTGGTGTCTCTTTTAACCCCACATGGAGCACCACCATCATTTCTTTTACAACATTTTTGCTGCCTGCACCACCACATCCTCTGATACAGTCTGGCGAAAAGTGAAATTTAAATTATGTTTTTATCAGCTTGACTGTTGTGTTAATAAAGTTCAGGGATAGTATGGACTAAAAGAGCAAAATTCTATCGAATATGTGAATTTATGGCGGTGCTAGGATAGACGGGAGATGAAGGAAGCTTTTCGTTGTCAAAATGTTTTCTCTTGCATTGGAAAACAAAATGAAGTTTAACTCTACGAGTATCCATAATCTCCCCATTAATTTAAGTATATCCATTCCTCAAGCTGAAGTCCTGCAGTTCCATGTGATGCATTCATACCAGTGTTTAATTTTGTAACCATTAAGTAGGTACATTGCTTCAGAAACAAAGTTCTTAATACTACTTACAAGGGCATATGGTGCCTCTTTATATTAGTGGAGTTGTTGGAAATCAAGACATCAAATGTAATTCATCTTGAGTCGTACGGAAACAGCCTTCCTGTATTTCTCAATACAGGAGTAAGGTGGTGTACCTCTTCACCCGTCAAACCCTAAAGGAGTTGGCGTATACTGGATATGTTTTTGCATGTAGAATTTTTCTGCCGCATAAATTAGCAAAATTTTCAATCTTTCTACCATTCAATTTCAAGTGTAGGAGCAGTTTCTTATTCTCTTCGGTATTGGCAAAAATGCTGTTGACAATGTCCTCCTGATGAATTGATATCTTATTGCGGATTTGGCATGTTCCTGTTTTATCAATAGGGTTATTGCTGATTTATATTCTCTGAAATCAAGAAGCAGCTTGCAAACTGTACATGAATGCTTTTCTGATTGCTGCTTGTGGGAATTTAATACTTCTTATGTCATTGATTCAGTCCTAGGCTCCTTGGAGCATCCATTGGTGAGTTTATCTGTCAAAGGTTCAGTTGAAGCTGATGGAGACAGTTCTGAGCGACGCTTTGCGAGTGAAGATAATGTTGTGGATCCGGTCCTTAGTCTTGGAGGAGGATCTGGTGGAACGATCCTAGTGTTTCTACATTATCTGGATCTTGGTGGGCCTGGTACTGTATCAAGTGCTGGGGGTCATGGTAGTACTGGTGGCGGCGGGGGTGGCGGTGGCGGTAGAATTCACTTCCATTGGTCGGACATCCCCACTGGAGATATGTATCAGCCTGTAGCAACCGTGAACGGTAGCATTATTACAAGGTTTGTCTCAGCATCCAGAAGGCATTTACTTTGTTTGCATCTATGTTTGACATTTCACTCTGGATGTTTCTGTTTGTTTTAAGATATCCTAGATAGTAGATGAACTGATACAAAATCTTTTGTAGAAGTCATGTTTTCTTCGAGCATGTAAATTATATGGGAAATTGTTAGAAACTTCAGTTTTTGTTGGATGATTTTCACATATCTGTAACAATGCTACAGTTATGTGAGCTAAGCAACTACAGCTGGAGATATTGATAAATGACCCTTTGAAATAGAGTGGTGTGTCATTCAACTATGAGTATCCGTAATGACCCACAGGGGCATTGGTTCCCCCCCCCCCAAAATCTGTAAAAAGTATGAAATACCCCTTTCCTTTTCTTGGGTTTGGTGGATGGATTGCAACTGGAAAGTTTACCCAGCTTGAGACCTTTTAATCCTCCCCTCATTGTGATGGTTGCCAAGTTTGTGGAATTTTGGCTTTAGTTAGGTGCTTCATCATCTTTTTTTCTTCTTTTTTTTTTTTTTGGAGCAATTAGTCATTAGTAAGCTCCTTTGATAGTTTTGATTTGCAGAAAACCTGGTTGCATGAAGTATTCTTGCGGATGCTTTTATCTTGTATAACCATTTATTCATAAATCTTCATATATTTGATCATGGATTGATTTTTTCTTTATGTATCTGGACTGCTTCTGTTGTAGTGGTGGTATGGGCAGAGAGCAAGGTAGAGCTGGGGACAGCGGTTCTGTTACAGGGAAAGCCTGCCCTAAAGGTCTTTATGGAACATTTTGTGAGGTACTTGTATAGTGCTAAACTGCTAATTGTGGTGCTACCATTGACTTCGTGATAATTCATTGAGATATTGCTGTAGTCTTTTCTTCTTTTCCTTCTTTTGAGGCAGGGTTGTCTTCCATGTCAGCATTTGCTGTTATCTTTCTTAAAACTTGTTATTAATGAAAGCAAGACCGCTAATCAAAGATTAAACAAAACAAAAATACTTTGCCTTGCTATCATGATATTCTCAGGAAAACATGGGATTTCTTTTTATTTTCTGAGAAAGGGGAGGGCCGGGGTTTGGGTTGTTGCTGGATCTTTCTTTTTATACATATTGTAATAAAGGTTCATACTTGACAAGTTTGTCACCTTTTATAAGGGGAAGGAGGATTCACTGCTTGCTTTTGCATTTGTTCTTGGATCTTCCTTGGCAATCTTATTGCTTACTTGAGATGTGTCTGATAAAACTGCAGGAATGTCCCGTTGGCACATACAAAAATGTCTCAGGATCTAGTAAAGAGCTTTGTAAGCCGTGCCCAAGAAACGAGCTCCCTCGGCGTGCAACATATGTTTCTGTTCGAGGTACTCTGATAATTATGGGTTCTGTTAATTTTAAATTTCCACATCATGTTACATCTCACGCATTTTCTTTGTGTATAAATTTCATAGACACTTATCAGTCCTTGAGGTATATAGTGTAGACTGTAGGAGATCTCCGAAAGCTTTTTAAAATTGCTCTTTTTACTTCTTTTTGGTGTATATATCCCTCCTTTAAAATTTGGTTGCTACACATGCAACACTAGTTTGTGAGGCAAATATAAATTACTTTTGCACTTTGTGTATGTTTCCTTTCTTACCAATGTATGTACCCTGTGTGGCCAAGTGCTGTCAGTTGATCCACTAGTGGTTATTTTGGTGCTAATAGATGTTAAATCTGTGTCACTGTCTTCACCATATAGGTTTTCCTTTTTGCTATGTCTGTGCTTCCTACCAAATTTTGTTGTCACTGCCAAATAATTGATATAACTGCATCGATGCCCAAGCCAAGCTAGGTCTTTGTTGTTTTGTGAAACTACAATATGGTAACTTAACCACATATGGTGCCTCTTTTTGTTATGTCCATATTTGTGCCTCCTAAATCAGTATTGTGCTTCTACTGTTATTCAGAATGTGTGACAGAAATGTTAACAGAGGTGACAAGGTGACAAATTGGGAGATACATGAGGACACATGTAATAAGGGCAATTAGAATTCTGTTGCACGTGGTTAATTTGTGGAATTTTCTAGTTCAAACAGTCTCGGTTCTCTTGTTGCTCTCTGTGTGTGGTAGACGGTTGTATGTCGCTCATGTTTCACTACTTTCTTAATACAGGTGGCATAACAGAGACACCTTGTCCCTATGAGTGTCTTTCAGACCGATATCACATGCCTCATTGTTACACAGCTTTAGAAGAATTAATTTACACATTTGGTGGGCCCTGGTTGTTTGGACTTCTCCTTTTAGGTCTCCTTATTTTGTTAGCCTTGGTGCTGAGTGTTGCCCGTATGAAATTTGTCGGGGTTGATGAGCTACCTGGGCCTGGGCCAACTCAACAGGGTTCGCAAATAGATAATTCATTTCCATTCCTAGAGTCACTTAATGAGGTAGTTTCTGATGCTTTTATTGGGTTTTATCATCATCTGTTTGCAAAACTACTAAATTGAGGAATACAAATAGATTGCTTCTCTATTATTCTTTAGAGCTTATAGTTGTTTGAGTTTCAGGTGCTGGAAACTAACAGAGTGGAAGAGTCGCAAAGTCATGTCCATAGAATGTATTTTCTGGGTCCAAATACATTTAGTGATCCCTGGCATCTCCCTCACACTCCTCCGGATCAAATAAAAGAGATAGTGTAAGTTTGATTCTCGGGTTATTTAAAATCTAAATTTATAGTCGGCTCACGTACACCTGCTTTTGTCTTCTCTTTTGGATTTGCTTGTGTGCTTGTTAGTATGTTTCTGTAGTTGAGCTCACTAATGACGATTAACGAATTTTTGGCTTTTTAAACTGAATTTGCAGATATGAGGGTGCCTTCAACACCTTTGTGGATGAGATAAATGCCATTGCGTCATACCAGTGGTGGGAAGGATCAGTATATAGCCTCCTATGTATTTTTGCATATCCTCTTTCATGGTCATGGCAACAATGGCGCAGGAGGATTAAGTTGCAACGCCTTCGTGAATACGTGCGATCAGAATATGACCATGCTTGTTTACGTTCGTGCCGTTCTCGTGCTCTGTATGAAGGGATAAAGGTTAGGCATGATTAGTAATACTTGATTCCTTATTGAACCTATTTTCTTTAGCTGTGTTTTGAGTTCACTTTTGTATTTGATGATGCTTAGTCTGCATTTTTCCTGCATCCTGATGGATTGTAGATATTCATAGTAGCTGCTCTTCTGTTTCATTTCTGTAGTTTCCATCCTAGAGCTATTTTTAGGCTTCTGATTTCTTCATATAGTTGTTTTCTCGTTATTTTTTTATGTATGAAGAACTGAAAGACGCTCCCGTGGGCTCTTAGCTGTGGATTTCATTTTTTTTGGTAGAAATTCTGTGTCCTTGGCTATTTCCTGTCATCGTGTTTAGTTGGTTGTTTTCCTAATCACCTGATGATAGTCGTCTTTTTGGTATTATTGTAAGTTCTTCTCATTCTTGTTGAAGAAAAAATGTAATTAGGAAAATATGAGGAAAACTTACATGGGAAAATGTGGATTGAGTCACAGCTGTCCATGTAATTAGGTTGATATTTCAGATTCAGATCCATGTAAGTATTTATTGCGTCACCAGCATGTATTGCCACTCTTATTATCATTAGTATTGTGTAGCTAGTTTGTACTGGACTAAGGCACAGTCTCACGTTAGTGCATGACAAGGGTAAAACATACTAATTTTTCTTTTTTGATTGGCATATTAGGTAGCTGCTACATCTGATCTGATGCTTGCCTATCTAGACTTCTTCCTCGGTGGAGATGAGAAAAGAAGTGATCTGCCTCCTCGTCTACTCCAAAGGTTTCCAATGTCGTTGCTATTTGGAGGCGATGGAAGTTACATGGCACCCTTTTTGCTCCACAGTGATAATATTATCACGAGTCTTATGAGTCAGGTGTGTCATGTCTTAAAAATACTTATTATCAATTTATCATTTGACGTTATTTACGCAGAAGCAGCATAAGGTTTCTTTCATCCTAGGATCTTAAATAAATTGCCTGGATGATTTTGACTAGTGAATAAATGCCTCATGGGATCGATTGCTTTCTGATATGTTTTTAGTACTTCTTTTTATTGGTTTCAAATGTTTCTATCTGCATAGGCTGTCCCACCTACCACATGGTACCGTTTTGTAGCTGGTTTGAATGCACAGTTACGTCTTGTACGGCGGGGTTGCCTAAGATCAACATTTCGCCCCCTCCTTAAGTGGCTGGAAACTTTTGCCAATCCTGCTTTAAGGGTGTATGGCATACATGTAGATCTTGCTTGGTTCCAAACTACAGCTGGTGGTTTTCGTCAGTATGGGCTTTTGGTATATGCTGTTGAAGAAGACAATGGACTATTGACTGTGCAAGGATTTGAAAGAGCTCCTCAAACTGAGAGGCTTTTACGGTATGGTTCTATAATCCATGCAATAAGCATTATGATTCCATGGCTAATTTGGTTTTGAAAATTATTTGATATGTGCAAATAAGCTGTTATTCGTCTGATAAGGACCCTTCTAACACCCCCTCTCCCCCTCCCGGTCTCTCTCCGAGTGAACTTACAACCCTGTTAAAATTTCCGATTGCAGTGGCACTGCAATTGATGGAGAAGATCCTTCCAGTTTTCCAGGACCAGATTCATTATCTGGTGGAAACCGTAGGAGCAGTGATATCAGTTTGAGGAAGAAGATCTTCAGCGGAACTTTGGATCTTACTAGCTTAAAGATGCTTGAAGAGAAAAGAGAGATACTTTTTGCCCTTTCTTTTCTTATGCATAATACTAAACCTGTTGGGCACCAGGTATTCTTTTCTTACGTGTTGAAGTTGGAAGTATTCTTTTTGGTTTATCCTTTTGCTCTGGTAATATTTGGGTTCATGTTGCTAGTATCACTTTACTTACTGGGTACACCTCAAAATGTGTTGCAGGATCTTGTTGGACTGGTTATATCAATGCTTCTTTTAGGGGATTTTAGCTTAGTTTTGCTGACAATGCTCCAGGTGTACTCAGTTTCACTGGTCGATGTCTTCCTTTTCTTGTTTATTCTGCCACTCGGGATCTTACTTCCATTTCCCGCTGGAATCAACGCTCTGTTTAGTCATGGACCAAGACACTCTGCTGGTCTTGCGCGTGTCTACGCTTTATGGAATGTCACGTCGCTGATTAATGTCGTAAGTATTAAGTCTGAGGGGTCAGTAGAAAATTTTGTGTTAATAATAAATGGAACTTGAAGAAACGTAAAAGATGCATGAACTGGGGTGACTCTTTTTTCTGAATTTTTATTAAGTTCTTACCTTGCCTTTTATGATTTGGAAAATGTTTATCTGTACCAGGTAGTTGCATTTATTTGTGGCTATGCGCATTACAGCACCCAGTCGAGGAGAAGAAATCCGTATTTTCAGCCATGGAACATGTAAGTGAATTCACTTACAATATGAATAACTGAGCATGACGATTCTTTTGCTGTTGTTTGTAGAGCCAATGCTCATTTGTTGTCTCTGTTTTTTTCAATGGTCCCAGGGATGAAAGTGAATGGTGGATTTTTCCGTTTGCATTGGTCTTGTGTAAATGTATCCAGTCACAGCTTATTAACTGGCATGTTGCTAATTTGGAGATTCAAGATCGCTCGTTGTACAGCACTGATTATGAATTGTTTTGGCAAACTTGAATAGATATCAGCGTAGACTAACAACGCCTTATTTTTTTTGGGGCTCGTTTTTGATAAACTTTGTTTTTCTGGAGCTTGGACCCGTTTGTAGAAAGTAGTAAAATGATTAACATAGGTGTGGATAAGCAATGAAAGAAGGTGGGGGAAAAAAAAATAGAAAAAGTTGGGTAGACCATAGACAGTAGTGTTTGGAAACGGGATATGTAGCTGACCCGTATGGGTATGTGCAGCCATAGTTCTTGCAGTGTAATTGTAAAGTCCTGTAACTCCTGTAGCCTCTATATCTATATATATATATATATATATATTCTTTACTTTTATTTATCAAAGCTGATGTTTAGAGCTAATGTTCCATTGACTGAAACTTCAAACGGAAAAGTGTACATCTTAGAACCTTAATATCGAACTGTATTGATTTAACTGGGTTTACTAGTTGGTTCAGGTTGATTTAAAAGGGCTTACTTTCTTTTATGTCCTTCAAAGAGCGTTGGTAAGAATGCTCGGAGACTGGATGAGACTGAAATGCTCAATCTCTGTGTGATTAAGTGCTGAAAAGGGACTGTTTCGAACAGTCTACTTGGGCTGAACCGTTTAGAAACACATATCAACCAACAATACTAGTGGAGGTATTATATCGTCCCTCCCAAGTCCCTATTCATCTTTAAATTAAATCAGTTTAAAATAATGACTCATAAATTGGACAAGAAATGAACAAATTTCATATTTTGGACGTTAACGAGTTTGAGCCCTTTGAGGGAGTAAAATGGTAAGGAAAAGAAACAGGGTCTGGGTAGTAGTGGACCTTGAATCCACTGAATTATGATGATGTGACTTCTTTTTTTAAGGAGTGCCTCGAGTCTTGTTTAACGTAGGTGTTGTTGAACAACTCAAACTGAAAAAACTTTGGAACTATGCAATGATGATATTTTTAGTCCGTTCTGTCGGCCATTTTCTTTGCGTTTTCTTTTGCTTTCTCAAAAATTAAAAAAAAAAGAAAAGAAAAAGATACTACTAAGATCCAAAGACTGCCCCCAAGAATTCAAGAGAGTACCCGCCAGTGCCCACCGGATATTGCCCTATATCTATGTTCTTATCCTTTCAATCTCCAACCGAATTGGCCACTTGCTATTTCTGCTAATTTTTAGCATTTTATCTGATTGTTAATTAATTAGATCTGTGTGCCCTAAAAAGCGAATTAGAAAACAGCTGACGGGACTTTCAGATATTTTCTAGTGGACCCCGCAAGATACTTCTACCCTGACTGACTTATTCTAAATTGCTGGGGTCTAACTTTTGTTCGAATGATACATAATTATTAAAAAAAATCCTACAAATTTCATACAAAGTGATAGCTATACCGATACGTGCAAAACTAGACCTTTAAGCTCAGGAAAGCAACAAGAATTTCATAATCTCACAAAAATGATAATGTCCCGCAGATACTCGAAGTTAAAGCCACAATATTGTTCCGCGCTATCCCCTAAAATATTGCTTTGGTCCTAAAATTTTTCACTTCGGTAAAGAGACTGCCAAGACTCAAAAGCATGCAAAATTCTCGACATGTTTTGTTGGGGAAAAAAAAACGATACTACTCTCTCCGGTCACTAATATAAATTATTTTGATTTCTTAATATAAAGTATTTTAATTTCTTAATATAAGATATTTTGATTTTGTCCTAAATTTCATTAATATAAGGCATTTTGATTTCTTAATATAAGGTATTTTGATTTTATCTAAATTTCATCTAATACGCATTTATAATTAACGAAAAAATTTTAAACATATATTTTCATATTCAAGATATTCTCTTAATTGTTATGAAATATTTTTAAAAAAATCTTCTCCACTAAAAATACATACTAAATTAAACTTAAGACAAATCAAAATACATTATATTAAGGACCAGAGGGAGTATTATGAACCAGAAAATCAGAAAAGTGGAAAGAAAAAGGACAATAAGACAAACTATTAAACCATAATTAACAAATTTTATTACAGAGGGATAATAAGAAAATGTTTTTAACAGTACAAGATGTCAACATCCAAGTCATAATCTTTAACCCTTTCAAGATAAGCCTTATCCACCCTTTTTCTTTTAATTTCTCTTGTTACTCTCATTTAATTAGTCCTCCCACGCCAAAGCACTTCTAGTCTAATTTACTCCCACTAAGCTCATGAGGTAATTAAAAGCATAACTCCCGCAAAACCAAAACCATATACTTTCCCCAAACCCTGTAACCTGGCCGGAAATTGTTCACGCCGCCGGTACAAAAACACACCCTTTTGAGCTGCTATATTTAGTACGGCCTAAAATAACTTCTCACAGCCGGAAATGGTAATCTGAATAGAGTTTTCACATTTTCACATGAGGATCAAACATTAAGGTAAGGTAAATCGGGAATGGAATACATACAAATTCAGATGCCCAAATCTGGAAATTGGAAATACAATCAAATGCAGCCAAATATGATACATCGGCCAAGCTTCCCTGCTACTACCAGTTACTAACTAAAAATTAACAGTATGTACAAATTTGGAGGCATTTTCATCGATTCCCTCCAAACAAAATGGCAGATTAGCTAATCAAAAACACTCCCATTTTTTTATACTTACACATGCAAAATCCTCGTCACATTCAACATTTTTTCAGTATTCACATACCGGAAGCCGCCGACCGACCAAGTACCGGACAAGAGTTAATTCAACCTTAAAGTAACAACATGGCCATGACAAATGGATTGATTGAGAATCAGGAATGCGACCCGAACCCGTTTCACTTCACGAGCTCGGATATCCAATCGAAATCCGGGACCCGACTTGCCGAATCGAGAGAGTTTTCCTTGCTTAGCTTAGCATACATCTTAGCCCGGAGATCCCTCCCGGACTCAACCCTCTCCATCACGGGCTCTTCCTCATCGAATCCCTTCTCCCAGAGATCAAAAGCACCGGATCCGGAGCGGAGTGGAATCCGGGTCGGAGTGACTGGTAGGCTCATGAACCCGGGTTGGCGGTTGAAAGGGCTCCGGGGCGAGCAAAAACCAGAACCCATTTGAACTCCCCCCCGGGGAGACCCCATGCACATCCTCATGTTTGCGATCTGCAGATTTCGCATTGACAGTGTGAGTCCACTCACTGAGTTCAAACTCGGAGCTTCCCCGGGCGACAAGGGCGGTGAATCCGCCGGAGGTGACGACGGCGGCGAGTGCAGAACCGAGGTCGGAGACAACCCAAACGTCCCGCCTTTCACGGCAAGACCCGAGTCGAAACCGCCACGACCTGGCGAGTTGCACCAGAGTCGGGCTGGAGACCCGTCGTACGACTCGGACTGGGGAATCACCCGGAGCTGGTCAGGGGTGTGAGCGAAGAAACACACGCGCCGGCGACACTGGGTCCCATCTTTACACGGCTGAGTACGGTAACGAGCAGGGTGGAGCCAGGTCTCAAAGACGCCGTGCGCGAACTCGCAGGAGTCGCCTTTCCGGCAAGCGCCTTTCTTGAATTCAGGGCAAGAGCTGCCGGAGTAGTGAAATTTTCTGGGGTCCCTCCGGCGAGCCTTCTCCCCCGGGTGGGCGTAGGGACAGTCGGTCCAGTCATGTGACCTGGCACGTGAGCATTTCTTGACTTTGAACTCAAACATCCGGAACTCATCGCAAGAGAAGGCGTCCACCGGGATATCCAAGTCGTCCCAGTCGTCGTCGGATTCAGGATCCGCATTCGATGGGAGGTAACGGTGCAGCGCCGTTAAGTTATCCAGGTGAAGATCGTAACCGCAGGCATTGTTGCCGCCGTTAGGAGAAACGGAGAATGTGGAGTGAAGATTGGCCGTCGGATGGTCATCGAGGAAATCCCAAGGAGGGACTTGGACGGTTGGATATGAACGAGGAGAATCTCCGATCATCATTCTGTACTTAAAAAAAAAAAAAAAAAGAGGTTCCTGTTTCTGTTTCTGTTTTTGTTTTTTCTCAAAGTGGTAGTGGGTTTGGCAGAGGCGAGTTGGGTTATAAACTGATATTTTAACTGAGGTTAAAAAGAAGACTTAACCATGGTCAGGTTAAAATAATATCTTCCCCAGAATTAGCTGAGGGAAACTGTCGGGGTAAAAGTGGAACAAGGGAAACTAACTTCACGTAGCAGTCACTCTGCATAATTTTGGTCACAGCCTAATCCTTCTCTTTTTCTTTTTTGAGAAGAGCCTAATGCTTGTTTAGTTGCTACAGTTTTACTACTAATTTTGTTATTGGATTAACAAGGTGGCCCCACCCAAAATCTTTACTCTATAGTGACATGTTTGGAATGAAGAAATGTCTTCGTGATGTCCGCAGTCCGCAGTTCACTTCACAATTTTATGTGTTCATTATTATTCATCAACTAGTCCCTAGATTTTGTAACTTGAACATTACATGTCTATATTCTTTTTGTGAGTAATTAACAATAGATATTTCTAACATTGATTATGTCTTTGAGCGTCTTTATTGGTTAGTTACTCAATCTAATAACTTTTTTTGGAGAAAAAAAAATAACCATTAGAAACTTTTATGCCTTTTTCTTCTCAAGTACATACATGAATTTCTATTTGTCATACGATAAAGTCTGCAATAAAAAAATTCTTCAAAAAGGGGATAGGTTACTTACGCTCATAATTCAAACAAGTTGTCCACTATTAAAAGCGTATGTAATTGGTGGGCAAAAAAATAAAACATGAGTATCAAATTTAATTGACTGAGAGAATATTGTTTTTCTCAAATTGTAATGCTCAACGTGGACTTTTTTTTTAGACAATGGGAGAATAATATTTCAGTTTATTAAGACATAATTAGATGAAAGTATGTGCCTAAGTTGGTAGGAGTGATTTTGTTTAGTCAAAATCAAATAATAATGTTTCACAAATTTTAAGAGGTTGGTACTCTCCATTTTCTCACAAATTTTTTTGTCCTGCAAATCTACGAGTCAAGATAATAAAAAACCACGTGAGGTTGGAGGGAGGCAAAACTCAAAAATCGGTACGGAATGGTGTTAACGTGGCAGCCAAGTCACGTGACGAGAAGGAAGCTGAGAGGTCAATGAAGGAGCCGCACGTGGTTTGGTGAGAAGTGTTTATAGTAGTATCAAAATACGCTTCCATCATATCCGTTAAAGGGGGGACCGTGACCGTGATCGTGACGTGTTAACTCATGGCGTTGAGATTTTGGATATGGTTTTCCTCTCCTTCCCCCGGTTGCTTTAGATCCTCTGTCTTCTTTTGATTCTTTTACTTGACAATTTTATTTTATTTTAATTTCATTTATTCATTTATTGCTTATTATATCTACTGTTCATATTCCTTTGCTCTATTTTCCACGTCTACGAGTTTATCCACAAGGGTCGAGTGGATTTGCTTCTTTGTGCTTTTCACTTCACCGTACGATGTCCTATTTAAAACTATATATAGGACTGCTCAACTAACGTCTACGATTGACGATTGAGTAGTAGGCGTTTATCTATTCTTCATCAAAATTGGATGCTTAAATTATGATGATTTATTCTTAATCAAAATTGAATGTTTAAAATTTAAATTCTACTTTCGCAATAGAGTATGGAGTAGTTTTGACTCCCTTAGGCCTTATCCAAACGCCTTATATGTAGTAATAATATATTTACAATCTAATGAAAAAAAAAGCCTTTATAGTGGTAAATACTTATAGCTTAATGAATGAATTGATCGCTGTTAGTATTACATATATATATATATATATATAAATTGAATAATATTGGTCAGCGCTGATGTTTATCTTCTGAACGCTATAGAATGGTTATTAAGTATTAATTAACCTCCAATTGGACCGGACACAAGCAATAAAATAAAGTTTTCATGGTTAGTTGTTGTGTCTATCTGTTTTGTTGTAGATGATATCAGGTAGTGCTGCCCATGATTGTTACAAAATTTTGGAATCTTGAGATTCTTGAATATATATATATATATACATATAATATATTATTATTTTGTTCGGAATTATATATATTCTTTTGATTCTAATTCGAACCGAGTAAATTCTTCTTAGAAAGTAAAACTCCCTCAATAAATCTTTTAATCATTGTTACATGTCCATATACAAATTTGAACCCATATCATAATTAAAGTATCTCAATGCATTTACTACTTAGATCAAGTACGTATTAGTAATATATATGATGATAATATGATAATATCAATGTTAACTCTTTCATTTGTTTTAAAATTGGTTGTCTTATTCATTATGTTACGTACTCTAGACATATAACTACAGTATGATCCATGAACAATTTAGTGGTGCCGGATAGATTAATAAATTCATGCATGCACTAAAAGAGAATTGAAAGTAGAAGTTCATTCATTTGAGTTACATCGATAATAAAATGTTACGACGATTGATTTTTAGTCTTTTACCAAAAACTAATATAGTTGGGTGACCAAGTTAACATACTTTCTGAAAATCTCCCTTCAACAATGCCATTTGAAGGAGAATGGAATCACATTGCAGGATGGAACGGAGGAGGGATCAGGGGGTCAATCGACCTCTCGGCAGGATGGATTTTCCTATAGTGGAGGTGTTTAACTGCTGAAATATTTTCAGTTTGATTTTCTGAGTGACGATTGAATAACTCTATTTTTTGACCACAAAGAAAAAAAAAACTAAAAAAAAAAAAAAGAAATTCAAAGGGAAAAGACATCTAGAATGGATTCTGTAGCCCTTTTAATTTTGGATAGCCCAAATTAAGAACTCAGATTCCAACTCTCGTGGATAGACTAACAAGGGATGAAAACCTACCTCTTAAATACAGGTTCGAAAGAAAGTCATCTTCACCTTCTTCATATGGGATGTCTCCTTTTCTGGATCCAAGCTTTGGTAACAACAATGTGAAAACCAATTGAAGTGATATTACATTCACTTTCTTAACCCAACCCCAGAAAATGTGAGACTTTGGTTTAGGCCCAACCTGTGGTAGCCCAATTCCAAGAAAACAGTTTTCTTATTATCAAACAATTTAAAAAAAATGCATAATTTCACTAAATCATTTTTTGATTGTTATTATTATTAATGGAATGTCTAAGTAGGCTCATTTGATACTCGCACAAATGCCAGCCAGATGCGAAAAAAAAAAAAAATTGTTTAAAAAAAGAAAAAGTATAAACAGGAACACTTATGGTCAATTCCTTTACACCGACAAACAAAAAACGAAAAGCTTACAATCTTAACCAACAATAACAGAAATATTTAAGGCCGGAAGGCCTTCTCACAAACAACAACCATCACTTTGGTTATTATAAGTGCAAGGTGTCGACACTGAAAAAAAAAAAAAAAAATCACTACGCCCAATCTCACGTTAGAAAACAACCAAACTGGAAGCTACTGATAATCAATATTTATTGTGGAGCTTCTTTTTGTGCAGTAATTAAAGCCCATGAATTAGGTTTTATATTTGCTGCAACATTGTCTGAGAAGTGACCAATCTTTCACCATTTAAGCTTGGCTGGGAAGTACTGCACACAAACACACACAAAAAAAAAATAAAAAAAAATTGTCATTCTCGTGAATTTAGCCATATCGTAGAGGGATAAATGGGTTTGTTTTTTATTAGGTCAATGAAGAAAACAAGACATAATTAAAGTTAGAAACCTTTTCAATGAGGGACAAATAGTAGGGCTTCACTTTCTCCACATCAACTCTAACTTTGCTCTTGCTGTAGAGATCGTATTTGCTGCATCTCACGAGAAATCATGATAATAACATTAGGTAGTCATTCTCATTAAATATGACTCGATAATTAGTAGGATTAATTTTTCTAATCCTTACTTAAAAAGGTGAAGCCACTTCAAATTTTCCTTGTCCTCATCATTCAAGAGGTAACTGTAAGCTCCATTTCTGTGCAATGCTGCAATAAAACACCACAAGATTTTAAAATGAATCATTTTGAAGATAATTCCTTCGATATTATATTTATACAAGACACGGATTAAGAACTAAATAAGTTATTTAAAAAATTAAAGCCACAGAAGAAAAAGAGAACTGACGGTAAAAAGAGTGGAATCTGATGACGAAGAAGGCAGCAGGAGGGAGGGTGCAGTTGTTTTTCTTCATCACCATGTACATGTACTCATCATGCCCCCATGACATTGTGACATTGTTAATCCCACAATTCTCTTTGTAAATCCCAAGCTTTGTTTGGTAAACTGGATTTGCAAAATCTGGGTTGTCCTTGAAATGCTGCATTCCACACCCAAAATATGGTGAAAACTAACGTCGCAAAAGAAAACAGTAATTAAATTCCCTTTAATTAAATAAGAGGAGGATTAAGAAGATTACCTTGTAATGAACAATGGATTCATCAAAAGCACATCCAAGTGGATATGTGTCACCTAAAACAAACAGAATTAGTATTAGTATTAAAAAAAAGAATCATCTAAAGAAACTAATAAAATTTTAAATAATTAATTAATTAAGTGTGTATCATAAATTGCTCACTCACCCACGACACACCATTGTGGTTCAGCTCCAAATTTCTCGTGAAGCAGAATCTTTCCCAGGTCTGTGGCACAACAAATTTTTTTTTTCTTAGAAAAATAAATTCTTGATAACTTTTGAAATTATAAATAACAAATAAAATGAAAACGAAAAAAAAGGAGAAATCATCATGCATGCATGCATGCAGATATTATTTAGCTAAGAAGAAGATTAAGGAACTGACCGTGGATTAAGGCGGTAAGGTGCAACCAATCATCATCAGGGTAATCCCTCCTAATGGCTTCAGCAGATTGAAGAAGATGTTCAATCTGGGGTTCATCCAGATCTGGATCACTTTCATCCACAAATTCATTCAACAATTCACAGCATTCCCATATACTCATCTCCGCCCTATCATGCTTCCCATACTCTTCCCTCTTCTTTTTCGACTATATATCAACGTTACAAAATGAAATTATAATCAGAACCCGACAGAAAGTAATTAATATGGATCACATGTCACAATCGTCATAAAAAAATAATTGTAGCGTAAGATAGAGTTGTACTTACGAATTCGTAGGTTTGGTTGATGTGATTGGTGCGATAGAATTGTTCAACACCAGCACTTCTTTCGCTCTCTTTCTCATAGTCCCTAAAAGAATGACCAAAGGCGTTGTTGTCTGGAACCACAAATGCTTCTTCTTCTTCTTTTTCGTTCTTCTTCGCTTTCATTTCATCTCTCACATTCTTTTGGTTTTCAACGACCGGACCTGTAATCATCATCATCATCATTAACAACGTTAAATTAACATGTTCATCTCATACATTAAAAAAATTATTAAAAATCTTCCTCTTTATATTACTTAACCACAAAAAAATAAAATAAAATAATTATAAACACATACTTTCTACGGCAGCTCCCATCTTTCTTTCTTTTTTTTTTTTTTGTTTTGTTGGTGAGAGAGAGATGGAATGAGCTTGGTAGGATGAGAGGAAGAGAACGAGAGGGATAATGATGATGGTGATAATTAAGCTAGAAAGGAAAGAAAAGAGTGGAAGAGTGAAGATTATTTTCTCGATTAAATCGGTGGAATCAATTTATAATAATCCAAATGTTTGGGATTTGTGGGATTAGGGGATCATTTCGATCCTCGTAGGAATCTGATCACCACCAGAGATTTGTTCCGTTATTTTAGTTCATTTTGTAATCATTATCCCTTAAATTGGACATAAGCCAATTTGTTTTCCCCCCTTGAAATCGTTCATACGATATTTTTCCTTAAAAATTGCTAAACTTACAATTGGCGTGCCTGTGCGATGATAATAATGATAAGGGATAATATCCAAACAGCCTATTTATATTTATTTATTTCTAATTTTGTGTGGATAATTGTACAGATAAGTTCTAAATGTTTTATCTACAACAAGTTTTTTTTTTTTTGGGTTTTTAATCCAGCACAAGTTTAATTGTTGGTTGCTAAATTTGGCTAAATACGTACGGCCAGACTTTATCCTAGCTCCACTTAGAAGTTTTGAGCATTTTTTAACTAACGGAACGACGTTTTACATTGAATTAAGAGGCTAAGTAATTTATATTACTATTTAATACGGTCTCGATCTCCGAAATAATTATCCGATATAATTTAAATTTTCATAAATCATACTAAAAATAAAAGATTAAACCAAATAATTGTTTTGTGATGGAAGAAATATAATTCTTTTTTTATATTATTAAACCGCTTCGCAGCTTAATAAAATCGACCGACTCTCTTTTGAGATAAAAAAAAAAAAAAAAGAAAGAAAACAAACAAACAAATACGACTAAACTAGCTAAGTGGCATATGATTGACTACGATTTATGAAATTAGCCCTCCTATGTGAACTCTTACTCCTTGTACTCTATGATTAACACTGCATATATATGGTCGGTTAATCTTTGCACATTTCATTTCATCAAATTAACACTGAATTTGCACGGAATGGTAAAACCTACGACAACTTTTACAAGTTTAATTAGTATTCTATATTTCTATTAAAAGAGTAAAATTTAAATAAGTGTTATGTGGTTAAGCAAAAACATAATGGCTCGTGACCTCAGTCGTGTTGGAACTTGTTTTGCCTTTTCCATCCCCTAATCGTTTTGAGGGAATGTCAATATCCTGTAGTTTCTTTTTTTTTTTTTTTTTTTTCTCTTTTTTACATTAATATCCAAGATTGAGATAATTTAATAATTAAATACTCCCTCAGGTCCTTAATATAAGATATTTTGATTTATCCTAGATTTAACCTAATATGCATTTTTAATTAACGAAAAAACCTTAAAAATATTTCATAACGATCAAGAGAATACGATGAATGTGAAAATATATTTTTAATATTTTTTCATCAAGTAAATATGCATATTAGGTGAAACCTAGAATAAATCAAAATGACTTATATTGAGGACCAGAGGGAGTAGTAAGGATATTCTTGTTGCCAAGAAGCCCAAGACCATAGCTTGGTATTAGAAAAAGAGCAGTCAAAGTCTTAGCTACACATCATATTCGACCGTGACTGGAACTTAATTACCAAAATTAATACTCATTCTTTTCCGAAACTATTTGCCAGTTTGAATTTCATTTACAGTTCAATTTATAATAAAAGTAAAGTATCAAACTGAATAATAATTTTAGGTCCGAGGGAATACAAAACTTTTATGTACAAAGTCTGTCTTCCGATAATCAGGTTTTGGGAAGACGAGGGAATGCTATACTAGCTAGGCGTCCGTGCACATAATGCATACAGTTAATTGTAATGAGGAGTAATTAGGAATTTATTAATTAGAGGTTTTAAACGCGTCCCTGCATAACAAACAGATGATGAATGTTTCGCATGATATATTATAGTTTTCTCCTAAGATGTATTAGAGGTTTTCTTCTAAGATTAAACATACGATATAGAAAAGAATTTTACCTGCAGTAGAGATGGACCATGTGAGGGAAGAAGAGAGTTGCCATTTGGTGTGCCTTTTGAAGAAATGCTGTTGCCCTCCTCCTCTTCCTCTTCCATTAATCCCAAACAACACTGGCTCATGATATCTTGACCTCCTCCAACCGTTTCTGCAGTCCTCAAACGGAGTACTGCCGTAAATAACCCCGACTTTCTCAAGTCCTCCCAAATTGCTCATATTTGCTGTAATCCTTGTGTTTCTGAAATATGTTTGATTAAATCAGGAAAAAGAAAATATGGGTTCAAAAGAGAAAGGGGATCAAGCCAAAATGCGGGAAGAAGAAATATGCACCCAAAATTTATCACACGTGAATGAATGTTCTTTATAGCTGTGGGGAAGAGCAAGGCTCCAAGAACAAAATGGAGTACGAAGTGAATAATTATTAATATGGTCTCGTAACTATAAGGATTGATGGAGACTTGATAACCAAAGCTGACGAGGAGAAGTTAAAAGTGATGAAGGTACGGATCTTGGAGTTAGTCATGGATAGTAAAAGAGATATGATTGGAGAGAATTTTGATCGGACCAAAGTATTATCATTTTACTTTATTGTTCTTTTTTTTTTTTTTTCCTTTTCCCCCCTTGTAATTAAGTTGGAAACGTTGGAAATGTGACATAAATTTTGTATTGGTTTCTTTCCTGAGAAATTGGCTCATGTCTTTAGCATGCAGAGGAGATATTATATCGCAGGAAGAAAGAGACCAATTTGAGATCCTACGCACGTACAAGGTTTCGTGTCCAACTTTATACTCCATCTGTCCCAAAATTATTGTCCAGTTTGAAATTTTACTTTTAGTACAATTTGAACTAAAAATGAAAATCCAAACTGGACAATAATTATGGGACGGAGGGAGTACATTCAAACCGTCCTAGGGAGTATTGTAATATTTAGTATATTTCCTATTATGTTCTAGTTTAGGGTTTCTTATTGTCTATATATAGTCTGTATATTGTGTACAACAGATTATGCATCTAATACAATTTCCCTTTTCTAAGTTGGTATCACAGCTAGGTTTAACAAAACCTATTTTTTTTGTCTTTTCTCTCCCCCCGCCGAATCCTTCTTCTTCGGCCGTTCACACCGCATCCGCCGTCGTCGGCCGTGTTCTTCTGTTTACTGTGAAGCTGCAATCTCGGGCCAACTATTCGTCTTGGCGTCTTCAGTTTACTCCTTTATTGACTATGTTTCGTGTTGCCGGTATTGTCGACGGCACCGAACCTGCACCGCCACGTTTTCTTCCTTCCGTTAGTGGTGCCGTGCCCCAACTCAATCCTGAGTTTGATATCTGGCAGCAAAAGGATCAGTTGGTCCTCTCTTGGATTCTTTCTTCCGTTGTTGAAGAGATCTTTCCTGTTCTCCAGGGCTGCACAACGTCGGCGGCTGCATGGACAGCTCTTCAGCAGGGTTTCGGCACTCTTTCTTATGCTCAACAGACCCAGCTTGTTATGGAGCTCCACAGCTTGCAAAAAGGTGACTTGTCGGTCACGGTTCTCCTCTCCAAAGCGAAGGGCATCGCCGATACACTACAGCTTGCCGGCCATCGCATATCTCCTGCAGAGTTTAATGCCATAATCTTCCGCAAGCTTGGTGCTGAATTCAATGGTATCATCGGAGCTCTGCAACAGCAATCTGAACCCCCCTCTTATCAAGATCTCCTTGGACAGTTAGTTTCGTATGAGGTACTTCTTCACGCCCAACAGCCGGTCCTTCAGCCCACGGCCATGCTTGTGCAGTCGCCACCTTCTTCTACGCCGCCTCAATCCTCTCGTGCCGGTCGCTCGCAACGCGGCGGCCGGCGCAATCAGGGTTCTGGTCATGGTGGTGGTCGGCATGGGTACACTCCTCCCGCTCCGGGTGAGACGTGTCAGCTTTGCGGCATCTTGAATCACACGGCCGCCACTTGTCGACGCCGTTTTTGATACTAATTTTGTTCCTCGACCCCCTGCCGTTCGATCGGCTGCTTATGCCCAGGCAGGTTCTACTGCACCGCCTTCAGCTGGTTTGTTGCCTCTTCCGTCTTACCCAGAGTCGACTATGTCTCCTCAAGCTCATATGGCGCAATATGCCCCTTCTGTCACTCCCTGGCATCCGGACACTGGTGCTACCGATCATGTCACGCCAGATTTGTCCTCTCTTAGTCTCTCTAATGATTATACTGGTACGGATCATATTTTAGTTGGTAATGGGGATGCTTTACCTATTCAGCATGTTGGTCAATCTGTTTTGCCATCGTTTTCTCGTCCTCTTTATTTAAATCGTGTCTTGCATGCTCCTTCTCTTACTAAGCCTCTGTTATCTGTTCAAAAGTTTACCCGTGATAATCACTGTTTCTTTGAATTTTATTCTGACTCTTGTTGTGTTAAGGATCTTTCAACCAAGGAACTCCTCCTCCGCGGTCGGGCTGATAATGGTCTCTATCGCTTAGATCTTCCTGCTCGTGGTTCCTTGTCTCCAGCAGCCTTATCTTGTCTCTTTAGGTCGGTGGCATGCTCGTTTAGGGCACCCTAATAATGTCACTCTTCGTACTTTGGTTAGGCGGTTTCAACTTCCTTATTCCTCCGTGTCCACGTCCACCGATAAATGTGAGGCGTGTTGTTTAGGAAGTTACATAGGGTCGGCTTACCTTCTACTTTTCATCGTAGCTCTAAACCTCTTGATTTAATTCACACTGATGTTTGGGGTCCTGCTCCTATTTTGTCATTCAATGGTTATCGCTACTTTGTGCTTTTTATTGATGATTTCTCTTTATTCACATGGATTTATCCCATTAAGTATAAAAGTGATGTTGTCCATGTTTTCAAGCAATTCAAAGCTCTCGTAGAAAACCAATTTGGCACTACCATTAAAAGTGTTAACTCTGATTGGGGTGGTGAATTTCGTTCTCTCAATTCTTTCTTTAAGGATGTCGGTATTGTTCATCGTTTAGCGTGCCCACACACTCATGAGCAGAATGGCATTGCTGAACGTAAAATTCGTCACATTGTCGACATTGGACTTGCTCTCCTTGGCCATTCCAGTACCCCTTTTCCGTTTTGGGATTTTGCTTTTGAAACTGCTGTGTTTTTGATTAATCGCCACCCTAGTAAACCTCTTCAGGGTCACCTACCCTTCACACACTATATCACCAGCCACCTGATGATACCTTTCTTCGTGTCTTTGGTTGCGCTGTCTATCCTCTTCTTCGCCCTTATAATAAACATAAATTCTCCTTTCGTTCTACTCAGTGTGTCTTTCTTGGGTATTCTCCATCCCATCTTGGTTATCATTTGTTTTGATGTGGTGAATAACCGTCTTTATGTTGCTCGTCACGTTGAGTTTGATGAGAAACTCTTTCCCTTTAAACTTCCTATTTCTAGTTCTCCTTCTTCGCTGCTGGAGTCTTCTGCTACCCCTTGGTTGCGTGTAACCAGTTCTCCTGGTATAATTGCGTCGTCTTCTGTGTCTTCTTCGTCTCCTTCTAGTACACCAGTTCTTTCATCTCCTCCTATCCCTCCCGACTCATCACCGTTAGCTAGATCTCCTGCATCCAGCTCTTCATCATCTGATTGCAGTCCTCCGCCGCCACCTCCTCCTCCCTCCCGTCAGCACTCCATGACACTTCGTCCACAGCCCAAGCCCAAGAAAATCTTTGATCCCTCGGCTCATCTTACCTCTGTTTCCCCAGCCTTGTCTATTGCTCCTACATCCTTCACCCAAGCCAAATCTCTTCCTCAGTGGCAGAATGCCATGAAGGATGAAATTTCCGCCCTCCTAAAAAATAACAAATGGACTTTAGTTCCCCCTCCTTCCTCCGGCAATGTTGTCGGCAATCGATGGCTCTATAAGATTAAAACTCATGCTGATGGCTCCATTGAGCGGTATAAGGCTCGGCTGGTGGCTCGAGGTTTTACTCGATCTTTTGGGGTTGATTACACCGACACATTTAGTCCGGTTGTTAAGCCGGTCACCATTCGTTCGTTTTGACTGTTGCCCGGCTCGTGGATGGTCGATTTCTCGGCTTGATGTCGTAATGCCTTTCTTAATGGAGTTCTAAGTGAGACCGTGTATATGGTTCAGCCACAGGGGTTTGTTGATCCGATGCGTCCTCATTATGTGTGTAAACTGCATAAGTCCTTATATGGTCTTAAGCAAGCTCCTAGGGCCTGGTATTCTCGGCTGGCAGCATTTCTGCTTACATTGGGTTTTGTGGAGTCTCGTTGTGATCCGTCTCTTTTTGTCTATCGCCGTGGGTCTCGGTTGTGTTTTTTTGGTCTATGTGGATGACATTATTCTTACAGCAAAGACTTCCGGTTTGGTCCATCATTTTATCTCTTGTCTTGCTAAGGAGTTTTCTCTTCGAGATTTAGGTCCATTGAGTTACTTTCTTGGGGTTGAGGTTCGTCGTACTCCCAAGGGTTTGCTTCTCTCTCAGCGCAAGTATGTCACTGATTTGCTACGCCTTGCAAATATGCATACTTGCAAACCTGTTTCCACTCCTTTGCAGGCTAATGTTGTGTTGTCCCGTTTGGATAGTACTCTGTTGTCTCCTGATGATGCGACGACTTATCGTCGGCTGTGTGGTAGTCTGCAGTATACGACTCTTACTCGTCCAGATATCTCTTTTGCGGTTAATAAGCTTTGTCAGTTCATGCATCAGCCTCGCACTTCTCATTTTCATGCTCTCAAACGGGTTCTTCGCTATCTTCGTGGTACCGTTGATTACTGTTTAGTTCTGCATCCTACAGATTTGGGTACTCTTACTGCGTTTAGTGATGCTGACTGGGCTGGTTGTCCGGATGATCGTCGTTCTACTACTGGTTTTCTCATTTATTTGGGACCTAATCTCATTGCTCAGGCATCTAGGAAATGACCCACCGTGGCTCGCTCGTCTACCGAGGCCGAGTTTCGTGCGGTTGCTAATGTCCGTGTTGAGTTGCATTGGGTGTGTCATCGTTGTCCGAGTTAGGCGTTTCTTTACATCGGCCTCCTCTATTTGGTGTGGCAACAGAGTGCGCTTTTCCTTCTTTGTTAATCCCGTGTTCCATGCTCGTACAAGACATGTTGAGGTTGATTTTCACTTTGTTCGAGATCATGTTCGGCGTAAGTTTGTTTCGGTCAATTCTATCTCTCGCCGATCACCTTGCGATATTCGACAAAACCCTTGTCCAAAGAGTTATTCTTTCGATTTTGGGACAAACTTCGGCTTCTCTCTTCTCCGCCGTAAGTTTGCGGGGGCGTATTGTAATATTTAGTATATTTCCTATTATGTTCTAGTTTAGGGTTTCTTATTGTCTATATATAGTCTGTATATTGTGTACAACAGATTATGCATCTAATACAATTTCCCTTTTCTAAGTGGGAGAAAAAACAAAAATACCTAAATTAAATAGTACTCTTATTTTTATGTATTTTTATACATTCAAAATGATTATTCATTTTAAATTTTTATTTTTTTTAGTATAGATGTAGTAAAAATAATAATATAAATTGAACGATTATTTTAGAAGAAGAGAGATTATATTTTTACAAGTGTGTACTTACCATTCGGTGTTACATTTCTATACCAATATTTCAATTGATCACTTACACTTAACTAATTTAGTATTTTTATGACCTAAATCTAAGTGTTTTTCGATTTTCTTTCTGTTGTCTTCCGCTTCAAAATGTTAATTTCATGTTGATCATTCAACTACATGAATAATACATCTCCATTAATGGAAGTATTATGTCGTGAACATTAGAATCGTATAACAATATTCAAGTTTTTACAGACACAACAAAAATTTATGATAACCAATTGCTATCAGTCTTCAAATTATTTTGTGAATTACATACAAGGAGTCAACTTCTTCGGGCTTATTATTGATTTCTCTGATTCTCACTACTTTGTTGCTCTTATTACGTACGTTGTCACTATTGACGTTGTGGAAGCATCTTAAAAGGTCACGTTCGAAATCAATGACCGATCCAATATGTACCTTTTTTTTCCCCCTCTAAAACGAAAGCTCTTTTGGCACCCAAAGTATATATGAATTTGTTCTTAAATGATTTTATGCCTTGACATGCAATCAATGACGTTGTTGAAGGATTTTTTTTTCACTAAATCCGATTTGTAGAAGAGTAGTTTTTTATTAGTTGAATGAACAATAGATCAATCATCAATATTGAGTAAATCAGAGAAATGGTAACCAATAACTTTATTTCTATACATAAAAAAAAAAAAAAAGGATTACAGATTACAGCAGGAGAGGCCTATAGTTGAACTTATACCCTCTCATAACAGACATCAACCCTTCATCATCAAACCATTCAAGTGATTCAAACTTGGTGCTGACACCCAAAATTTACAGTTGAAAGCGGAGAAATTTGCAGGGGAAAAAAAGACACACCAATGACACATAAATATATAACAAGAAAAAAAGACACACTATAATCTGGAGCTAACGGCAAGTTCTTCACATGACTATCTCAGGCTTCAAAATGCTAGATTTGATCTCTTTGTGGGGCAATACTACACCCCCCATTGCTATAGATGTCATCAGAGACATGAACGTCTTCTCCCAAAATTGTCAATGTTCTCCACGCAAGCCCACTGCCCAACAGTTGAGTGCCAGCCGATGATGCAGCTGGAGATGCAGGCATGTTTCTTGATGCGCACTCCCCGCATAACTGTGCAGCGGGAAAGTCTCACACCGGCCTCAACAATACAACCAGGGCCAATTGCAACATCAGGTCCAATCAAGCAACCCTCTCCAATTTTAGCAGTCTCATCCACTATAACATTTCCAATAATATGAGATCCGGAAGCTAGTTTAGATGATGATTTCTTTCTTGAGTCAAGATAGAGTCGCAGCCCAGTAATATAATCCTTTGGCTGTCCAATGTCCATCCAGAACCCAGGTAAAACAATAGCATAAAACTTCTTCGCTGCTGCAATCTTTGGGAAAATTTCTTTCTCAATTGAAGTGGGTTTTAGCTCAATTCGATCAAGAACGGAAGGATTGAGTAGGTAAATGCCAGCATTAATTTTGTTTCTCCACAAACCTCTCCACCTGTCCAGTTGATTCTTCCACGATCACCACCCCATATTTTGAATGTTCATCCACCTAAAGACAGAATTACATTAATTGGGGCATATTACTACAATACAAGAAAATTCTGGACAGAAATAGACATAGGAAGCCAAGTTGAAATGTAACTTTACCTTAGTAACCATGAGAGAAGCTTCACCTCCATGGGATTTGTGGAACGCGACCATTTCTTTAAGCAGATAATCACTGATTACATCACTGTCGAGAACGAAAAATGGCTCACCCCAGAACCATCTATCAGCTTCTCCCTCGCCAAAGGAAGGGGACCTGCAGTTCCAAGTGGCTCAGTCTCCTGTGAGCATGTTATCTTGATGCCAAGCTTTGTCTCAAAATCTTTCAGAAAATTCAGCATCACCTACAAGGACAAGATTCATAAGGTGTCTATATTATAGAATTGTTTAGTGCATTAGTTGTGTACTTTAGATGGGCCTTTTCATGAGTTTACCTCAGGCTGGTAATTGATTGCAAGGACAACTTCGTCCACTCCAATAGCCTTCAAAGCCTCAATCTATTATCAAAAAGCATAAAGGACGTCAAGTTATATCAACTTAGATATTCATTGGCAGACTTGAGAACAGGGCACCATAAGATACAACAATATTTTGATTCCTTATAACCAGGCTACATTTGGATAAGCCCATATCCCCCAACTTTTATGCGGTAACTTTAAAAATCCTTTGAAGCATTGGGAATGCGAACATCATAAATTAACTAACCAATACAGCGAGAAAAGGGACATACCTGATGCAGGAACATCATAAATTAACTCTAAATGTTTTCCACAACCAAATTTCGCAAACCGGCAAAGTCATTCAGAGATTATTAAAGTAAAATCAAATGCATTGCATGGACATTTTTTTTCTGTCCCAAAATCCCCCTCAGAGATAAGAGCGGAAAAAAGATACACACTACTAACCCAAGATCCTGGAAGCATGATAAAAATTACGAACTCAATGAAATACAAATTAAGCAAGACCACGAAACTCAACAAACACCGTCGTAATGAAAGTTGTCTTAGGAGAGAATTCACCTACTATCAAAGGAAATCTCTTTTTGGAAATTAAATTACCAACAATTAATCCACAATTTCTTACTACAAAAGTATATGCTTGAGGAAGCCAATAAACCATGGAAATAAACCATAAGCCAAACAACATAAATATTACACACAACAGACAAAAGGATGAGCTCGTATAGACGAAAAGATTCAATTCAAAAGAAGCTATTCTGAAACTTCCAGAAGATTGATCAAATTCCCAAAAGAAAATTGAACCATTGCATTAAAAAATTTCTAATCCAAAAAGCTCTTATTTTTGTGTCTCTTCCTCCTTTTTCAGCTCCAATGGAGCCTTCTGACTTGACACATCCTGCTGGAAATGAATTTCAACAAGTAATCCCCCAAATAACAAACAATGTTAATTTCATGAAAAGTAGAAATACAGTAAAACATGCTTGTAGAATTCATATACAAAAGGAAGCAATCAACCAATCTTACCAACAGGGTTAAAACCAAGATCAACACACACACACACATACCTGTTCGTCTTTGGGCGGCAGCAGAGACTGTGAGGAAGCAGATGCAGAATGAAGCCCGGAATTCGATGCTGAAGCCATCACATAATTCTTCCACCACACCTCGAAAATGTGTCTTTCTTTCACTTCTTAAGCCCTATGTCTACGCTGCTTCCTCTGTCAACTTTCTCTTCTTACCAGAACATATATAGTAATATGGTTTTTTTTTAGTACTTTTTGTTTTTGATGATTAACTGTGACTTTTTATTGATTTTTTTTTTATTTTTTTTAACTCGGATTTATCAGCTATCAATTATGATCAAACACATGATTAAATTAATTTACCCACTTTGACCAACTGTCTCACTCATCGAGGTGCCGTGCCTACAATTCAGCAGGAATTAGTCACTGTTATCGACGGTGTACACCCTGTAAATATGAAGAAAAAAAAAATTTTCTTACCCAAAAAAGTGAGATATGTCATTTGAACATATTTGACCCCAGATAAATACATGGTGAACAAATTTATGTTAAATTCAATTTTTATATTTTGATTAAGTTTTTAAGATATTGGTTGATACATATGGTACACGTATGAAAACAATTGACAATTTAAGTGGAAAGAAGAATTAATAAAAGAAATATACTTTGCACTTAAAAAAGGATTTATTAATAAATAACAAAAAAAGTTTGGTGCTACAAAGTTTCAAACCTTTTTTCTTTTCTTTTTTTTTTTCCTCGGTCAATTTCGTTCCACATACTTAAAGGCGGGTTCTATCTCGTAATTACAATATAAAGAAAAATCCACTTAGAATTCGATTAGATCTGAAATTCCCAATTTCGAATTGTTCGTTCTTCCTCTGCGGATCTACGCCATGGATTTCATGAAGGTTTTCGATCAAACAGTTCGTGAAATGTAAGTGAAATCATGATATCTTTTACGAAATGAATTTTTAATCAAGATTGGTTGTGATTTCCCATTAATTTTTAGGGATTTGATTATTAACTGATTGATTAAACCTGCAGAAAGAGAGAGGTGAATTTGAAAGTTTTGAAGGTTCCTGAGATCGAACAGAAGGCAAGCACATACACAAAAGAAAAACTAATGTCTCGATTTATTATTATTATTCTGGAATTCGTTAATGCTCATTTTTCGTTTTGAAAATTCCAATTTGTGAGCTGCTGAAACTCTTGTTTATCACATTTGACCATATGGATTGATCGGAAGTTTTGTTTATGACTGTAATGTGGATAGGAGGAAGGTCAATTATTTGTTGGTTGCCTTACTGTGATTTGATTTCGAACTTATGGACAATGTTTGGTACTAAATGAATTAATAAAGATGAAGTAGAATCAATGTACTTTGTTAATGATGGATTGTTCGGTGCTGATAAAATTGTATACATTGTATTCCACCGGTGATAGTTCATTGGGAAAAATGCCTCCTTGGAAGAAGGATACGAGTGTAGAAGACGATATATATGAACTAATCAGTACTTGAAATTTGGCATCTTTATTTCAGTTATGAGACCCTTGATGTCTTCAATTTCCAGCTGTCATTTGCATTTTCAATTCACAGATGAACACCTACCTTTTGTTGCTTAAACAAATTTGATTTTGTTTGACTGAGTGTTTTATTTTCTCCTGGGGTGCAGTTACTGAAAAGTTCTAGTGAGTATTTACAGTTTGAATAGCTAAGGTCTAAAATCCCGTTATCATATCTTTTCCGGCTGACATGCTAGTGAGCATTGCCCTTCCCAATGCAGGGGGAAGAATGGCTTTTCCCGTAAACTTTTAACTGTAGGGCTGCACTATTGTGGACTACGAATTAACTAAATAGTTGATAAAATCTTAGAATTTTTTTGGTCCTTTAGATGTCCTTCTTACCATTACGGGCCCTGGGCTTTATTTGTATGGATGCTTCATTATAGTCAGTAGCTGCGGGATGTTTCATTTGAGACTCATATTTGATTGTTTTGCTGCTTTTCTGATATCTTGAAATACGCAGGTGTTGGATGCTACCGACGACGAACCCTGGGGTCCTCATGGTACAGCATTGGCTGAGATAGCTCGGGCGACAAACAAATTGTATTTTAACCTTATTCTGCTCTATGAGTTTACTAGCCTTGTGTCTTGACTGTATTAATATCCGAATTGTAAAGCTGATTGATATCTTATATTTTTGCGCAGCTCTGAGTGTCAAATGGTTATGAATGTATTGTGGACAAGATTAACCGAAACTGGAAAGAACTGGCGCTTTGTTTACAAGGTGTGGATGAGATTTGTGTTTGCATTCTTTAATAGCAGAAGAACTCTATGTTTTTTGAATTTCTCTACTTAGGTTTTTCCTTTCATCTTATCAATATTATTGACTTGGAATCATGATTAACAATCTTATTTTTAAGACATAACAAAACAAAGAGAAAACAGAAAGTCACCAAGGGTGCTAATAATACTTTTTCCACAGGCTTTGGCTGTCATAGAATACTTGGTGGCACATGGATCGGAACGGGCAGTTGATGACATAGTAGAACACACTTTCCAGATTTCTGTATGTACTTTTTCTTTGTCATGACAAGAAATTTTCTATATATTTCCTGATAACCTTGTGGTCCTTAGTCCGTCCCCTTATCAAGAATGAAAAACTGGCTTCAGCAATTTCTTACTTTCTCACTGTTCCTGGTTTTCTTTCTTATGTCAGTCTCTTGCAAGTTTTGAGTATGTGGAGCCAAGTGGAAAAGATGTGGGTATTAATGTGAGGAAGAAGGCTGAAACTATTGTGGCTCTTTTGAATAACAAAGACAAGATTCAAGAGGTCAGAAACAAAGCTGCTGGGAACCGTGATAAGTATGTGATAATCATGTTTGATGTCTTTTAGGTCTCTTGGCTTTATCGTTGTACTATTATATTAAAAGTACTAAGTAAAGCAATGATGTGGCTTTTTAGGTATTTTGGCCTTTCATCAACTGGAGTTACTTATAAATCAGGGGTTCCATCATTTAGTGGCAGTAGCTTTCAAAGTAGTGAACGATATGGTGGTTTTGGCAGTGAGAGAGATGGTAACTCTTTTAGGGACAAGGACAGGAATCGCTACGATGAGGATAAGTTTGACCAGAGTAGTTCTGTCAAACCACGTCGGGACTCAGCGGGTGCAAGCAGTACTTCTCGTAAAGGGTCTTCTCGCAGGTACCTATTGCCACTAAATACTTTGCAGCACGGACAATTTATGTTTATATTCAATGCTGAACAAAAAAGTAAATGAGCATTATATTTGTTGCCACAATGTGATGAGATAAAGTTTGACATTTGGAAATACAAGGAAAATGGAGAACTTACCAAATTTTCTTTTTGCCATTCTTATTATCTGAAATGAATATGTTTGCCAGCAAGTCACAGGATTCTACTTCAGCAGATGCATCAAAAACAACAAGAAAAACGGATGGGCATGACAATTATGCTACATTCCCCAGTCAAAGCTCTAGTGCTCCATCAAACAACTATGATGATGACTTTGATGATTTTGATCCTCGGGGTACTTCCAGTGCTAGTAAGTACAGTGAAATGAACTTTTGGTCTTTTCTGCTCTACCAGCCTCACAAATGCTTCTGTTGCTTCCATGATAAGATATTGGGATTTTTTTATGTTTTGTTGATATGCGATGGTTTCTTGAATTCATACCAACTAGTAGTTAGGTGGCCTTTATCTGATGTTTGAGATCTGAAATGGGATTTACTGGATCAGTGTGAATGGGTTTCTATCATTCAGGCGTGTTTGACTTACATGAGGAATGAGGCATTCACGATGAAGAAAAACTTAATCTAATGTTTGTAATTGAGTTTTACTTGAGAATTTATTATAGAGCTTATGAGACCTTTGTATTCACAGTAAGGCGTGTAAAATTTATTGTGTGTTGCAACCACTTCGTCTAATGTTGTAACTCTCATTTTTACTTTTCAGAGCCTTCTACTGGAACTTCTCCTAAAGTGGATCTGTTTGGGCAAGACTTGATTGGTGACCTGTTGGATGCACCAGTTCCGGTTCCAGTAGATAATGTTGTCACAAACAATGATACATCAGAGATTGATTTATTTGCTGATGCTACCTTTGTGTCTGCATCACCCCAAAAGGAAGCAAGTGAAAGTTCTTATCCTCAGGTAATCCACCCTTTAGGGAACAAGAGTTTTTCTTAGTCAAAAGTTTGATACTAATAGAAGGAAGCAACAAAAAAATGATGTCTTCCACACATAAAAAAGACCCACTTTCTGCATGTTATATGGTGATTCTGACATTGCTTGACACACTTTCATTTCATTCACCTTAGGAGATTATTCTTACGCATTAGCACCCACTTAAGTGATCTCTGTGGAGTGTTTTTTGCTATTTATTCATTTCAAGAAATTTCTCTCCACTTTGATATAAACCGTGCTTGGGCACTTGTGCAGGAAAATATTGATTTATTTGCCTCCCAGTCTGCCCCATCACCTGCTGTTCCAACAGTTGATTTGTTTGCTGCACCCGATCCAGTGGGAGTGAGTGTGTCTGATAATAAGCCTAAAAGTACCGACAACGCAACCAGTAATGTATTTGACCCATTTGCTGCAATTCCGCTGAATAATTTTGATTCTGCTGATCCATTCAGTACGTTTGACCAAACTCCTGCCAGCAATAGCATTCCCACCGGCTTGAATGAAGCATTTGCCGATACGAAGCCTGTTTCCCAAAGCAACCTAAATGGATCTTCTGTTGACACTAAAACTCAACAACAGAAGAAGGGTGGATTTCAAGTGAAGTCCGGAATATGGTCAGATTCTTTGAGCCGTGGAATAATCGATCTGAATATAGCTGCACGTAAGTCTCTCTCTCTCTCTCTCTCTCTCTCTCTCTCTCTCTCTCTCTCTCATCTTTAGTGTTGTAGCTCCCATTCAGTTGTTGAGTCTGCATATTGAATTGTTATTGGCTCTTTTGGATCTAGAAGTCCAAGATAGTTTTAAGTTCTGTTGTTTGGACTTCGGAGATATGAATATTTTATCTGTATTTGCACATTAAAGTTAAATGCTTTACACTGCTTGCAGCCAAGAAGGTGGACCTAACTGATCTTGGTGTTGTCGGCGGTTTGACGGGATCAGATGAAAAGGAGAAGGGAGGTCCCGCTTCATTTTATATGGGGCAAGCTATGGGTGCCGGATCAGGGCTCGGTAAATCTGGCTTCCAGTCGACTTCATCAGAAGGAGATGATTTCTTTTCGAGCTTGAGCAGCCAACAATATCAATTCGGTGGTTTCCAGAAGTGATTTTTTAACTTCTGGTTGCATGCTGATTGACCCAGCTTCTATTCTATTTTGAATTTGCCCAAGTGCGAAAGAGAGTGGTTTCATATTGTTGATTTTCAACATGGCGGACTAAGTTTTGTTGGTTTCATATAGTTGATTTTCAACATGGCGGACAAAGGTTTGCTGTACTTCGATTCGTTGTATACATTCATGGCCTTGTGTATAATTTAATGAATGATGCCTTTCATATTTACGTAGGACAATACTCTAAAGAATCGTATCACTATAATATGTAACAAAATTGGAGGGTATTGTGAAAGGAATTCAGGTTCGGTAACCCAATGACAATTTTAAGGGAACTCAACATAATGATCCCATTCTAATATAGTCAAGCTGATTGGTATCTTGTAAGAAGCATTGACGAAGATATCAAAACTACCGGCCACCAAAGTATAATTATTATCTAGTCCTGTTGATCATCAACTATCTGATGTAGAATCGTCTCATTAGAAGTGAGTTGTAACTATAAATGACGCACAGAAATACAAAGATCGAATAACAAAGATCACCACACAAGACTTGTTCAAATAATCATCCATTAACAGTCTGGTAGATTCAAAACACAAGAAAGGATGGTGGATAGGTAGCCAAGATAAGTTTGTCTCTCTGTAACTTTACAAGTTTGGTAAAGATATAACTTGGGCAGCAAGGCCAACAACAATCCTCCTAATATATATCCAGCATTCTGCCCCTTAACATTGCTTCTGCTTTCCTCACCTGCTTCACGGGTCCAATAATGAAAACCTGCAAGAAAACAACAGCATTCGATGACCAGACACTTTGACACGGAATACTTTTTTTCCTTCTCAAAAGCTATATATGTGATTCCGTGTTGGATGTGGCTGGACATTATGTGAAACAGCAGACAAAAAAAAGTGGAATTCACAGGAAAGGAAGAAAGAAAAACCTTGTCAGGAGGCCCCTTTGCTCCTCCAATGAATATTTCAGCACTGCCATCATTATAAATGAAAGATGATGATGAGAAATGGAAAGCATTTCTGAGTATTTAGAAGTCGGTGAAAAACACATAAAGAAAACTAAGGTAACCTATGGGCAAAGAAGATTTAGCTGATAACCGTGAAATAACAAAATGGTATGACATGAACTAACCAGTGGGCACTTTTCCAAATATGAGTGGCGTTTCATTCTAAAATCTTATTAGTTTTCCAAAATTATTTTCCAACCTCTAATCCTAATTCCATGATATGCTATTGGATTCTCTTTCACAATTTATAAAGAGCGAGCAAAATGAACTAGGATCGCCCTAGCCATTTCCGAAGTGACAATTTTAAAATCAGATAAACTAGGGTCAACAAGATTTTAACCCTTTAGTGGACAATGTGGCGACGATGATGAAAATATCAGGGGAGAGAGCACATACTTGCATGACTCCTTAATGTACAATATAGTAGCTCCTCTTTTCCCAATAACACGTCCCATTTTTCCTGGGGGTACATCTAGCACTGACAGGACTTCTTCCTCTGGGGTATTATCCTCAGAAAGCAAATGCTCTGCAATGCACAATGACTGTAGGTGATATGCCAATCACTAGAAGAACAATTCCATACTATACCAATTTCACATAAACAACTGTCAAACAGCAAGAATTTATTTTTTTTCAATTGTTCCTAATATTAGTCCAATTCTTAGCAGCGCCAGACAAAAGAGAAACAATCATGTATCAACTTCGCAAATCCTTGTTCCTAAACATATTTCCCACAATGTTTCCTGAAGATACGTCCCAACACTTCCACATACGTCAAGTAGAAGGGTACAAGATACAACTATAACAATTTTCTCAAACAAAGAATACGGTCAGAAGGAAGGAAATCTTGTAATATAGATTTTCATGGGAGAAAGATAAAATTGGGACCTGGAACTGGAGGGAGAGGCGGCCAGTCTGCATAATGATTGTCATTAGTACAGAAACATCGACAGTAGAGTGCACCACGGACAGAAAGATACCACAAAGATCTCTCATTTAATTTCTCCACCATCCTATTATAGATTGAAAGAAGAAAACGGACATCATCTGCAGCTGCACGAATCATCTGATCCGAAAGTGGCCTATATGTCCAGAACTTAGGGTCCTGCAAAATGCAGCAGATCTCTCAATGTTACAAACAACTGCAACAATGTGGTGGTCTAAGCTACTAGCCATAAAATTTGAAACACAGAGTACCAGAGCAATATGTCTATATGGGCACGTGAAAGGATCAGAACTTATAGTAAGCTCTATGTGAATAAGTTTAATTCTCTATCTTTAAAAAAAGTTTTAAATACTCTATATCCATCTACAGTGTTACTGAATATATGGATATCCTTCTACTCCAAAATGAATTTCACATATGATTTGTGCTTGGCATAGCATATAGCTGTCATAAACAAGAGCTTTATGCATACAAGGTCATACACGCAAACAGGGCACGTGTTAATCAGACACTCAGAAAATTAAAACAGAACTAAGTTGCCTTTTCTACATAAGGTACAAGAATAGATATGAATGAACTAACCTGCCTCAGGAGAACTCTTACTTCTTCCTTCTCAGCATATGATATCCCTGCGAACCCCACAAAGTAAATAATAGAGCAACAATGGAAAAGTCTATGGTTATGCCAGACAAAAGAGAAAGAAAAGAAAGCACGTTTGCAGTGAACTACACCAAGGTAATATTGACTTTGTGAACAAATGATTAACCATCAAGGGAGAAGAAAAGTAAATAAACTTTAAAGCCTTATAGATGCACAAACTCTTTAGCATTTGGACCTTCAAAGATAAAACTACATGTAACTTATTTGGTCTATAGCACCAAAGAAGAAGTTCATTTCTTTTCTTTCTAGTTTTGAATTCATTGCACATTGTCAGCGACCTCCAAGAACCACAAATATATGCAAATTACTAAATACCACAATAAGTAGGGTCAGCAAGTAGGCCAACAAATGATATGTAGTCATCAGGTGCTCGAGTCTGTCCTTCTTGCTCCTTGATCAAAGAGTAGGCTATCTGCCAGTGTAAAAGAAGACATCAGTCATATAACATTTTGCGACAGAATTCTTCTATACATAGGAACCCTAAGCTACAAGGCTGTAAAAGCAAACTTAAGTTGCGGTTAATTTTTCAAAGTGAGATATTCAAGGTTCCAGATCTTCCAAAAAACACAGGACTATAACATATCGTGTCAAAAGCAAAAGATCATTAGCCGACTGGATTCAGCCAAAACTTGGTGACTTAAAAAGTAGCACTAAAATTCAATCCAAATTATTTATGCCATGAAAAGTTTAGCTAAATCCCATATCCAGACAAAAATCCTCTTGTCAAAGCATGTGAAGATCATTTATTGACCTATGAACATTATTACAAGTTTTCTTGGTGGATTATTGATAAAAGAAACTACAGAATGATACGCCTTGTGCTGATTATGCAATAATACAGACCTGGGTGTCCACAACATTGTGCAACTTGATGCCAAATTGAAAATATAAGGCCTGAAAGTTAAGATAAGAGCGACTATCAAATACGGAATCTCCATCAAGGATACCAAAAACGGAAACAGAAAAGATAATCACAGACCTCACTATCTCGCTTGCAGTCATGAATAACTTTGGTGATGTGATCAGACTCAAGTGCAGGCTTACAGGCTTTCACAAGTGCTTCACCACCCTCAATTGCATCGACCAAATATATTGCATCTGGAAAAGCAAGCTGTGAAAATGGCAACAGTAAGCAACATGGTAAAGTACAAACTCCAACAGATTTTTACATTTTTGGAAGCAAGAAGGTTTTCTGAAGTGAATCTTGCTCAAAAACATGACTGGAAAAAGAAATTTCAAGCAGATAACTTCCACAATTCAGGCCCCAATTCTCTCGAGTAAGTGATCAAGAAAATTACCTGCATTATGCAAAGAGTTCCATGGCGACATAGATCGACACCTTCACAGTCAAAACCGATAACAAGTTTTCCCTGAGGAGAAGGCTCCAAAAATTCGGCAGGAAGCTGGGATGCTTGTGTCACAACATGAATGGGCACAGATGGTAAAGCTTCATTTTCTAATATTTCCCCTCCTACAAATTTGGATCAGGATATGACATATCTTGAAGTTAAAACACAATAGTTTGAACTTCATAGTAAGACCCTATATATGTTGAATAAGTCTCAAGAAATATACATGTGAAACTAGTCAAACTACAAAATTCAAGGTGTATTACCTCGAAAATGTCAGATAACATAGTTACTGCACAAAACTAAGACAGATTCCATGATGTAAATTCTCATGCACCCAGAAACAACAATTCTACCTCCTGCTATCATAAATGAGCTACATGCAGGGATCAGGATCATCGACTCTTTCTTAGGATACAGATTTAAACTACAGCCAAAGGGCAATCCGACCATATTAGAGAAATGACTAAGGATTTGATTTGTAAGATTTTTTAGGGAAAATTAAAAAAAAAGGAAAAGAAAAGGTTAATCAAAGAGACATCCTGACAATGCTTTTCAACCCTCAGAAGACTGAACTGAATAATAGTAATAAGCTTTGTCCAACTATAGGTCACTGAATTAATTACCATGTGTTCTGCAGTTTCCTTAATTTACATTTTCCTCAGCCTCTCCTTTCCTATGCTGTTTACTCACTTTAGATTCAAATTCACTACAACACAGAGAGAGAATAGACATAGGACATGCCAGGCTACGTCCACATGCATCCTGCCAACAAGACGTCTAGAAATGAAATTGCATCAATCTCAAATTTATGCCCTAAAAATTCGCTATTGCAAGTTAGAACCAAATTAGCCCCCCAAAAACAAAATTCAATACGAGATACAGCAAGCTTCCCAAAATGAGGAGCAATTAAACTAATGATTCCATACTCTTACACATTTATTAGCAACAAAAGGTGTGCATCAGTGCCTCAATCATATGTAAGTGCAAGTGCATGCGCGATAAAGCAACCGACCAACAACATCAAACAATTTGCAGTTAGCAGTAAAATTTTCACTATCCTTCTGAGCCGAATGAACTCGATATGTTTTGCAAAAATTAAAACAAGAATTTCAACCGAGACAAACCCAGACCAGAAATGACACAAAAGGGGGGGAAAAAATCAAATTAATTTCACCAGTCATTTCAGAATCGATCAAATTCAAGCAAACAAGCCCCTCGTCGACCAAAATAATCAAACAGAAAATAAACGAAATAATTTCAAAAAAAAAAAATACCAGGATCAGGAGGTAGGGGAGTGTGGGTTTGCTGAGAGGACGCCATGTTAAAGCATCAGAGAGCACAACGTTGCTATCAGTTTATTTTATATATGAAAAAATGGACACTGATTTGGACAATTGTTTTTTGCAGTGTGATTTTATAGGCAGCTAAACGTACGGACTACGCCTTTTCGTTTGTATTGGGAATGACGGCAAATTACAGGAATGGACCTTGTTTTTACTACTCTCTTCCCATTTCCAGCCCCTTTAGTTTTAGAATACATATAATTTAGCCCCTCTTTTTTCTTTCTTCGATTTCCAAAACATTTTTTTTTCTTTTGGGTTTTAAATAAGCACTTAATTGGTCAACATTTGCTGCAGTAAGATGTTATTGGGATTACGCTAATTTGTTTTTCTGCTTTTTAGCATTCCATCACCTGCAAATCTCTCCACTATAGTGATTCGATATTGTAATATTTTATAAATTTTGACGCGTCAAGTTAGATATTATTATTTTCTGTTAAATTGAAATGGAAAGTATTTACTTTGATTTATTAAATTATTAGAACATAGAATTTTCTAAGTCTTGTAATAAAAACATAAAACCCCAAAGGATAAGACGAAGGAAGCAGTAACTGTAATTTAGAATGTACATATTATAATGTATCAAACTCCAAAACTAAACTTCGTAAGTAATTAGCTGACAATTGAGAGCTGAGACTTTGAACGTATTTGATTAAGAAAAAATAATAATAAATACTCCTTCCGGTCCTTAATATAAGCTATTTTACTTTTCCTAAATTTCATGTAGTACACAATTTTAATTGACAATAAAACCTTAAAACTATTTCATAATAATCAAAAGATCACAACGAATATGAAAATATATTTTTTAGATTTTTTTTTTTGTCAATTAAAAATACAAATTAGGTATGAAAATGCCTAATAAATACAATGAAAATGCCTTATATTAAGGAGCGGAAGGAGTAGTAAATAAATGAATCTAACTTGTCCTAACGTGGAAAAGTAATAAATACATGTTTTATTTTAACTAATAACTCTTAATCCCGGGATAATTGTATTTTTTTTTAAAAAAAATAAAATTAGAGTGAAATTTTCCCTAGAGTTTTGTAAATGTAAACAAAAATTGTAGAGAAATAATTTATAAAAGTGTTCAACATTCCATAATAACTAGACGTTAACTGATAAGTGGGAGAGACAGAAGAAACTATCAAGGAGAAACGAGCCACGATGACTGTGCTCTGTATAGGATAATTTGGTACCTTGACAACATCAAGAGGATTAACAATGATGACAGAAAGACAAGCTGATCCGGCAGCAGCACAAACAGTTTTTAGGGAAGCGGAGATGGCCGTTAATAGAGCCCGCAAAAAGGGGGGGCTGAGTTCCAAAATCACCATCGACTCCGACATCAAGGAAACACTATCGTCAATTTCCGAGATCCATGTGGAGGATTGCTGTAATGTTTCTGTCCCTCAGTTCGTCTACCATCTCCTCCTAATAAATTTCCCCTCCGTTCCTCCCACAAACTAATCTCACAAACCTTCACTGAATCAAAGATATAAAGTACTAAGAGTTTGGATCTTGTATCTTCATCGTCCTTAATTTCGCATGGAAATCCAAATTATATGTGTTCCTTTGTTTGGTTATGGTACAGAATTTCACCTCCAACAAGAGGAAATGCGCTTCGAAGAATGTTACTGTTTTTCAAGACTCAAGACAAAACTCCTTCAATGTAAATATATACCAGTATTTATTTTTGTTCGCAATTACACACGATCAGGTGAAGTTTGATCAGCTTTCTTGTCATAATTGGAATGGCCCAGTATATATATCTTTTACCTTGAAATCCCACAGTAAGATCCTCTCTCCATATTCTTTCCTCTGCATCATCAAAGAGGTAAAGCCGATGCTGACTGCCAGCCACCTGCACCATAGAATTTACCAACATGATAAACGCAACTTGAAAGACAAAACAGAGTTGAAAGGTAATCCAAATGGACCCCAAAGAAAGAGACAAAAGGACCTCGAAAAGAAAAATAACGGAAGTAGTGTAATTCCATTGCAACAGAGCTCGATCTGCGAAGTACGGCATCATCATCGTTCCCTGACTCGAGGAAAAAAAAAATCAAGGAAAATCACCAGCAAAAATAATTAAGAATCGCACTGCCAGAACAAGCACTGGTAGTAATAGATAAGGCTAGAACAATGAAGAAATGAAATGTTGGAAGTCCTCCATACGATCATGTCTTTGCCTGAAAAACAGGAACATCATTCACCAATAGCACATCAGATATAAGGAACATTGGTACATCCCCAGGAATCATCTCCCCCTCCAGAAGTGTAAAATTATGGTCCCTCTGAAGAAATAAATTTATCAAAGAGTAAGTTACAGTGTCATGTTTCAAAACTATTGTGATGTAAATCAAATGATGAAACAAAGTCATAAAAAACAAATAGTTCAACTGCTTACCCGCCTCCTGGGAAGGAAATTTCATGTTAACCTTTCTGAAATTGAAGTGTTCATCAATCAAATAGCTCGCATCCAATTTAATTAGCATCAAGTAACGTGTCTCATTACTAGGTTTCCATGTAACATGATAAGCATTTTGCCTTAAATAATTCCACATCCTCCTTCCTGTCAAGACATATATTACATATCACCAAATATCATATGTGCTGTGCTATGAGCTACATAATTTGCATAAGATTTGACTTGCTTCAAATTCTCTCACCTCTTTGAGGGAAAATGGCTGGGTTCCTGGGAATGCTAACTCTTGTTGCCTCTGCAAAATCATAACTGTTAATCAATCCTGTATCACAAGTTTTGCCACAAAGCTAGAAGGAAAGGAAAGAAAGAAAACGTTAACTATCACCTGAATTCAATCAAAACCGACCAAACCACGGAAACAAAGAAAACAAAAACTAAAGAATTGGGTCATCCAGAATCAGTGTTCCCAAAAAAAACATTACGTCAAAATTTCTGCTAAAACTTGAACATGTAGATCCATAAAAGAACTTAAAAGCTATGTTACCTGGACTCGGGATACGGGTGTCGTATCGGGTGCGGGATCTGAATGCCGGACTCGTCAATATTTTAGAAATTTTGGATATTTTGAGCTAAAATATCACACCCAACACTCATACACATACCAGTGTGGACACGACACGACACGGGTATTCTGTCCAAATAGAAGAGTCCGGATAACAGAGCTTAAAAGGCATACCTCCGGTATTGTCAACCTTAACATCCGGTAACATACCCTTCTAAGGCTGAATTTGATCCCTTTCATTTATACCAACTCCCAATTCAGCCATACCTTGCTCAACTCTGTTTAGAGGGAGAGTTGATTGAGGCAGTATTCACCGAGGTAAACTCTGGTTTTCAGCCCCAAATGGAGAAAAAGGTGATGCTCTGTTCTTTTTGTACGTAATATAGTAATTGCCAGGAGGTGCCGCGAGGATGCAGCTAACCCCTTTGTACGTAAATAGCGCAGATTTGCTCTCAGACGGCAGAAGAAAACCGGCAAAACAAATTGCAGCGTGCTACTGACACACACACACACACACTTGTACGACATACTTCGGGAATGGGAATCAGAACGGCTTAATTACAAAACAAATTTGCAAAACTATAAGGAAAAAGTTTCAAAGATCTAAAAGCAAACCGTCCCTGATACTTAAAACTGTCCGTTGATTCTGCAACAATGAAAAAGTTTGAGGCGAGGATTGAAAGTCAATGGACTGGAAAGCCATTAGACTCTGCATGAGGAGGAGTCTCGGGTATGTTTTGAAGAAAGATGAAAAAGTGAAGGGAATTAAAAATAGTACCCCCACACAAGTTGCAATTTGTAAATTACCCCCCTGAGATAATTTTCTCGCACGTTTCCACCTCCACATTTCTGATTATATCAGCCATTGAAAATTTAAGAGATCAGCTAACACTAAATTTTTTCTTGGATTTCCGCTAACACTAAATTTTCGAGCAGCCCTTGAACATAATTATGAATTCCTCTTATAATAATAATTTAATTGACCTTTTCGGGAACATAATTTGCAATATTACAAAAGAAAAAAAATGGATTAAAATTACAAGATAAATAAATTTTTTTAAAATCATAAATCATTCCGGTTCATATGGACCTAATGTCACACAATTTGAACCTCACAAATGATAACATAACATATACTATTTGAGGATAATTAATCTGTCTTCCAAGGGCTTCAAGGGCTACATTTGAACCTTTTGCTTATCTGATTTGCTAGATAAAAATGATTCTGTTTGTCTCAAAATGATTACTTAACTAATTTAGATTTTTATCTTTAACACAATTTTTGGTAATTGTGAAAAATTGTCTTGGGGTGGAGGAGGGAGTAATCACATCTTAAAAATTGGAACAAGCAACTCATGAAATAGCCAAACTTATGTTATGTTTAACATAACATTACATTTTCAACTTTAGCTTTTACTTTTTCATGTTGGCGAATAGGGATATAGCAAGCAAACCAAATATAAAAAAAAAGAACCTCAATTTCTTGTAGAGTGGCAACTGATGAAATTCGCTCCAAATTAATAGTACGTTGTATCACGTGAGATGTGTATGTAATATTATGTTGTAAATAAATAGTAACTTGTGCTCAAAAGAAAAAAACAAAAAACAAAAAAACTAGTAACTTGTTTGTTTTAACTTAAGGTGGATGGTAGAGTGAAGCATTACACGAGTTAATTAATGATATTACGGTGTCTAGTAGTAAAAAAATGGATTAACCCAAAAAAAAATTAAAAGTTAAACATTAGTGGTAGTAATGAAAGGTATAAAATTAAAAACTTATAATTAAGAAGTGATTTTGTGGAACAGTACAATAACGTGTTGTAAGGATAAATCATAATAATACTACACAATTGAATTAAAAAATAAATTAAAATACAACACAACTGAGGCACGTTGTATCTTATTATGATTTTAAGAAAATTGGGTCAAGCCCCTCTACTGACATCCTTGTAGTGTTAGGTAACTGAGGTCTCCAGTGTGTCCTGGGTAGCCTAGGAAACGGTGATTTTATTCCAATGTAAAATGTGTGTCACCTGTATGATGATGTTGCAGTAGTTCTTTACTTCTTTTAATGCTCTACATTTCCTTATATGACTAAGGGTATGTTTGTTTTGTTGTGTAAATATGTGTTTTTAAGTATTTTTTTTTTCAAAAATATAAAAAAATATAATAAAATAAGATATTTATTATTAAAATAATCTGAAAAAAATCATCCAAAAAATCAAACGAACACAACCTAAGAGTTGAAATGTAGTAGCCATAATGATTGAAGGCTTTTTGTTTTTGTATTCCTACTTTTTTCCATACAGCCCGTTTTTTCTTTTCTTTTATTGACGTTATTTAAAAGCAAAAATCAGTTTTGTGAGGCTGACTTGTTTGACTGGACAAAATATTTGATATTATTACCGTGTCTGTTAGGCAGTAGTCTGAAGATATCTCCCATAAAAATAATTTATATTAAATTTTGAAACTTGTAATGTGTACTGCTTTCTTAAAACAAAGATGGTAATAATTTGGTGCGTTGTATTGATAAATAAATTCATAATTAATTAATTATATATAATGTTGTATAAATCAAATTTGACGTGAAACCCACAAATTTTGTAGAAGTAATGTTCTTGTAGTGAGTGATTAAACATCACTAATAGTGACGTAAATAACATGATAATAATGAGACAAATAAAGCTTCGATAATGATAATGTACATTTTATTTATTAATTACGAAATTGGTAATAAATGATTTAAAGGTGCACCGAGGACTTTTTTTTTTGAAAAAATAAAATAAAATAAAAACTGTAGTGGTGTGTGTTAGCAACTGTAACAATTCTGATTTTCGTAACCCGAAGTGGAAGAAAGTAAGAATAATGTTTTCTTTTTCTCATTCTCACGTATTTTTTATTTACCAAGGAAAAAAAACCTCACACAACGTTTTTATTGTTGATTGTTTAGTTATGAGATCTCTATTCCCTTTTATTTTGTTTCCCCCTTGGTATGTCCAGAATCCCACATTTTGATCTGGGATAATACACAACAACCCCCTCTTGGTTTCTGAAACCACACAAGAACCCTCCTATGGTTTATAATCTACACGAGAACCCCTTCGTGCTTTTCCAAAACGCGTAAAGTGGATGGAAAGAACTGAAACTAACGGAAGGTGTATACCACTCACTCAAAAATGCAACTGATACAAGCTAGACATGGATTGTATTTGTGTTTGGCCTAAAGTATCCTTATTTCCATCTCTCATCAAATTATCTTACTCCAGCTTCCTGTTAAAACTGTAAATTTGCCGGCATCTCCATTTTTCTTCCTCCAGTTATCAATTCCCACCTTTCATCAATCCCGCTTGTTTCCCTTTTTCAGCCACCCTACTTAAAATTATCACGCTATGGCCTCAGCCGCACTTTTTCTTATTGCGTTTTGTATTTGCGTGCGTTGGTCTCCAATTTCTGGAATTTATTTTTTATAGAGAGAAAATTAAGGTTTCTTTTTCAGCAATTTGGACAACGGGGATTGAGGTTGGCCGCGACAGCTAACTGGATTTTAGGGTTCTTGGATAAATTGTTAGCATCAGCTCTGTTTTCGTTTTGCCCCTTTCCCTTTCATATTAATCTGTACTGGGTCCCGAAGCTGGGTTTGGTGTCGAATGCGGTGTTGGTTTGGTCCCTAAATTATAGAGGGTCCAAAATTACCCACCATCTTTTCATTTATTTAACAATTTAGTCAATTTAACGGTCAACTCTTTTTTCCGTTAAGTTTTTATTTTTTATTAATTTCTTACTGAATTGGGACACGTAATGTATTTTCAAACAACAAAATAAGTCCCTTAATATATTTTTTTTCAACAATTTTTAGTCACTTTAACTGAATTTTGAAAAAACTTAATGGTCCAATTCAGTCTTCTTTTAAGTCTTTATTTTTTATGGATTACTTAATGAATTGTGGGTTTCACAGGTCTTTGATTAGAATGTTTTTTTTTTTGAAAAAAGAATAAAATAAAATTGAAAGAATAATGAAAGTATTTTCGACCAACTTCCTAAATCCTAATATATTACTCCGGAACGTCTCACCATCACCTCCCCGCCGGCAAAATAGCCCTAAAAAAGAGCCTCATTAATGATTGTTTTCTTTATTGGATTTTTTTTTTGGAATTTATTTCCCGAAAAGCAGAATATTTGGGGTTTAGGAAGTTGGCCGAAAATATTTTCATTATTCTTTTAATTTTTTTTAAAAAAATTATGATCAAAGACATATGGGACCCACAATCCATTAAGTAATCAATAAAAAATAAAGATTTAAAAGAAAATTGAATTGGGCCATTAAGTTTTTGAAAATTCTTAAAGTAACTAAAATTGTTGAAAAAAAGATATTAGGGGACTGATTTTATTGTTTAAAAAAACATTACGGGTCCCAAGTCAGTAATAAATTAAAAAATTTTAAAAATTAAAAATTTAACGGAAAAAGAGTTGACCGTTAGTTGACCATTAAATTGACTAAAATTGTTGAATAAACGAAAAGATGGTGACTAATGTTGTCAGTAAAAATTAATGGTGACCAGAAGTTGTGATCTCCCATAGTTTAGGGATCAAAAGTGCGTTTTGTCCTATTTTATATTATATAAATAATAATAAATTACTACTAACAAATTAATATAATAATATAATATATTCATTATATTTTTTTAATATGACATAATAGTATAAAAGTCAATGTAAAACAAAATTTATAAACATATGATTACTAATACACATTAACGTTATGATGGAGAAAGCTTTCTAAAATGAAAAAAGGATTAAAAGTCTTTGTGAGAGAGAAATAGTAGAATCAAAACATATTGAGAATTGAAAATAATTATATGGAGGAAAAAAATTAGGTAGAGAAAAACAAAATACGAAAAAAAAAACAAGGTCGTAGTAAAAAATAAAGTAATTAAAATAATTTTCAAGAAATAAAGTTATAAAGAGAGGTCATCAAATTTGAAGAAAAAAAAACAAAGATAATCTTATGAAGTAAGCATGATATGATAGGAAAAATATATGAACAAAGGTATATAAAGATGAAAAATAAAGATAAATTTATGGAAATAAATAATAAAAAAATATTTTGATAGAGAGAGATTGAAAATATGACAAGAGAGTTTTCAATCGGACACATGAGGTAAAATTGGATAAGCTAATCTACATGGCGAAAAAATTAGATAACTAAAT